AGTAACTGTATATCATCCTGAGTTCTGTACTGTAAAATTATTTTCAGGTACAAGGCCCATGAAGAAAGAGTAGGAGCCATTGCTGAAGAGATGGGATTTAGTCATGTGTCACTTTCTTCTCTGGTGATTCCCATGGTTAAGGTAGTTCCTCGTGGCTTCACTGCGTGCTGTGATGCTTACCTTACGCCTCACATCCGATCGTATCTCAAGGTTGCTATTATAACTTGTGTGCTGTTTTATCATTGTTTGAACCCATCAACTGTGTTTAAATTACAATAATTTTTGTCCTTTAATATTATTGGTTTCAGTAATACTGTATAGTATCTGATTGTAAGTAAAGAAATTTAATATCACAGAGAAAATAAAGCTCAGTTCTCTCATAACAGTTATGAACACAGCTGTTTATCTAATGCTTCTTCATTTTCTTTTGTGCTGTATGACATTATACAGTTGTACCCCACTTAACGCGGTCAATAGAACCCAGAGGGTCCCGTGTTAAGTGAAATCCGCGTTAAGTGAACAACAGAACATATGGGATTAATTCCAATAGAAACCGGCCCGACCCCCAAACTCCACTTTTTGAAGGCACATACCTATGTTGTAGTAAAAATAACATCTTAATTTTATGATGGTACATGCACACAATTAATACTTAAGAGAAATAGAGAAATACAGTTGCCAAGTTAATGTCCATTCAAATAATGGACTCAACTCCCTCCCCCTCTCACACTACACTGCCGGCTCTTCCCTCTCAGAGAAATTTTTGGGGGAAAACCACTAAATTTTAATAAATAATACCTCAAACTAAAGTTAGGATAATACAATTGACATTGCTGGATTCCTTGTAAGACCAGGAATATTTTGAATATAAATGTCATATATTTTGCACAAAAGATAACATAGTTACCTAGAGAAAAAATTTTATCTAAAATTTGTATGTCTAATGCAAAATATATGATGTTTATATTCAAAATGATCATCAAATTATAAGAATTCCAGCAATGTAAATTATATTCAGACCGGGTAATTTGTATGAATTTTATGAGCTAAAACAAATATCTTCAGTTAATAAAAAAAAAAATAATTCTTCACGGGGTAACAGATGGTCGGTCGGTCCCTCCCTCCCCCCCACCCCCCACCAACCGTCCCAAGGAGATGTGTGGGATAACCACTAAATTTTAATAAATAATACCTCAAACTAAAGTTAGGATAATATAATTGACATTGCTGGATTCCTTGTAAGACCAGGAATATTTTGAATATAAATGTCATATATTTTGCACAAAAGATAACATAGTTACTCTGAGAAAAATTTTTATCTAAAATTTGTATGTCTAATGCAAAATATATGATGTTTATATTCAAAATGATCACCAAATTATTAGAATTCCAGCAATGTAAATTATATTCTGGCCGGGTAATTTGTATGAATTTTATGAGCTAAAACAGGCAGTCAGGCAGGGTGGCGGGTGGGGCAAATCTAAAAATAGCGTCTCGAGCCGGACACTCACCGCGTATATGTGGAAAAAATCCGTGTTAAGTGAAAGTTCAGCTCTGGCGAGGCACCGCGTATATGATAAAACGCGTTAAGTGAAACCGCGTTAGGCGGGGTAATACTGTATACAGTATATGAATATACAGAAGCAAACTTGTTTTAATTAGTAATTTCCTCAAATTTTCTAGTTGTTCCCTACCCTAATATCCTTCACCATCTTCTACAGTGAACATTTCAATCTTTTTGTATATTTATCCAGTTAATAATCTGTTACTGGATTTTTGTGTGGTTTATTTATGTTTCTTCTATGGCATTTGATGAATACATGACTCAGTCTTTGCTGATTCTTCATATTCACCTCTCCTATGCACATTCAGTACCGTCCCTCCACCTTACTTTTGATCTTCTGCTTACCTTGCTCTTATATACTTGTTCATTCCATATCCCTGTCTTCCTCACTCCATGAACATCTTGTATATTTATTTTCAGAGTCACTACTCTCTCCATCTGTTTTGTGTATCCAATAATTCAAGTCTGGTTCGTAACCTCATAAGCATTGTAGAAATTCAAATAGAATTTCACAAATAATTTACCTTGGATACTGTATTTTCTTCAAAAATCTCTAGACAATCTATCAAAGATCAAGGACGTACAAAGAGTTACTAGCCTTCCAAGAAACAGTTCATGTGAAACTGACCCCAAAATGTTTGTAGTTAGTGTCATACAGGTCACTTTAGTTAGTTGAAATATTTTAAGAATCATCTAGTTAAAAGACATGACACTCCAGTCCCTAAACAAAACCAAAAGCCCCGGGTCCCAAGAAAGTCCTTAATCTTGATTTATAGCAAAAGATTAGGTAAGTGGATGAATACCGAGCTAGCAGGTCCACACAAGGAGCTTGCAAGTTGTGGAGAAAACAGAAAAGTACAAAGGAGTGAACAGAACACCAGTGTCTCTTGAAACATAGCTGGAGGCTGGCAGCAGAAATGGAATGCTTGGGTGTCTGAATTGCTCATCTCCCTGACAGCTACACTCAGGCAAACCTCCCCTTTATTTTATTTGTACATATTTATTATGCACCAAGTCAGTGCAACATTAACAGTCACTTCAAGTGAATGTAAGTGTTCCTTTAGTCAACTGAGGAGTCTCAAAAGTTATCTGCGCACTACAATGAGACAAGACATTAAATGGTCTCTCCTTGTTGAATGTTTATAGAAACATTGACACAGATAAAGCGATCACTAACTTTGCTCAAGCTCATCCCAGGCAGATGGAATGAATAGACATTTTGGATGATGAAACAGCATCAGCCAGTGTATGATTTCTTCATATTATCAATGTGAACTAATCCTGAATAAATATTATTGCATTGCCTTGACTTTGTTTTAAATTTTGTGGTTACATTGATTTACTGCATTAAGTTTCAGTTACTTTGATTTATAGTGTCAACTTTTGTGGTTTGGTGTATTGTAATAAGGAGTGTGCAATATATAGTATACTGTACAGTATATTACTAAACATTCCTTTGACAATAATAATGAGGTCTTGTATATATTCCTTAATTATTAGTAAAAGACCAGCACTTTTTTTTTGTATTAAAGTATTACCCTTTTAAGAAATTGAATTACATTACTTTTAACCCCTAGGCTTTGGGTCACATATAACGTGCATCTGTAAAGCTTCTTGTCACATCATATAACGTGCATCTGTAGAGCTTCGGGTCACATCATATAACGTGCATCTGTAAAGCTTCTTGTCACATCATATAACGTGCATCTGTAGAGCTTCGGGTCACATCATATAAGGTGCATCTGTAAAGCTTCTTGTCACATCATATAATGTGCATCTAAAGCTTCTTGTCACATCATATTATGTGCATCTGTAAAGCTTCTTGTCACATCATATAAGGTGCATCTGTAAAGCTTCTTGTCACATCATATAAGGTGCATCTGTAAAGCTTCAGATGAACATGGTCAGGTAGAAAAGGTTTGCGAGGTCCTGTGGTTGAGTCCATTACAGTCAATGGGTAGCATTCCCATGCGGCGCGGGTCAGTTTAGCTAGTGCTCAGTCCAGCAACAACCAAAACTGTGTTTGGATTAACTTATGTTTTTTTTTTGCTTGCTTTCGTCACCATGGCTCCACCTAAACATTCTCCAAGTGCCCCTCTGCTTAGGGACACTCCACCAAAGAAGAGTAGAACCACATTTACTCTTAGAAAGTAAGTTAGACGATCAATTAGGACATCTCCACACAATTGTTAATGTCAATCCAACATCCTACACCACCATCATTCTTCATATGCGAGTACAGTACAGTATACCAGGTATTTATTATTATTATTAAAATGCTTAATCATCATGCTTAAGTTAGACATTCTTACGAGTAGAGAGAAGCCAGTCCACCCAGGTTGCTACGGTGAGGCTTGAGGGAGGCCACCCGTGACTCAGTCAAAGTTTGCAAATGGCTGCTATGTTAAACTTTTGGGAACTGATTTCGTGGACATATCAGTGCCTCCACAACATGTATGGTTAAGGATATTTGGTAGATGTTCTGTATGTGTATTAGTGAGCTACTTTAGAGGTGTACGATGTCTTTGAACTTTAGCTTTGGAGTATTTTTGGTGTTGGGGGTAGGGTTTTTTGGGATCCACCTGACGCATCCCTTATCTCCCTGTGTTATAATGGGTTTGCTCTACATGCCATTTTCTGGGAACGCCACCCCCGTGTTAAGCGAAGGGGCAGTGTACAGTAAACCCTGGCCAACTCTGACTAATTGGGGGAAAGGACAGTCCAAGAAGGCCTATTTTTCAAGTAGGTCTGAGATCTGAGGATAATAAAGTGTGAGATAAGAGGATGAGTCCAAGTCCAACCTATGTTTGAGAATTAAGGGAAATAGACTGAGATGGAAGGGAAAGTCTGTGTTAAGTACCTTGAGGGATTAGATAAAGAGAACAATACATAGACACAATCTAAATGGCCAATTATTATCGAAAATTGTTGAGAATATTCACCAGCTAATTATGTGGACACAGAGGCCATATAGGGCATTCTGACTCAGTTACTTCAATGCATTATGGATGGATGACAATGCATTGTGTACAGCAGTAAACATATAATTTGTTAGAAAGTAATGTCTTAAGAATTTATTATTTTACTTGATTTTTCACTGGTTGTTTGTCTAATGTACCGATGATACTGGAGTGACCTTGACTACATACCCACATATCCACGGCAGATCCACTAAACATCCACATCATCTTCACTATAAATACACGTAATCTCCACTACATGTCCACATCATATCCACTACACATCCACTTCATCTTCTTACACAACTTGGAAGGCCACCCATGCCATGTACATTCGTCGGGACTCGGAAACCTTTAAGAATCTTCGGGAAGAATTGAGGTTGTCCAAGCGGACAGCCACGCTCGTATGTCCATTTCAGATACTGTCCAAGATGGATGTAGAAGTGTCCGAGGTTGACGAGGGTTTACTGTTTCTTTGTTTATATTGTATTTACTGTATAGTGAAGATCAGAGATTTTGAAATGGATATGGCTGTATCTTTCATATACAAAAGTCATTGTGCTTCCTTTGTGTGTTTTCATGTTCTGTTATTACCCATATCCTCTGCCTGTTTCAGAATATGACCATGAAATCATGTTATTGATGAAGAATCTCATACAAGAAACATTTTGGAAAGGTGATGGTTATCTAATTTTTTTTCTGTAGATTTGCTGATGTCTTTTGTTGCATGCTTATATCTTATATCTAATGAGGTTAACAAGAAATTTCATGTGCCAGAAATTTGATTTAGTATTGTATTATTAATACTGTATGTTGCAACACTTTTGATAGACAATCAGAATGTGTTGATTCAAAGTTTACAAATGTGTTCCCCCTGATAGAGGAGATGCTGAGCTCCAGTCTTCTAGAAAACCAAGATGTAACTTTGAACTGAATTAATGTCTTCACCTCACAATATAGTTGACTTTGGTCCTGTAAACCTCATAGCATACTTGTTAACCTGGGTATAGTACTTTACTTTTTTCACTGGTTCTACATTTCTGTGGCTACAAGGACTATTAATATATTTCCATAATCCATCGAACATTGTTATTTTGCTTATTTTAAGTTAATTTGCATACTAACTAATCAATCGTCCATTTTCATTCCTACATATACTGTACAGTATCTGCTTCAGTAACTGTCTTTAGTGCTGTTTATATAAGTGGCATGTATTTGGTAAAGTTAAACCAGCATGGATAGATCTTATCTGTGGTGGTGCTGGGCCTTGAGTGTGTCCAGTAATAAGTGTGTTTGTATGAAAAATATTGCACATTGTTAGCTGAGGATGTTGCATGTATCACCCATGAATGCTTACAGTCCATAATATAGACGGATAAAGCTCAGTAAGATAATTTTATTTTCTATATCGTATACAGGAGGTATTAGGTAACATGATTGTGTGGGGGTACAAACTGGAAAAACAAATTAAACCTAATTAATCAGTAATTAATTGTATCTAATTGTGTTATTTGAACCCTTCCACATACTGTATCTAGTTGTGACAATTATTTGGTGTAGTTGTACATTTGAGGTTAATTATATTGATTTTTCACTTTGTACAGGTTACTAGGTCTACTTATTCTTTTTGTATGATGTGTGCTTAGGTATATACAGTATTGTGGCTCCATTTGGGTAAACTGACACATTTAAGTAATTTATAGGACTTCTTCCTACATATATCAATAAATGGATTATTTTAATTTTATCTCATTTTTGACACTAATAAATTATTATTTTATAGCCATGCATTAGCATTGAGCAACTGCAAATAAAGGGAAAGGACTCCCCAGGGCCCTGACAGTAACCAAGTTCTAAAAATTGGATAAACTAAAAAAATGAATTATTTTTCAGTTTCATACAGGACATTCAAATGATAACTCAAGGCAGGTTTGAAGGACCCAAAACAGGGAGAAAACTGAAGAGATTTACTGCCAAATGTAAACATGTACTGTATGTTCTGATCTTCAAATTTGTTCATATTAGCTATAACACTGACACCATGATGTAGCCATCAGATTCAATCACGCTTTTGTGCAATATGGAGCTGCTCAGCTCCTGCTATAACATTATGGACACTTGAGTGTTTTCTTGGGGTTTTAGTCACTTACACAGGATGTACTGCAGCCATACCATTCTTGGTTTTAGTGTTATGAATATGTTATGATAGGTTTATGTTGCATTGTATAAGCCCAGCTTTTTGGTTAGGTATTATCAAGTGCTCAGATCACCTTCCTTTATAATGAGATAAGTGTGTATACCAGATGTGGGTTGTGGCCAGATGGAGGTTAATTGAATTTGGAAGTTCCAAATCGGAAGGTTGCACTGGGTATTCTGCTTGGCGGTATTATCACATGCTCATTTAATGCTTGTTAAATGTTCTGGATCACGTGCACCTATAGTGATTTACTTGCATATATATATATATATATATATATATATATATATATATATATATATATATATATATATATATATATATATATATATATATATATATATATATATATATATATATATATATATATATATATATATATATATATATATATATATATATATATATATATATATATATATATATATACACACACACACACACACACACACACACACACACACACACACACACACACACACACACACACACACACACACACACACACACAGTATTACCCCGCCTAACGCGGTTTCACTAAACGCGTTTTATCATATACGCGGTGAGTGTCCGGCTCCAGACGCTATTTTTAGATTTGCCCCACCCGCCACCCTGCCTGACTGCCTGTTTTAGCTCATAAAATTCATACAAATTACCCGGCCAGAATATAATTTACATTGCTGGAATTCTTATAATTTGGTGATCATTTTGAATATAAACATCATATATTTTGCATTAGACATACAAATTTTAGATAACATTTTTTCTCTGGGTAACTATGTTATCTTTTGTGCAAAATATATGACATTTATATTCAAAATATTCCTGGTCTTACAAGGAATCCAGCAATGTCAATTATATTATCCTAACTTTAGTTTGAGGTATTATTTATTACAAAAAAGTTAAGTATTCTGGTTTTCCCACACATCTCCTTGGGACGGTTGGTGGGGGGTGGGGGGGAGGGAGGGACCGACCGACCGACCATCTGTTACCCGTGAAGAATATTTTTTTTTTTTTATTAACTGAAGATATTTGTTTTAGCTCATAAAATTCATACAAATTACCCGGTCAGAATATAATTTACATTGCTGGAATTCTTATAATTTGATGATCATTTTGAATATAAACATCATATATTTTGCATTAGACATAAAATTTTTAGATAAAATGTTTAATCTGAGTAAGTATGTTATCTTTTGTGCAAAATATATGACGTTTATATTCAAAATATTCCTGGTCTTACAAGGAATCCAGCAATGTCAATTATATTATCCTAACTTTAATCCGCGTTAAGTGAACAACAGAACATATGGGATTAATTCCAATAGAAACCGGCCCGACCCCCAAACTCCACTTTTTGAAGGCACATACCTATGTTGTAGTAAAAATAACATCTTAATTTTATGATGGTACATGCACACAATTAATACTTAAGAGAAATAGAGAAATACAGTCGCCAAGTTAATGTCCATTCAAATAATGGACTCAACTCCCTCCCTCACACTACACTGCCGGCTCTTCCCTCTCTGAGAAATTTTTGGGGGAAAACCACTAAATTTTAATAAATAATACCTCAAACTAAAGTTAGGATAATACAATTGACATTGCTGGATTCCTTGTAAGACCAGGAATATTTTGAATATAAATGTCATATATTTTGCACAAAAGATAACATAGTTACCTAGAGAAAAATTTTTATCTAAAATTTGTATGTTTAATGCAAAATATATGATGTTTATATTCAAAATGATCACCAAATTATAAGAATTCCAGCAATGTAAATTATATTCTGACCGGGTAATTTGTATGAATTTTATGAGCTAAAACAAATATCTTCAGTTAATAAAAAAAAAAATAATCTTCAGGACACTATCTGTCAATCAAAGTACCCCACCTTGCCTCCCCCCCTCTTCCAACCGCGCGGTCAGTCCCAACCCTCCCCCCCACCCCCCACCAATCCTCCCTTCAAGAGTTTTTAACATTTAGTATTAAATAATACCTCAGATTAAAGTTAGGATAATATAATTGACATTGCTGGATTCCTTGTAAGACCAGGAATATTTTGAATATAAATGTCATATATTTTGCACAAAAGATAACATAGTTACTCTGAGAAAAATTTTTATCTAAAATTTGTATGTCTAATGCAAAATATATGATGTTTATATTCAAAATGATCATCAAATTATAAGAATTCCAGCAATGTAAATTATATTCAGACCGGGTAATTTGTATGAATTTTATGAGCTAAAACAAATATCTTCAGTTAATAAAAAAAAAAAATATTCTTCACGGGGTAACAGATGGTCGGTCGGTCCCTCCCTCCCCCCCACCCCCCACCAACCGTCCCAAGGAGATGTGTGGGATAACCACTAAATTTTAATAAATAATACCTCAAACTAAAGTTAGGATAATATAATTGACATTGCTGGATTCCTTGTAAGACCAGGAATATTTTGAATATAAATGTCATATATTTTGCACAAAAGATAACATAGTTACTCTGAGAAAAATTTTTTATCTAAAATTTGTATGTCTAATGCAAAATATATGATGTTTATATTCAAAATGATCACCAAATTATAAGAATTCCAGCAATGTAAATTATATTCTGACCGGGCAATTTGTATGAATTTTATGAGCTAAAACAGGCAGTCAGGCAGGTTGGCGGGTGGGGCAAATCTAAAAATAGCGTCTCGAGCCGGACACTCACCGCGTATATGTGGAAAAAATCCGTGTTAAGTGAAAGTTCAGCTCTGGCGAGGCACCGCGTATATGATAAAACGCGTTAAGTGAAACCGCGTTAGGCGGGGTAATACTTTATAAGGTTTTCCAGGAAAAGAAGCTAAAAATCTAAGTGTATCTTGGTAGGTCTTCTATGTATGGGTAGCATCCTTCACACTGTTAGTTCCAGGGAATAAACAAGAAGGAAGAGTGTGGTCTGGACCCTAAAAGCTGCACCACCAAACTTGTTTCATTTTGATTATTTCAACTAAAAATTATTCCAGCTAACATACTGTACAGTACATGTGGCTACACCTTTCTAAAAAAGCTAACTTTATTGGTTTTGATACAGTACTTTACTTCAACTGGGAAAAAAAAAGACAAAAATTAACTAATGTTCTTTTAACAGGGATTTTCTGCAGGTTTCAAGAATCAGTTGAAAGGAGTCAATGTCCTCTTCATGCAAAGTGACGGAGGATTAACACAAATGGACAGGTGAGAATTTATTACCAAGGGTATTTACCATCATATACTGTACAGTACTGTATTGAGTATGTAGTTGGTCATATTATTATAATATAAAACTACTAGGGGTAGGTGTGTTGTTTTTCATGGTATAGTAAGACTTCAAAGTTGGCTTTTAGTTCAGTTTTCTTTGACGATTTCATGTCTATATATTTTAAGAATATCAAGAGATATTAAATAATTAGTATTTCTTCTTTTTTTTTCAATTTTACCCTGACTGGAGGTGTACTGAGGGCCTAGTGATGGTAGGTTTTCTTGGACTTTTGACAGTTTCTACGGAATGGCGTACAGTAAAATCCCCTTACAATAAATGGAGTCTGTAATCGGCAGAATACTGTACCTTTCTCTTGCTGTTGAAACTTTCTGAATATCATGTCTGCCCTTGAATTGATTATATATATATATATCACCCAACAGTGAATTCACATGAGTAATAATTTTCCATAAGGTTATAAAATTGCATGGCTTTCTTCATAATAAGCAGTCCAGAAAGTAGCTTACCCTCACTGTGCTTATACGTATTTGTGTTTTAAAGAATTTATATATTTTTAACCATATTTTGAAGGGCTGAAATTTAAAATTTCCAGTATGTATGTGAAAGAAGTATCCTACATAAAGTGGACCCAAGGTTTGCTAAGGTGGTATAAATAAGCATACTGTACTGAGAAAATGGGAGGCAAGTTTGGTAAAGAGTGTATAGTTCAGAGGTGAAAGTTAGGAGGGTGATGGAAGGATTCTTTAGGTGGGTAATGCTTGCTTATGTGAAGAGACAGGGAAAACTTGATTGATAACTGGGTCCTTATTGTGTTAACCCCTTCACTGGCCGATGATGCTATTGTGTCACTATACAAACCCTTAGAAGTAAACAGTATTTGAAAAAATAAATTAAAAGAAAAATCTATGCAATTTGGATGACGTAATTTGCGTCATCGACCGGTCTACGGGCAAAAGGGTTAAGGGGCTAACACACTTGTGCATTTTTCCTTCAGTCAGATTTGCTGTCTTCAAAAATAGATTATCACACATGCACCCTGCTTATGTCATCTTCAACCTCAGACCATAACAACAAACATGGCAGACCTCTTATGGTAGTTGGTGTAACAGCCGTATGTACTGCCTGTAAGGTCCACTCGTGGCTCATGATGCACTATGGTCCCAGGATAGGCCTAGCTGCTACAGCTCGCACTCTCCAGGATGTTGGCAGCTAACAGGTGTGATGTGTTAGTTTGTCATGGGATTGACTCCAAGGACTGGGGAGCAACACCTGGCAGCATCACCTCAGTTGGCTCCTTGTGTAGTCTTACGCCAGTGGCCCACCTTTAGAGTGCAGTAGAGTCTGGGAGCGGCGCAGATCAAATGATGAAAAAATTTTTGAATTGACTCCCATTCCCCTTGGCACTTTGCACCTCGTCAAGCTTGAACATAAGTGTGTGAAATATTATTATGATTAGATTGCTAATGAGGCGCTGTCTTAATACTTTTACTTTTATCCTCTTCGTTATCCACTTGGGTGATTGGTCATGTCTCTGTTACGCACTGTTAGCAAGTACTGGCCATGCACTGGCTCGTGAATGAATCTGAACGACTGAACCTGCTCCACTGTTGATCAAGTCTGGTCTTGAAAGATCTTACTTTCGGTGCCATCACAGCACTCTCTGGCAGATTGTTCTAGAGTTCACAACTCTCACTCTGAAAAAGTTTGTCCTCGCAGACCTCAGGATTGGTGGCTAATTCAACCCTCCTGCTGCTGCTTTTTTTCCATTTAGACTTTGACTTAATCTAACCATGTGTGTTTCAGATTCATTGGGTCTCGAGCTATCCTATCTGGCCCAGCCGGGGGTGTTGTTGGCTATGCTATGACCAGTTATCAGCAGTTTGACAGCAAACCGGTAATAGGATTTGATATGGGAGGGACATCAACAGATGTATCCCGTTATGCTGGTGAATATGAGCATGTGTTTGAGAGCACAACAGCAGGAATAACAATTCAGGCTCCACAGGTGAGTTTTGATGTGTAGAAGGATTAAAGATTGAAGGAAATGGCTTTACATTCAGTTGGACTAAAGTGAACATTAAATGAACCTGTAGTATAAAGACAGTTTGTGGATTTTGAGAAGCAGATAAATTAAGTGAATGACAGATGTGTAAAGATAATGTAATTGTTTTAATGAAGAAAAGAGCATTTTTTTAAATGATGAGCATGATAGAGTTAAGATTGTAGTAAGCTCCAGCCTCAATTTTATTCTTGGTCTGTAACTTCATTGTACAGTACTGTAGTTAAAGGTACAGTAATCTGATATGTAAACAATTTAGTCTATAATATCTACCGTTGTCCATGGTTAGTAATACTGCCAGATCCTGGCAATTTGTGTAAGTGGCTCAATTCATGTGGGGAGGATGACAGTTGTAGAAAATGAATTTGAACTGAGAAATTTTATGTTATAAATGAAATGTTCATTGAACAAATTACCGGGTATTTTGTTTAGGATTATGGATGTTTTTGGAGGTTATTGGCAATACTGTATGTTGATAATAAGAGGAGGAAGGAGCAGGGAGAGATATCAGAGTTTGGAAGAGACTCAATTATCCTGACTTGAAAATAGGGATCATAGTGACTTGGATGTATTAAAAATGCTGCTGAATGGAGACCTAGCTCTTAATTTGTGTTATGATTCCTTTAGTTAGACGTGAACACTGTGGCCGCTGGTGGAGGATCGCGGTTATTCTTCCGCTCGGGGATGTTTGTTGTTGGACCAGAGTCTGCTGGAGCACATCCTGGTGAGTTTTTGGTGCAAGTCACATTATTTACACTGATCAACATCTCACTTAGACTAATTAACACTGCTGGATCATTTCCACAAATACAACATTCATTGGTCATTAATACCTGTACAGAAAATTACTTTCACCTTTGTAAGAGTTTGATCAACTTCATATTTTGTATTTCTGATTTTGATTTGTTTGAGACTATTACTGATTTTACAATTGATAGGTAGATTTTTATTCTTTGTAATTACAATAGTTATAAACTTTCAGGTCCTGTTTGTTACAAAAAGGGAGGCCCACTAGCAGTGACTGATGCCAATCTGGTATTGGGTCGCCTTTTACCACAGTACTTTCCAAAGATATTTGGTCCTAAAGAAAATGAGCCCCTTGATAAAGAAAGTACTCTGAAAGCTTTTAAAAGAATAACTGATGAGGTAAGCTATTAGTCTGTCTCTTTTTCCTTCACATAATTTGGAAGTGTACTCACAAAAAAAAAAAACTGCCCAACTGGGTCCGGTGTTTGGAAATGAACACAATGTACAGCAGTTTCAGTTCAGTTTGTATTTCTGAGTGTGAGTTGCATCTTCAGTTATCATAGCTGTAGTTGTTATCAGGTGCAACTCACAATCAAAAATACTAACCGAACCGAAATTGCTGTACATTGTGTTCATTTCCAAACACCGGACCCAGGTGGGCAGATATTTTTTTGTGTGTGAGTGTGCATGCGTGCTTGCATCAAGTTATGTCAAAACTTTGTGATCCAAGAAGTTGCAATGAAAGATTTTCATAGGGGTATTTTATGGAATGGTTGGGTGAATTAGGAAGATAGATTTAATAAGAATTTACTGTAGTACTGTATATGTGACACTGAGAGGTAGGAAACCCTGTTCAGAGAGAGTTAAGAGGGCAGCTGGGTATTGAGAGTACTGTATTGGCAAAGTTTTGCATACAGGTAGACTGAGATGGTTTGGGCATGGGAAGAGAATGGAGGAGACCAATTGGATCGTGAGATATATTAGTCTTAAAGTGGAGGGGAGGAGAGCGACGGGTAGGCCAAGAATGACATGAGGAGAGGTTGTAAGTAATTATATCAGACTTAAAAACTTGATGAGAGATGCTGCAAGAGACTGTTCAGCATGAACAGCTGCCATCGGTTAATTGCAGCTAACCCACGCAAACCTTGAAAGTGGCCATAAAGTGTTGTTGTTGATGTAGTTGTCATTCATGAATACTGTATTTGCCTTTAATGAGCATTGTAAGTCCAAGTGGAAGAAAGGACTGGGAATGGGATAAAATGTCAACATCTTAGAGGTATGGTTTTACAAGATCTCTGAGAGGCTTCTACTATTACCTGTCAGAGGTATTTGTAGATCTTTCCTAGTGTTTTCTTGAACTGAACATTCTTCTGAGACTCTGGAAGTTTGTCATTGATCCCTGGAACAAGTTCATAAGGTTTAGGATTCTGTAGAGTCTTTGGTGACAGAGAACTTGGATATGGCTGTTATGAAAATCATATTCTTCTTTGCTCTCACTTCAGGTAGTCATATGTCTGAGCTCCATGTTCTGAGGAGAGGCAAGAATTTTGTTTAACTATATTAATTGAACTGGGTATGCTACCTCAAAGTGAGTTTTGTACGTTAAATTTGTTTAAATCGGGAGAAGCTACTCTTAGAAGCTGCATAACAAAATTTGGATTTTTTTAAGCGTCGCTCATAATGCGTTGCTGTGTATAATGTTGATATAGTTTCTGCTCGGGATGCAAACAGCAACAAATAAGTAAATTCTTCTGGGAAGACAGTTAGAGGGAAGCCTATGAGGGAATAGCAGGGGGTGTGTGTTCTTGATTCTGGTCGTCTTGTACTGTACTGAAGTGGAAAATGGTTTACAAAAAAAGTGGAGACAAATCACTTAATATATATCACTTTTAAATAACTGATTGTGAGGCTCAGTTAATATCAGCACTTTGATTTTATACAACTTGAAGGACAAAAATTTCTGCCCTGACATATCTTGTGCTGTATTAATTTTTCAAGATCTTGCTTCATCTTCCAATTTTTTTTAGTGTTATGCTTGTTTATATGTTAATATTTTTACAGGCTGTCATCAGAAATTTAACTTTATGAATTAGTTGTTATTAATATCTTTATTTCTTACTCCACCTTTGACAATTTTATTAATTCTGTAAAATAATTTTACTGAGTGTGTGAGTGAGATGTTACAAAAGCTACAATGAATGGATGACAATAAGTAGAGAATTTGTGCTTGTTCTTGGTTTTGGGCACTAAAATATAGTGGGAAATTGCTTAAAAATATTAGAGAACATTAAATTTCACTGATATGGAATTATATGAACTCTTTTTAAATATATTTTATTACAGGTGAATTCCTCAAAATCAGATCCAAGCAAACACCTCAGGTATGAAGAGGTAGCAATGGGCTTCATTCGTGTGGCCAATGAAGCGATGTGTCGGCCAATCAGAGCCCTCACTCAGGTAAGTTCATTATGAAAACTCATAATAGGCGTTTATTGTAAGACGATTTAAAAAGCACGGAATAGCTAACGCGTTAGCTCTCCCGGACTGTCTTTAAAAAATACGACATTGTACTGTGTCTTGGGAAAAAATGTTGTACAACACAGTCTTCAGAAAACAATAGAGTTAGGACACAATACGGAAAGAAATAGTGAAGAAAATACAGTGAAATTTATGGAAAGAAAGACAAAAAAGGAAAAAAGTCAATCAGTCAACAATAAATAAGAATAACACAAAAAATCTGGCCCATTGTAAAGGTGGGTGGTCTGGACTCTGGGGTGGGACCCTTAAACCACACTACATACCTCTCGTCTCGCTGCTACATTTTTTACAGCAGTTCGCATACATAAACACGCAATACAGTCGGCCCTTAACATACGCAGGGGTTAGGTAACAGAGATACCCGTGAATGTTAAAAATCCGTGTACTATTGCTGCCCCTAAAAAACCCCTGGTCCCCCATGTACTTATTTACCGTATATACCTGTGTGTAGTTCGAGTTTTTAAGACCAAATTATTTGGCAAAAAATTGCGGGTCGACCTCTAAACGGGTAATAGTTTCGTTAGGTTGAAAAATATTTACCAGTAACTACCAGTAAACAATGGAAACGACGCACCAACGCACCTCTTCGCTGATATGGCCCTAAAACCCCTATCAGAGGTACCATATTTTACCTGTACTGTACTGTACAGGTATCCCTCAAGATACAAACATTTGTGATACAAAAATTTGCTTATAAGAATTTCCTAAATTGATGCTACTATTTCGAGAAATGAAAGGTTCCCCATTTATACGAATTTGAGTCAAGGCAAAAATTTAAATTTCGCGCACTGGGAGTCAGCTGGTGCAGCCATCATGGGGAGAGATACGTAGAAACATATACTTGCTCACTCATCATCCCCCCCCCCCTCCTACATCTCCCACAAGCCCACATCCTTCCATTAGTTGTATGTGTGAAGTGATCTCTCTTTATCCATGTGTATTCGTGCCATCCTTTCGTTGTACCTTTCATTATTATATCCAAGCGTTCAGCTGGATATTTCACTACCCATACCATACCGAAGAAACCGCGTAAGGCTGTGACTCTTGAGACAAAGCTGGAAATAATTAAGCATCATGAATGTGGTGATGGCCCTACCAAGTGTGGGAAAGATCTTGGTCTGGCTGCTTCTACTGTGGCCACAATTTACAAGCATGCTGTGGTGTCCTTGCCAGACAGTAGTGATGAGGTGGACAACCCTCCTCATCTCGCTGAGTAAGGCCTTTACTCAGGCCACCCCTGCTCACCCTCTTGTGGTGGTGAGCTGATTGACTCATTTTAAGGATTTTGGGAAAGGATCTAAAGACAGGAAGTGTCAGCATGAGAAACCTCTCTATTTTCTTGGATGGAATGTTTCTACAGGGTCAACTTGCTTGCATTCAGTAGACACAGAAACATTGGGACAACACAACCTTGTTATATGGTAGTTTTGGTGAATCCATCCTTCAGAGAAGACCTAAATAGCTGCTACTTAAAGTGACAATTATTGGGTCAGTACCTTAGGATTGTGTGACTTTGAGCAGCTTAAGATTTGTTGCTTTCTCTCATTTTGTAAACTGGCTTGAGATTGATCTAGTAGGATTGTATTTTTTAACTCCTTTATCTAGCTGCTGATAAATATAGAGGTGCTTGGTTATGGGGTAAAAGCTGTAGTGGATTTATCATATGATTATATTTTATAATTAAGTCTGACTTGAGGAATTCAGAATCTCTTCCTCCTCCCTGTGAACTATTGAGGCTGGCTAGATCTGGTGTCATCTTATAGCTAATGTCAAACAAATGAGTGGAGTGATACTTACTTGTTTATGTTTGGCAGCAGTAATTCTTTAGCCATTTCCCTTTGTAAGACACCTTCTTGGCACTGTGTATCCTTAAGAAATCCACTTGGAAGGTGAATTATGATCTAAATTTTAATGTATTTGATATTTAGGTTCCACTAACCCAAATTATGACCCTTGCTGACCTGTACAGAGTTACTTGGTTACAATTCTGCTATAAAATAAGATTTCAGGATCAATCTATAATTTTACTGACTTTTACAGGCATCCATATGTGTATTCACTTTTCTTTAACTATTAAGTTAAAACATTAAATGTCTTATTCATAGGCAAAGGGTCATGACACGTCCCATCACGTGTTGGCTGTATTTGGTGGAGCTGGAGGTCAACATGCCTGTGCTGTGGCACGAGCACTAGGGATGCAGTCTGTTGTAATTCACAAGTATGCCGGTATTCTGTCTGCATTTGGGATGGCTCTTGCAGATGTTGTACATGAAGCACAAGAACCATGTTCAAAATCTTACGTACCAGGTAAGATTTTATTTTATTAATAATAATGTTGTGTTTTTTATACATTCGCTAACCATATTCCTTGGCTGCAGCCCATTTACTACACGTAAGAACATAAGAATGGAGGAAACTGCAGCGGGCCTATTGGCCCATACTGGGCAGTCCCATTTACACCCAACTCCTATTGCTCATATATCCATCCAACCTATGTTTGAAGCTATCCAGCATATTCGAGTTAATGATGATATTTGGTAACTTGTTCCAGTCGTCCACTACTCTATTTCCAAACCAATGTTTACCTATTTTGCTTAAGACGACCCCCTAACTTTGGGCTGATTTTTTTATGGTTCAAATTCCGTCTTATAGGCCGAGATATACGGTACAAGTTTTAGGCTATACAGTAGAACGTCAATATAACACGAGAAACGTTCCAAGAGAGGACGCTTTAAACCAAATTCGCACTAAATCGAAGTGTTGTTTCAATGGAATAATTTGGTTTGGTAATTGAGAGAAACACAAAATACTAAAAAGATGTAAAGTCTACCCAGATGCACCTCAGCCCATCTAGAATAAACAAAACATTGTTTTTTGTAGCATTATATTAAAACAAACACTCATAAAGCAACACATAAAATTAAGGGATGTTAAATGGTCTGTTTACTGGCGATCAGCTGATGGGAAGATGGGGGGAGAGGTGAGGTGATATGTTTGACAGTGCTTATTTATTTATCTGTCCTTAAGAGTGACTAAGTTTTTCTCTTATAAAATGTCACAGAAGTGACCCGGGAGAATATCATTTACATTGCTGGAATTCTTATAAGATGGTGATCAATTTGAATATAAACATGCTGTAGTTTGCACTAGACAAAAATTTTAGTAATCATTTAGTACATTATTTTGAGTGCATGTACAGTACAGCTTTGCCCTTAGGACAGTGTAGCGTGCCCAGAGAAACATTAGGCGCCAAATTTTAAATATGATGCGCCAGAGTGACTCGCGCAAAATAGGAAAGATTCGCTTTAAATTAAAACAATATCCTTAATTGTGGGTGTCGCTTTAAATCGATAATCTTAAATTGAATCGCTTTAAATCGACATTCTACTGTATTTGCCCTATAACACAATTATGAAATTTTAACCTTAGTCATATGGTGTAGGTTGTCACCATGGGTGTCCTAAGAAAAAATATCTATTAAAGAAAACTTCTTTCTTACCTCAAGAATAACAAGTAAAGCAAATTGGGTGAAGTAATAGCACTTTTCCTACTCAAGTTTTTTAACGATGAAGTAAAGACCGGTGCTTATACCAGCATTGCCATAGGTTATTAAAAAAATTCATCTTTTGAACATTTGAAGTTCTTTATACAATTATTCAAAATTTGTGGTTGTATAATATTTTAAATCATTGTACTTTATCTGAAAGAAATACACAGTAAATAGATTTTTAAATATACTCTTTCTTCAAGAATAGAAAGTGCCGATACTACGTACATCTTCATACATCTTGTAACACTCATGTGATACATTTTAAAAGTTAATAAATTATTCATGTGTGATGGTACAGGTAGACCATGATTTTTGAAGCTTTGATTTAAGAATTTTCAAAGTTACAAAAAAAAAATCCCATAAGGAATGTATCTTGGATTTTATAATGGGAAACTATGGGAAAATTTGCTTTGATTTATGAAAGGTTTTACAGGAACTGAACCATTTCATAACTCAGAGTCTACCTGTACAGGAAAAATATTGGGAATAATCTTCATTGGTTATTTTATCTTTTTGCAGACAGGAATTTGTAGGCTAGGCAGGAAATTGAAATACCATAGTGAGGTTTTAGACTGCATTTTTTTTTCAGGGTTATAACTCAAAATGCTTTCATGTCAAGTAACAATTAACTCTCTCTTATTGTCTCCAGCAAACTTTTCATATCTAGATGAGCATCTGGAAGCCTTGGAGAAAGAATGTGTTGACTACCTGCAAGGTCAGGGATTTTCCTCCTCAAACATTGTTTGTGAAGCATACCTGAACCTTCGTTACCAGGGTACAGATTGTGCACTCATGTGTACTGTTAATAAAGATGGTCTGAGCACCAAAAGTGATGCTTGCAAATATGGTGACTTCAAGCAAGCTTTTTTGGAAAGGTTAGTGCTGCATTATTTGTGACTCATAACAGATTATTATAACCAAAGTCTTCTCTCATAACAGATAATTATAACCAAATTCATCTCTCATAACAGATTATTATAACCAAAGTCTTCTCTCATAACAGATAGGATCATAGACAATTCACTGTAAAATGTCTGTTCACTTAAACTCCTTTAAATAATGGAAATTTTCAACTTTGGACACAGCAGCAACTCACACACAACTTTCAGAAGGGTAGAGACATTACTGAAGAGATAATAGACTACATACTTCAACTTGACACTCTCGTCCTGATTGGTGGATGTGCGGTGTTGGCAAGCTTGTAATACGATTATCATTGGCTGATGCAATCTTTTCCACAGGTTTATGAAGAGGGAGAGAAGCTGCAAGATATGGAATCTTGCTTCAGCCTGCCACATATAAAAAAAATATGTGACAATATCAATAATAGATTTCAAACAAATTTAGGCTAACTATTTTATAATTATGTAAATGGATTATGCTGTAAATGAGTAAGATTTTTTTAGTTAGGACAAACTTTAGCTGGTTGGGTAAAAAATAATATTTAAATAATGCAACAAAACTCTTACCTCATTTTTTATTTTGATTTAGTACTTGATAAACATCACAAATCTACCAGTAGTCTGATATTATAAGCACAATATGTATACAAAGGAAACTGGGCTATAATTTTAGTGTAACAATGTCACTGCTAATTGCAAAACTTGGTTCAAGTGACACACCAACACAGTTCAGGAGGTAAATCTGGTCTATAAAGTGTAATATGAAGGAAATTGTTCAGTAATATTCTTGGTTTTCAGGTACCAGAGAGAATTTGGTTTTGTTATTGCTGACCGAAAAATATTCGTAGATGACATTAGAGTTCGAGGAATTGGAAAGTTGATGATAGACACAGGTGAGGTAGTACCTCAGGCAGAAGAAGAACCCAAGATAGAAACTGTAAGTACTTTGTGACAATAATGCCAAGGAAGTAGGAATATATAGCTATTATTTTTCTGGTTATAAGAGGAATTACTGCAGTTGTCATTTTTAACTTAACTTTAAGTGACCACACGTTTGCAGTGCTAATTTAAGCCAAATTGGAAGTTACAAATAGACAGTACAGTGCAGGTCTAACATTTTAAGTTCTTGAGTCTGATCTCATGTCAGGCAGTATATTTGGTGCTGCATGAGGTAAAACAATTATATATTTCATCACCTTGGCCTCTAATAAATGGTAATTTCACAAGGGTATTCTTGATTTTTATTTCTTTTAAACAACATAAGGAGGTTGTGGAAATAGTGTGACAGAGGAGACAATATCCTCCTTACATCTTCAAAACTGTGGACTGATCTAACCCTTGTGGAGGGTTATGAGATTGTGCACAACCATTCCCTAGGTCGCCCCCACTTCTCCATCAAATTTCAGCTCTGTCTTAAAAATGTGGACCAACCCGCAGTTGAGAGATCATGGTTGCCATTCCATCTCTCGTTGAGGGATAGGAAGTAATGCACAACGATCCCCTAGTTTACCCACACCAGGTCTTGTCCCCTCGAGAAGTATTCAGAGAAGTGGTCTGTATCTTTAATGCACTTCAGTATTGTTTCTTAACATATTGCTGGAACATTGAACAGTTGAACGGATGATTTGTTTATGGACAAGCTGTTACTTCCTAGATTATGGGTTAGAAATGTAGTCACTACAGCAGGCAGCACTATTCTACAGAGTGACACATGAGATACTTTTGTTTGTGTTATCCAAAATAAAGCGAGATTTATCAGAATCTTTGTAGGCCTTTAGGGCACATGTCCATTGATTATGGGGAAAGGTATGCTGCTAATTAATGATGCTAAAATGTGTGAAGTGATAGGAGTAGACCAGATAGATATTGAAGCACTGCTTTGGAAAGGGATTACAATGGCTGATTTCATCAGTTACCACATTAAGGATAAATGTATGACAAAGAATGAAGGGTTAGTGTGTGTGTGTGCACGCTATTGATTCCATCTTCCTTCATTGAGGAAAGGCTTGAAGAAAAAAACCTTTATAATCCCAAGATAAAGAAAATTCACAATACATTGACAAAATTATCTCTTCATTATTAGAAGAGGGATGCTCATTCTTATAAGCTCTCTCTCCATCTAGAAAGAAACAGGAATATGAATTTGTTTTGCTCATCTATAAATTTTATTCACTCCATTCATTTACTTATACAATCTCTTTATATTATCATGTAGAAAAGTTCATCACCAAGCCCTGGAAGGCTTCAAGTATCAATATGTAGTCTATCCATTTCTGACAGAATTATTGACATTTGAACATGAGAAAATTTGTGATTTGGGATGCTATGATGCAGAGCATTTCCTGTGATATAACGAGATGACTTATGCATCTTTATTCACTGCTCTTGCTTCGTACAGTTGTTTAAAAGACCAATACGTAATGAGTTTGTTATCTACATTTATTAGTAGGAATTAGCTCTTCACATAATGTATTACTAATATACAGCATAAAAATTTTCAGGTGACGAGCATTTACTTCAAGGAAGGTTGGTTAGAGACTCGGGTGTACATGTTGTCCTCTTTGTTATCAGGACATACTATACCTGGGCCTGCCATCATCATGGATAAATTGTCCACTATACTGATTGAGCCAGGTTTGTATAATTACCCAAGTTAATACACATTTTTTCTTGTATGCATGGATATCTAGGTAGCAGTCAAGAGTATGGATGACAAGAGGACATGGCATCAAGAGATTTTTGAGGCTGGATGTGCTGCTGATGAGTAGTACTGTACAGATATGGGACCATTTATCCGGCATGCTTGGGACCTGAGGGTTGCCAGATAGGGGGTTCTTCTGGAATTTGGAGCACCAGGCCTAAAATGTAAAAAATTTAGAGTAAACTCAGTAACTGGCTGTGAAGACTCTGTTCAGATGACTAGATTCACCCCTAAAAGTAGCCTTAACTGCACACTGTAATATTAAAACTTAAAAGTGTAGGCACATGAACAGCAGTAACAAAAGCATATAAATTGTACAGTAGTAATGAAAGCTTAAAAGTGCAAAAATGATACAAGTTGCTATATAAACTGCATTGCAGTCACCACTGATGCTCACTTTAGCAACATAACAGTGTCCTTGGTACCGGTGCTCTGCAGCGGACCCTTCTTCCTCTCCACACACTCACCACACAGCTTCATGGATGTAAACCCGTAGATACGTCTTATTATTGGTTCTTTTTGCACTTTTTTTAATGTAATATTGTGTGTGCATGGAACTGATTAAATAAAATGAAGAAAATTAAGAGTTGAAAAATACTTTGGCCGATACCTTATGATAATTTTTTTCTTCACTTTCTGTATGTAGGATTGAGTGTGTATGTATCTGAGTAAAGAAAATGAAGAAATTTACACATATTTACCCAAAATTTTGACTTGAAAAATAGCTGTAACATAACATACTGTAGCTCACAAATGGGAAATGGTTGGAAATATTACTACTTGGCCTGGGGATTACTTTTGACTCATTTTGAATAATTTATTCCACAATATAGATAGTTTATTTTAATATTCTGGATACCAGGATGCTGGATAAATGGTCCTATACCTGTACAGTACTAGGTTGTGTGAATTGTCTAGTAAAATATATAAAGTAATTGCTCTATAACAGTTTGTGTGTAGTTTTTGGGTGAGATACTCTGCCAGGCAGTCAACTAGCTGCTTACAGACATATGGCTGCCACGCCGTGCTGTGTGTATGTCATGACATCACATCGTGGAGGAGGGAGCGCGGCCATAGTTACAGCTCACTGCCAACACCGTCATGCAGTTCCCATAAATACACACCCATTCTCTTCATTTTTCTTAATTAATAGTTTTATATTATATTTTCTTTATTTATAAGTCACATTTATAAGTGTAATGATTTTTCCACAGCGGTTGGGCTGGTGAGTCAACGTAGTTCACTTCCCACAGTGGGTCCCTAGGTTACGAACAGGTTCCGTTCCTGAGGACGTTCTTAAGTCGGATTTGTACATAAGTCAGAACACATACTATGTGCATACTGTACTTACAGAACAATGTTTAAAATCCCACTGTACCATAGACTAAGTCCTTATATACATCAAAAATAATTTCAGACAAAAGAAAAAATCGAATGACAAAATACAGTAAAGGAAAGTAAAAAGTAAGTCATCAGGTAAATAAAATATCCTCTGCTGTAAATTTTTTTTTCTTATTAAATAGTTGTTGTTTTTTCTAAGCCACATCATTATATAGAGTGCAATAAGTGTTTAAGAAGTCCATTTTTCTGATACGAATTTGCGAGATCAGCCTGTGGCGCTGTGCATTGTAAGATTTATTGGAGGATCCTAAGAGTGAGTTTCAACTTTCTGGAAAAACTCTTTATCTGGCATCTCTCAATCCCCAAAGGTACCGGGTAACTGGATTTCTACTAGTAATACCCTGATTTACACGGTCAATTGAACCTGCGGAGTAGCGCGTAAAACGAGAAACGCGTAAATGGAATAACAGAACATATGGGATTAATTGAAATAGAGACTGGGCCAACTCCCGAACTCCACTTTTTCCGACAATATGTTGAAGTAAAAATAACATTTTAATTTTATGATGGTATGCGCACACAATTAGTATTTAAGAAAAATACAGTTGCCAGGTTAATGTCCAGCCAGGTTAATGTCCATTCAAATAATGGACTCAACTACCAGACCCACCCCCCTCTCTTCCCACGCTCGCTGGCTCCCGTCTCTCTGAGAAATGTTTGGGTGAAACCACTAGATTTTAAGGTATAGTTATAAATAATACCTCAACTAAAGTTAGGATAATATAATTGACATTGCTGGATTCCTTGCAAGACCAGGAATATTTTGAATATAAACGTCATATATTTTGCACAAAAGATAAAATTTTGGCTTTGTAATCAAAATTCTTGAATTAGATCTAAAATTTGTATGTCTAATGCAAATTCCATGATACTTATATTTAAAATAATGAAAATCTTGTAAGAATTCCAGCAATGTAAATTATATTCTGGCCGGGTAATTTGTATGAATTTTATGAGCTAAAACAAATATCTTCAGTAAATAAACAAATTATTATTCACCCAGACACTATCTGTCAATCAAAATGCCCCACCTCCGCTCCCCCCCTCTTCCCACGCTCCTTGGGTCCCTCCCTCCATCCCTACCCCCCACCCCCCACCTTCCCTCCCTACCAGAGAAATGTTTGGGAGAAAACAGTATATTTACATTTTTAGTAATAAATAATACCTCAGACTAAAGTTAGGATAATATAATTGACATTTCTGGATTCCTTGCAGGTCAGGGAATATTTTGAATGTAAACATCATATATGTTACACAAAAGATAAAATATTTGCTTATTTTCATGATCTCCTTAAATTACATCTAAAATTTGTATGTCTAATGCCAATGTTAAGATGTTTATATTTAAAATGATCACCATCTTGTAAGGATGCCAGCAATATAAATTATATATTTTATGAGCTAAAAACATATATATCTTCAGTAAATAAACAAATTATACTTCACCCGCGTAAATGAGTAAATTCACTGCGTAAATCGGGCATGCGTAAATCGGGCCGGTTCTGGCAACCGTGTAAATGACCAAACGCGTAAATGAGAACCGCCTAAATCGAGGTTCAACTGTACGGGTATATATGAATGTGTGTACATTATTTTATTTTGTGTGTGTGTGTGTGTCCCACCACTCCACTAACACCAAGCATTTGATCAGTATGCAGGGCACAACACACCACACCACTACATGGACTTCTGTACTGCTGCATTGGTAGTGAATGACACCTGTAGATATTGTGTATAATTTGTATCACTAAATACAGTACGCCCGGATAATTTGCGGATTTTTATTTTGTGGTCCTCTATTATTCGCGGATGGCACCCTAGATGTACCCAAGAATGTCTGCGGATAGTTTTAAAGTTGCCAGCATTTTCGCATCCGGGACAGGGAGATATTCGTTCTAGAGACAGTAATTTCCTTTAACTGCATTGTATATATGCGTGTGTGTAGACACACACACACACACACAAAACACATGCAAATAAATAATAATGAGAAAATCCCCTCACAAATAATCAGAACCAAATGTATATTAATAATCTTGAGTCTACCCTCAAGTCTACTCTGTGCTTTATTAATAACAAAGCACGGAGTAGACTTGAGGGTAGACTCAACATTATTAATATACATTTGGTTCTGATTATTTGTGAGGGGATTTTCCCATTATTATTTATTTGTATGTGTTTTGTATATATATGTGTGTGTACACACACACATATATATATACAATACAGGTAAAAGAAATAATTGTCCTAAGGTCAATCACATAAAGGGCATATATACTGTATATTCTTTTGTTCACAAGTAAAATGTAACAACAACAACAACCCCCCCCATCCGTAAGCAAATGTTATTCTCAGATTTTGCGATTCGTGGCCCTTTTGAGAACCTAACCCTCGCAAATTTGAAGGGCCTACTGTTGGTCTTATTATTTATAAATATTAATAGTACGTTGCTTTGTTCCTGTGGTTAACAATTTGTGGTATAATAAAATATGTTTTTGTGTTCAAACATGATACAAAGGACTGGCCATCAATTTCTTTTCATTAAACATTCTTACCATGATTAATGACCAACCATTCCCCCGTGTTGTCTAATAATGGTGGATTTTATTGTAATACTGTAGGATAATCTATATGATTTAGTGCTGATAGGCTGTAACTTCTACTGGGAGATGTTGACGTCCCTCACCATGGTACTGCTACATGAGTTTTTGGCATGGCCACAGTAGTATTGATGTAGAGATCGTTGTATAAAGAGTTCTGTGTTATTTGGTTGCATTGAAATACATTAATATGCATCATAAAACATGAGTAGAGTATTAACAATGGCTTATTATAGTCTTCCTTTATAGAATTAAAAGTTCAAGCCAGACAGGAGATAGTCTGCCACCAGTGGTTGATGTTTATTTTGATGTAGTATAATAGGAATTTTATTAGATTCATTTTAGGCTTAATATGTAATCTACTTTACAGAATTTTAAAATTGGGTTATTTAATCATTATTTTATCATAGAATTATATTTCTAGGCTGTGTAGGCCATATCACATCTCAAGGAGATGTACAAATTCAAGTTGGAAGTACAAAAAGAGATAAAATTGGAACAGAACTTGATGCAATTCAACTGTCAATTTTCTCACATCGATTCATGAGTCTGGCAGAACAGATGGGAAGGTATGTATTGCTTCAGATTTAAAATGTTTTTATCTATTAGTTTTAAAAGTGTCAATTTATAAGGTCAGCCTGGGCATTGCACTTATCTTAAGCACAAATTTGCCCACATGTACATAAACATATGAAAGTATAATTGTGGCCTGAAGGCCTAACAGCCTATTGGGGACAGTACACATTCAGCACACTTGTAATAACTTTTTTTTTTTTTATACAAGTAAGCTACAGTGGGGTATGCTATAACGAACGGATCCTACTATGAATATTCCTATAACGAACGGTTTTACCTATAAAATTGAGAATGCTATAACGAACGAAACTCCTACAACGAACATAATTTAAATTTTTTTTTTTTCTAATTTATTGTTTTATTATTACAAATATTAATGATATTCTTTATTTCAGGGGTTTAGATGCATATTTATGCACTTTTTTACAATTTTTACAATTTTATATTATATTTTTCAGTGTTAAGTGGTTGTATTTGGGGGCCTGGAACGGATTAATCCTATAACAAACGATTGCTATAACGAACAAGGTTCTAGAACCAATTAGATTTGTTATAGCATACCCCACTGTATATGGTTGGTATTGCACTTGATAACCATTGATATACTGATATCTTCCATAATGAAAGTGTTATTTGAGACTAATTCTTGTTTTGCGTAAAGATAGGACGAGATGGTTCGGACATTGGGAGAGAATGGAAGAGACCAACTAGGTCAAGATGTGTGTGAGTTTGAATGTGGAGGGGAGGAGAGCCAAGGGTTGGCTAAGAATGACATGGGGAGAGTTTGTAAGAAATGACCTCAGAAATAAGAACCTGGGGAAAGAGGCTGCAAGAGACCATGCAGCAGGAAGAGCTACTATCAGATAATCATGGCAAACCCACTCGAGCGTGGAAAATTATCATAAAATGGTGATGTTAATGTCTACCTCAAGACAATCCAAGATTAGACAAAGGACACCGAATTTTATTCCAGTCATTTTGAATGAAGGCTTGCATAATGTTGCAGTTTCCAACAGCAGTACACAGCAATCACTCAGTCTGCCAGTAGTATCTGTCAAACATAAAGTTTTTGAAGTGAACGAAGACTTTAAAATTTATATCTCACATGAATTTTGTCTGCCTGATTCCATGGTGGGCCAACCTACAAGACATATACATCTTCAAAACTCAGATCTTGGAATAAGAGTTCTTTATGGATTTAATGTTTGCTGTGATAGATGAGGCATGAATAAAAGATGCACTTGAAACACCAAGTTGCTAGAAGGAGCTGTTGAGTTACTCTCCTGTGTCACCACAGTGGCAGCCACCGCTTACATGTGGTTTCCCCTCTACTAACCAGATTTTGTTTGTGTTTTTCTGGGTTGAGAATACATGTGTTCGGTGCTGGACTCCAGTTCGGTTTACTACATAGATGTGCGACTTTTTCTGGGGATACGAAAATTCGTCTCAATATCTGGAAGGCTCTCAAGCCCAGAAACACTTAGGAACTCATCCCTTGTGATAACCAGGACATTCCTGTATACTACTGTATATGTTGAAATATCAAAGCTCTCCAGGTGTATGCTGGAAAACTAGGTTCAGTATTTTTCTCTCTCATCAGAATTTTGCAACGAACCTCCATATCCACTAATATCAAGGAGCGCCTCGACTTCTCGTGTGCCTTGTTTGGTCCTGATGGAGGATTGGTATCAAATGCTCCCCATATTCCAGTTCATTTAGGAGCCATGCAAGAAACTGTGCTTTACCAGGTCAGTCTTTGTGCATCACCAAGAGGTAGGGTAGGTAGTGTTATTTTTATATGGCTGACTCATCCAATTTTAACTAAGATCTTTTTGACCAGACTCACTTAACTGAGTCAAAATTGTGATTGGATTGGCTACTTTAGGCATATTATTATTATTATTTTTTTTTTAACTTACTGAGTTAATGTAGTAACCATATTTAATGACTTTGAAAACATTTTGACCAGCTCACACTGTTGCAGTTTGGTCCTTGTTATTTTCATGTCCTTAATGTTTTTTTTTTGTTTTTTGTTTTTTTTTGTGGAGAGTGTCTTTAGAACTACTGTATACTGATACTAAAGGATTTCAACTGTAAATACAGTAATTATCTGGAAAATTAAGATGTATAATGGGAAAATAGGAATACATCATCATATGTGAGAGTCAAGGAGTGGTACAAATGGAAGAAAATTATGGGTGGGGATCTTGGAAGAAATTTTCTGTGCAAAGTGGAAGTAGAAATATACCATACTGTACATACATCACAAGGTAATTTTATAACATTGAAAGGAGACTGGGTGGAGAGGGGAAATGTGTGGGATAAAAAGAGCAATATTTTCTTCAGTTCTAGTGATACAAAAATGCCTGAATTTAAATGTTTTTTCTCTTTTTTTTCAGTTTCTCTTATGCATGGTTAATTATTTTGAATACTCTGTAGTTTCTTTCTGTACAATATAAAATGTTTTATAAATGGTTCAGGACTGTGGTGAAATGAACCTAGAATGTTCAGTTCATGGTCAACTGTTCCTCTCCAGAAATTTGATTCTTCATGAAACTACTGTGGAGACTGTGAAGAGTAATGAGGGCAAAACAAGAACAATTATAACAAAAACTAATGAACTGGATAGGAACTGTAAATTTATACAACATAAATAAACACAGGTTGAGTCTCTTACCCAACTGGCCTGACTGCCGCTGTCCCCCACACGTCTAAACACACACACATACATAATTGTAACCCAGAAACTACTTTGTTTACATTAATCACTGCTATATATATTTTTTTTTCTGTTGCTGTGATAAAGAAAACCTCGGCAAAATTAAATTTAATAAAAAATTTCTTAATTTTCCTTGTTATATTTTGTTGAGGAAGCAGCCAGGATATATAAGTAACAGCCAGGATATATAGATAACAGCCAGGATAAATAGGTAACAGCCAGGCTATATAGGTAACAGCCAGGATATACATTATTACCCCGTTTTACACGGTTTCACTTTCCGCGGTACCTTGCCAGACCCAGACTTTCACTTTCCGCGGTGCATCAACTCATATACGCGGTGAAGTATAATTTTTTTTTATTTTTATTTAGCTCATAAAATTCATACAAATTACTCGACCAGAATATAATTTACAGTGCTGGAATTCTTACAATATGATGATCATTTTGAATATAAACATCATGGATTTTGCATTAGACATACAAATTTTAGATCTAATGTAATAAATTGGTTTACACAAAGCAAATATTTTATCCTTTGTGCAGAATATAAGTTTACATTCAAAATATTCCCTGACCTGCAAGGAATCCAACAATGTCAATTATATTATCCTAACTTTAGTCTGAGGTATTATTTATTACTTAACGTTAAAATCTAGAGTTTTTACCCACACATTTATCTGGTAGGGAGGGAAGGTGGGGGGAAGGGTTGGGACCGACCGACCCAGCTGGCGTGAGTGTGAGGAGGGGGGAGGCAAGGTGGGGTATTTTGATTGACAGATAGTGTGAAGAATATTTTTTTTTTTATTAACTGAAGATATTTGTTTTAGCTCATAAAATTCATACAAATTACTCGACCAGAATATAATTTACATTGCTGGAATTCTTACAATATGATGATCATTTTGAATATAAACATCATGGATTTTGCATTAGAAATACAAATTTTAGATCTAAAGTAATAATTTGGTTTACACAAAGCAAATATTTTATCTTTTGTGCAAAATATATGAAGTTTACATTCAAAATATTCCCTGACCTGCAAGGAATCCAGAAATGTCAATTATAATAATAATAATAATAACAATTAACGGTTTATTGAAAGAGCTTGGCAGCCAGAAGGCTGAAAATATACAGTTACATATTTGGGGAATGGGTTACGAATTACAAATAATATACAAGTAGCATAAGTGACACAAATAAGACATATAATAACTAGATGTGGAAAAGCTCAAACTACAGTTCATTTCAACATAGTGACAGTGTAAGGAGCAGTGTTTACTGGGAGTGAATACACTGATTTATTACAAGTTATTGATAATTTTTACAATGGTTGGGACTGGGCTGTTCTTATAGCGATCAGTTCGTGCACGTATGGGCTGGATGCGGTTGTGGTGTCGAACAGCAATTCTCGGACAAGGGATCTCAGGTGGTAGTAGGAGCCGGTGTCGGGGATGGTGTAGAAGCTTCTTACCAAATTTGCAGATGAGGTCGTGGTGATGGTCAGTGAGAGTCGAAAGGGTCAGTGTGTTGAGCGCTTCTTGATATGTGGAGTAGGAAGGGGAGAGAATAATCTTGCATGCCCTCTTTTAGTCTGAGGTATTATTTATTACTAAACGTTAAAATCTAGAGTTTTCACCCAAACATTAATCAGAGAGGGACTGTATTTCTCTTGAATATTAATTGTGTGAGCATACCATCATAAAATTTAAATGTTATTTTTACTACAACATAGGTATTGTGTCGGAAAAAGTGGAGTTTGGGGGTCGGGCCAGTCTCTATTGGAATTAATCCCATATGTTTTGTTGTTCACTTTACGCGGTTTTCACTTTCCGCGGTACCCTGTGGGTTCAATTGACCGCGTAAATCGCGGTACTACTGTACAGCATAGGGAGCAGCCAGGATGTATAGGGAACAGTGTGGATATACCTGTATATGGAGTAGTTAGGATATACAGGGAACTGTAATTATATATGAACAATTCAAACCATGACAAGAAAAATCTTAACTGTAGTCACACATTGAGGTGGGCTTTATTACTCTGTGGGCTTGAGTTTCCTTGTCTGGAGGTCAGTCATAAAAGGGGATTTCCAGGATCAATTCCCCATTTTCTATTTTGATGAATAAGAAATATCATCATTTATATTTTTGAATGTCTGCTTTACCCAAACAATAGCACTACAATAAATACATGAAATTATTTTATAGATTATTAACTGTCTTTATTATGCATGGTAATTCTTGCTTAGTAAGGTTGTAATAATGTCATCTTGACTTGCAGCTGCAGCTGTTGGGAGATAAACTGAAGGATGGTGATGTGTTGCTGTCCAATCATCCCACGGCAGGTGGTTCACACTTGCCTGACCTCACTGTTATCACTCCAGTGTTTTACAAGTACGTTCCTTCCCTCCCCATATTTTCCTCGTTACCTCCAGTAAACCCTTGATATAATGGACTAAATGGGGGGAAGGCCGGTTCGTTAAACACGAAAGTCCGTTATATCTGTAATAATAACGGACTCGGTCCATTATATACCAACATACTATTCTGAAGTGACTATGATCAATTTACTGTGCTTGGGGAGCGGTTTACTTGCACGGTTAAACCCTAGCCACAGTTGGGGTCCCTCCCAGGAGAAAAAATTGGTATAATGAGCTTATAACACAAGTATATGTGACAGTTGTATATCCTTACCACTATTATTCTATTCCTGCTTGTTTAGTGACTAACTATAATACCTTTCAGCCATACGGTGGGGTCTCATTTTGCGTGGGTATAATAAATAATAATAATTAACGGTTTATTGAAAGAGCATGGCAGCCAGAAGGCTGAAAATATACAATTACATAATTGGGGAATGGTTCTCTTTATTTACAAATGATGTACAAGTAACATAAGTGATACAAATATGATATATGTCTGACATATGTCTGATAATTTTTACAATGGTTGGGACTGGGCTGTTCTTGTAACAATCAGTTCGTGCTCGTATGGGCTGGATGCGGTTGGGCAGGTGTGTGGCCATGTGGCCAGGACAGTAGCTTGGGGCAATGCAGGTGTGCTCCATCCTTCAGGTTAGGTCAGGTGAAGCCGGGAGGTCAGATCAGATTAGGTCAGATCCAGCCACAATCAGTATTGCTGTGTTTTTGTGCTTTTCCTTCGAATTGAAATTGCCACTTTTGTATATCACTTGTGGGTTGATCGTCAATCTTTGCACTGTACTGTTGGTGTGAGGATGTTGATAAATCCAGATGGGCAGGAGGAGATGGGGAGGGCCCGACAGACTGGGCTGGCAACTGTGTCCATGATCAAGAGACCACAGCCGTGTTAGCTGGCAGCGCCGACTACACACGTCCCTCCCCTTACCCTATGTCCGTGCATTGGAAGTCTGCACAAGCAATGCCCTTTAATTCCTAGGCTTCGGGTCATGGAGAGAGGGTTGACTGCTCGGGGAAGAAATTACGTATGTACGGTACGGTACCTTTTGATTTAATTTGTCGTTTTATTTTGACGCTAAATTATATAGTGTAGTATCATATTTTGTTCCATTATTTAATATTGCGTTATATAATTTATGATGAAACATACACCACCGTAATAGGTTAATCATATGATCATACGAGAATATAATTATGAATAAATAAAAACAAACTGGTGACTGAGGCAACAGCCAGTCCCCCCCCCCCCCTCCCTACTTCCAGCATATTTAAGTTAGAAACACCAGTTTTTTACCAAAATAATCCTGTATAGTTCATCTAAAAGTTTGGTTAAATAAATATATTAAAGAAAAAACTATATGATATGGGCGTGCGAAGCACTTACACCCAGTTACAAGGGAGAAAGGACAAGCAACCCTTGTTGGGGGGTGAGGGAAAGTGACCACATCACAACCTTCCCTCGCCCCCACCACACACTCCTCCGCCTTCCACCTCCTGTCTGTGCCCTCTGTAATTGTTGTAAGTAAATAAGAACAAGAATAATAGATAAGGTAAGAGAAGTTATGTAAAGAAATAAAAAGAAAAAATAGAGGGAAAGAAATAGAGTAATTAAAGAATAAATAGAAAATACAGGTAAGAAAGAAACATTATGTCTGTCATGTTACTGACCTGACCTGATGCAATATCAGGTCACCCATTGTCGGGTTGAGGAATTAGTGGGTCTCATAACCTGAAGATATTTTGAATAAATATATAAGTAATATACATTACACTGTACCTTCAATAATTTGGGTTTCTGCTTAATTTGTATGATTGTTTGTTTATTCGAAAATGAATTAAACAATTTGAATTCGTAATGAATCTGAAATAACCATGCTGTTCCGAAAAGTCAGTTATTATTATTATAGGAATATATTATGAAATAGATTAAGATGAATGAATTATAGAAATAAAATTTGAATTATATTAAGATACAAACTATGTTTGGATGCATAGCCAGTGAGAGGTGGCAGAGGAGGGGGTAGAGCGCAACTCACCGCTCATCACCCCGTGATCCCTTTATAACGACAGCCTGTAATTTCACCATAATTCCCATATTATTTCGGTTCATTTGGTGCCAGGTTAATAAAATATTGAAGATAATTAATTTTCACCCAAAAAAAATCATACACTCAATTTTATTTGAACTATTACGCCATAGTACAGTATATTCCCAGTCTTTTGTTTATAGAGTGGGACACCACTGATCATTCCTGCTCTCCTCAACACTGTTGCTAGCACTCACCATCTCTCAAGCACCGTATTTTTTCCAGTTATTGGAGTGACTCGGAGCCCTTTTTTTGACAAATTTACAAGGGTATAGTGTAATTACAAATAGAATATTTTATGTGGCAGCCAAGGCATGGGATCTGAATTGTTTGTTTTTTGGAATGTGAAACAAAACGAACAAATAATCAAACACAAAAATTCAGAAATTGTCGAATACTGTACTGTAATGTCAGAATATTCCGAACTCGGTTAATTTGGATTTTTCAGTAATTCAAGTATTTGCGCCAGTAAATTTTTTGCCATAATGGACCCGAGTCCATTATTTTTTTTTTGACGGACCCGAGTCCGTAATATATGAACCTAGTCTGAACGGGTCACAAGGTCCATAATGGCCATGGTCCGTCATAGTCAGTGTCCATTATATCAGGGGTTTACTGTACAATGATTTTTAAGCTTAAATTATACTGTATACAAATCCATCAGTGGGTATAATTAGAAGACCTGCTTTGATATACAACTCTCCCTAGTGAGACCAATAAACTTTAATGTCCTTGCCACTTTAAAATGGAGTGGGGAATTCAGTGTTACCCATGTTAAATTAGACATTGTCTTTGATCTCTTCAGTAACTGCAGAACACTTACACGTCTCGAGGAATTTTTCCTCAGTTATTCCAGCATCCCATTAGAAAGTTGCTGATTTATGTTCAAAGAATCCTTGTTTGAATATAGTCTTCATTGTTACCAGTTCCTGTTATTAATGTTTCCTATATGGCAATTATAGTGTTACAGACAATTAATATTACAGGGGCTCCCCTACTTACGAACTGGTTAGGTTCCTGAGGTCTGTTCGTAAGTCCAACATAACGCTTGTCAATACTGAATACTGTATACTGTACAGCATTGTAAAAAAGGTTGTACAGACAGCTATACCCCAATAATACTCGACAGTATTTCTTACCAGCCTTAAACGGTATTTTAATGTATGAATAGCATGTATAGTAATAATAAATAAACACTCACCATGTTTAGCCATTAAGTTTTCAAAGAGACTTATGGCCTTCTGCTGAATTAAGTTAAGGCTTATAGGCATGCGGTGCTGATGCTGGTCTTCCAGCCACACACTCAAAAGTTTTTCCATCTCTGCGATCACCGAGTCTCTTTTCTTACTAATGATCGTGGATTGCATTGGCACAGAACCTTTCACATATTACATAATGCGCTCTTTGTCCTTCAAAATTGTCCCAACAGTCGAACGATTCATCCCAAAATCATTTGCTATGCTTATCATTTTCTCACCTCTTTCACAACGCTTTACAATGTCCGCCTTAGTTTTCAACGTAATAGTGCGACTCTTCTTACTACCACCATCACCACTGGCATCACTCTTACGCTTCTGAGACATGTTGGGGTCAATAATATATGTCAGAACCACAAATAACACAGTGAGGCAGCAGAGGAACACAACAACAACAGTGGCGCTAGGGATACAGGGTAACGCTGAACAGCCAACGCCATCTATTGCGTGACGGTTGAACTTACGACCCGGCACGGTTTTCAAACAGGCAATTGGGCAATTGGACTTGTGGACAGGTTTGTTCGTATCTCTGAAAGTACGTAACTTGAATGTTCGCAAGTAGGGGAGCTCCTGTACATATATTGTTATTGGTTGTTCCTTTGCTATTGTTTATCAGTTCACTATTTTGTTGAGCTATGTGCATTTTAAAATTGTCATATGTATAAATTACTGTACAAGACGCACCCCTATTTTACAAGGAAATTCTATTGGGTCACGGATTATTAACGATTTTGGAATATTTGCAGAAGTGTGCATCGTCCAGTTTTCTATGTAGCTAGTCGTGGCCACCACGCAGATATTGGTGGCATCACCCCAGGCTCTATGCCACCACATTCTACCTCCATCCATGAGGAAGGAGCAGTCTTCTTATCATTCAAACTTGTTGATCAAGGCATCTTTCAGGTAAATAAGCTATTTGTAGAGCATTGTTTAGTCTCTAGTAATACACTTTACAACAACAACCAGTTCGGAGCAATTCATGTATAATAATCACCAGAGCCAATATGTTTGGAACTCAGGGAATCATAAACCTGGCAGCTGGAGCTAAACTGAAGATTAAACCATCTGATCTGGTGAATACATTGTCAACTCTTATAGGGAGATTTTGATGGTCCAATCTACAGCTTTTGTAACACTCCCTCATCGTGTATGTTTTAGCTGACCTCATGTTGACCATCTGACTAAATGGCAATGGCCAAAAATGGAGCATTGATTTTGAGATCCATTTTCCTGGTGAAGCCTGTGGCTGGGTGGCTCAGAAACCCTCTTTCCTCCCTGGGGTTCATTACCATCATTTAGGCACCTCCTGCATGCATTAAGTCTAATCCTGGATGATCACTCACCCTACATCACAAAATGGGATTTTATGATCAATAATTTATTAACATTTTGCCAGTTAAACTATTTCTTAAACTTTTCAGGAAAAGAAATTGATTGAGGCTCTCATGGATCCTGGGAAGATTCCTGGATCATCTGGAACTCGTAATCTTAAGGATAACTTGTCAGATCTTCGAGCTCAAGTTGCTGCTAACCACAGGGTATGTTTCTACTGTTCTGCTGTATGCCGAGGCAACTGAATTTACAGGGACTGAGAGAAGCTTTTATACAAGGGGTGACCTTTGGAATTACTGCTCAAGTTTATTGTAAGACTGAAATTTAGATTAAGGTTAATTAATGCTGTGGTTGGTTTCCTATATTTCATTTGTTTCTTTACATGTTCTTGAACATTCATATGTTATCTAATTTTATTATAACAGTATTAAGAATTAATACATTGAATGATTCCTCTTAAGTATGATACATATATTTTGAATTAGGTTGAGGCTTATTGATAAGAACCTAGCAAAAATAGGTAATTTTAAAATTATGAAAGTGATCTCCCTGATAATTGTCATCACCACTAGCAGCAAAGGTTTGTTTCTCTATGTTGTTATGATCAAGTGGAGAGGCATAAAAATAATATTGTAGTATTATATGCATGGCATAGTATATTTTTCTTTAATTGCATATAGAGTATATATGGTTGCTGAGTGCATACAATACTTGCCTCATGTCTTCAGGATCACTGGTTAGCTCCCAGGGTTCCCCAGTTCAGGTGGCTGATTACAATGCTGGTCGTGCTGTATCATTGTTTACTGAAGGCTTAATGCACAGTGTGCCATATTTACAGAGCCCCAGTAAACTCAGGCCTATGGGACACAATTTATGTACAGTTGCACAGGGATTTATGTGTGTAGAGAGTACAGTACTGTATCAGAATATTAAACTATACATTATGTCACTGGATTGTTTACTAGGTCAGCATCCCTGCTTGTCTAGATAAGGTTCATGTACCTTGGGGTATTAGCTCATCCCAGCCTTAAGCAGATGATGCTTGCTCTGTATACAAAATTGCAAATGTGCAACAGCCAATCAAGACTCCAGAATGTACTCCCTACAGCCTTACACCATGCTGCCTTACAAAAAGATTCCAGTGTTTTAGTTTTTATATTATTTTAGTATATTAGCAACTTTAAGTTTTATTTCCTAATACTTTTTTTTTCAATTTTGTCAACAGGGAATCCTGCTAGTGAATGAACTGATAGACTACTACTCTCTAGATGTAGTTCAAGCATACATGGGCCATATTCAGTCAAATGCTGAAGTGGCTGTTAAAGAGCTACTGAAAGAAGTTGGATGTCGTATCTTTAAAAAAACAGGAGTCGCTGCATTGCATGCCATTGATTACATGGATGATGGGTCCCCAATTGAGCTGACAGTAAACATCAACATTAAAAAAGAAACTGCTGTGTTTGACTTTGGGTAAGTGATGCTTATGTCCAATATTTTATCACTAAAAGCATGTTGCTAAATTCATAAATTACTCTAAATTTTCAAAGGTAGAGAGTGAATTCTGGAATGAATTTAAACAACTGAAGGTGTGTGAATGTTTATTTTATTCTGTTATGTAACATACGATGTTCCCTTATTATACAATAAAATTTCAAAACTTTCCTCTAACTGGGAGATCAAAGTTGACAAACAGTAAAAATTTTCCAACAGTTGAGAGACTTCCTACTGGTCAAATTATGCACTCAGGAAGTTGCGACCCTGCCTTGCCTACTGTTCCCACTCTATGGTTAGGTGTTAGGAAGGGCATCCAGCTCTAAAACTTCGCTTCAACATGCCTGATGGCAACTGGGTGGCATGAGCTGTGCACATCCCCTTGTGTTTGCTGTATTTTCTAGGCTAATGCCCTGGATGTACTGTGGTGAGCTGAGGAGTACATCCTGTTTTGGTTTTACCCATCAGGTAATCAAAGCTAACCCATGGAAGTGTGGGAAATGGCTGGAAAACATTGCTGATGATAATGGTTGCTGATGCCTTGAAAGTGTGTATAATACCACCCAAAATATGAGTTTTTAAGTAAAAATCAAGGTGGTTAATGTGCAATTAATTTTAATTATCATTACTGGAGAAAGATATGGTGCACAGTGGCCTCTCATATTACCAACCAACAATTTTAGTGTTCTTTATCTTTAGACAATCCCCAGTTATTCAGCTTAATAATGATATTTCAACCAAGAAGGTATACCAGTCATTATTGCTTCCTAAAACTGTACCATCATTGGTACAAAATGCAAGATACATAATATTTATTTTTACAATTATTTTTGTAACATGGAAGGCCATGCTATGGCTCTGCCATCTTGTTTAAGTTCCATTCACCTTCTTTTATTTAGTTCCTAACCATTTGTAATAAGCAGCAGACTTACACAGGTTACCTTTCCCTTGGACTGCTTATACAGTACATTACAGAAAACTGAATAGCAGTCCAATTTATCTATACATTAGGGATTACTGCAGTTGCTGAGGTTATCAGCCTTTTAAGACTTAAAAATTTTTACATTTATAGTTTTGTAATGTTTGTTGTTATAATTTACTGATTTTGCCAAGTCGGGCTAACCCACACAAGCGCAAAAAATGACCGTAAAGTGTAGATGATGATGATGGTAGGTCTTCCACAAGTAAGAGTTCATGTTTTATACAGGACAGACTCCCTTCTTTCCTCTCAAAGAAATTCATTTCTTAGGGAGTGTGAAAGATTGGTGAGTAAATGTTCTTTGCAACCATGATAGGTGAAGGTAGGTGTTTTGTTTTTTAAACTTGGTACTGTAGAGTTACTTGTATTAGGTCTTAAGAGAATGGTTAATAGAAGTTATAATTGATTTGAAATTTTCAATTTGACATAGATATAGGATCAATTATCCAAGACAATCCTGATAAGATCGGTCAAACTGGTGTGAGATGGCAGCTATACAGAGACATGAAAAAAATACATTATTTATTATAATTATTTTTTGAATAGGTGTTGTGTGAAGAAACTATAATATCTGGAAGAGAATCTGCATTTTCTACTATGATTAGCACCAAAAAAGATCAATGGGGTGTAGGTAGATTGAGAACTCGGTATCATCTAAAATTGTAAAGTGTTGGAATTTCATCATGCAGCAAGCTCAGGAATGTCCTGCAATGTTGAATTACATTGTTTCATTCTTTCGTGTACAGAGGAACAGGACCAGAAATTTGGGGTAATTGCAATGCACCTCGAGCCATTACTGTGTCAGCTGTCATTTATTGCCTGCGTTCCATGGTTGGTCATGACATACCCCTCAATCAGGTGAGTTGTGTTGCCAGTGTTGCACACTGCCTCAGTCAGGTGAGAAGTGTTTTCTTTACAAAAGTCAACAAATCGTACTCTTTGGTTACCGGTATTTCTATTATCAGCCCATTTAGTCCTTCTTGTAATGCATCTTTCCCCTTCCTTACCAGTTCATTTAAGTCATTCATTGTTGTTAGTTTTCATAAAAATTATCTAAAACCTGATCCTGAATGTCATTCATTAGTACATACAGTAAACCTAACTACTACCAGTTCCATGGGTTTAGTATTAACATGTTACCTCACTTCTACAGCTGTAATGTGTAATCTATGTAATTTTATTCTTTGTGCCATAGGAAGAAACAAACACATTTTTTTTATTCTGTTCATCCTTTAAAATCTGGCACTGCTAGGACTTAGAATATCCTGGCTTTGTGAATTTTCTTGTTTCCTGAACAGGGTCACTTTTCCCCCCTGTTGTTCCCATCTTCTAAGTCATGAAGCATTTGTGTTTAAGCTTCCAAAGTAAATTATTGTTCAGTTTAGTGGTGTACAGCTGTTAAGTAGAATTTACAAAAATTATGCATAGAACAGTATTGTTTATTGCAGCAGTTATAAACAACATATCACATTGGAGAAAATATAAGCAAAGGATTATAAAGTTGCAGAGGCATATCAAGGTTCTTTGTTGTGTAAAGATAATAACAAGTACTGAGTAAGATTTTATTATTTGTTTAGGTTAGTTTTCTGTTTAGTATCACCACCAGCACGATTTACTTCAATTTTCCCACTTGCTTCTGTTGTTAAAGGATATTATTATTATTATTATTATTATTATTATTATTATTATTATTATTATTATTATTATTATTATTATTATTATTATTACTACTACAGTACTATTATATTTCAGGGTTGTCTGAAGCCAATATCTATCAAGATACCTCCAGGATGTTTGTTGGATCCTTCACCAGATGCAGCAGTTGTAGGTGGTAATGTGCAAACATCACAGAGGGTAGTTGATGTCATCCTTCGTGCCTTTGGTGTTTGTGCTGCATCCCAGGGCTGCATGAACAACGTGACCTTTGGTGATGAAAGTATTGGATATTATGAGACTGTTGCAGGAGGAGCAGGAGCGGTATGTTAAATATTTTATCAAAGAGTTGGTCATTATATATGTGTGGGTGAGGGTGGGTCATATTAGCTGAAAATCGGATTAAAAGAGTAAACTATACATGTGGCTTACAGTACAGCAAAGATTACGAGTTCCATCTCTGGCCAAACAAGTCAGTTTACACATACTTGGCTGGGAGGGCAAGCCAGCTACTTACTGGAGAGGATGAGCTATCCACAAGGCAGCTCTCAATCCAGGCTGACCTGTATCTTGTATATTCATCATATCCAGAGATGCAAGAAAACATGTTCCTGGATGACTTAGGCTTAACCACAGAAAAATCATAATAAAATCATGAAGTTAATGTCTAGGTAAGGTAGAGTCTCAGTATTATGTGATTATATTGTATTTTGATGTAATTTTTGTGCTTTAACCAGAATCACCCAGTAAGGAATTATTATATCTTCAGTTAAGAGAATTTTTAATGGTTAGAATCTTTATAAATATGGATCAAGGACAACAATTACTCAGGGAAGTGGAATTGCACTCACACTCAGTAACCTCTTTTAAGGTCAGTACATGTTCATGTTTATACAGTGATCCCTCGATTAACGAGCGCCTCGGTTAACGAATTACCTTCCATAAGATTCTTCACTTCGGTAAACGAAAAAATTTCGGTTAACAAATTCCTTACGAATTTTTCCCAACATGTTTTCGCCTGCATTTGCCTGCTCACCAGCTGTAGTATTAGTCCGTCAATACAGTAATCGGTTTTAGGGCTTAAATTCCTTACCATTTTAGTAAATATCAAGAAGGTTGTGCTAATCAATAATTTTAAAAGTTTTATATTAAATTTTGTATTCATTTTAACAATTATTGAACATAATTGAAGTACAGGAAACTAGTTTTTTGTGCGCCAAACAGCCACTCAACACACCAAGCTTGGCGTCAGTTTGTTTACCGGTTCAGAGGAAGGAACATTTTGTTTGAGACTCAACATAAATGCTTTTTTTCTGTGTTTCCAGTCAAATTATTGGTCATTTTGAAATATATTTTATTTTACATATTGATATTATATAGCGCAGTGCAGTGTTGATTTAAAGAAAATAATCTTGAATTACACCAAGTGAACTAAAATTTTATGGGTGAAATGGCGGCATGAAGCATGGGGTGACTTCTCTTCCACCCCAATGCCTTCTCTTCTCCCTTCTCCTCCACCCCCATTCTAATTCCCATCATCATCATCAACCAGGAGCCTTCTACATGCACACCTCAAAGTAAGTGTATTTTACTGCATTTATTTTTAGTTTGTAAGTAGTTTTCGGTGAGCTGGGACCAATTACCCAAAAACCCATTGAAACAATGGTTTCGGTTAACGATTTTTTCGGTTAACAAGCAACCTTCTGGAACGAATTGTGCTCATTAACCGAGGGACCACTGTACTGTACCGTCATTTAACTGAGAGATTATCTACTACCTACATCACAAGAAATTGTACAGATACATAGCATAACTTTATAAGGAGATCTTTACTTACTGATATATATATATATATATATATATATATATATATATATATATATATAAATATATATATATATATATATATATATATATATATACATATATACAGTTGAATTCTCATATATACAGCGGTCCATGTAATCGTGCCTCTGAATGTCTTGAATAAAGCCAACTAAAACTCGTTGTTTCCATTTTCGTGTGATTTTATCAGATTACTCTTATCACGTTTTCATGTGATTTACATATATATATATATATATATATATATATATATATATATATATATATATATATATATATATATATATATATATATATATATATATATATATATATATATATATATATATATATATATATATATATATATATATATATATATATATATATATATATATATATATATATATATATATATATATATATATATATACAGTTGGTCCTCATATTACGCGGTCCCGCATTCCGCGTTTCACCGTTAACGCGGTGCCTTGCCAGAACCTAACATTCTTACATTCCGCGGTCGCGAACGCCATTACGCGGAGAGTGTCCGGCGCGACGCTATTTTTAGATTTTCCCCACGCGCCACCCGCCCGCCCGCCTGCCCGCCTGCCTGCCTCTCCCTCCTCCTCCCTCCGCTTGGGCAAGCGGCGCGGTAAGGTTGCGCAGTGTGTCTTTGTTGCGTTATCACTGACGTCATATGACGTATCAGACCTGTGATTGGCCATGCATCCCTACCCTCCTCTGCTGCTAGCTGTAATTGGCTTAAAGTATTATGACGTGTCCACCCGGGGGAGGGAGGGAGGGAGGAAAGACGACGCTTGACCTAGCCGCGGCAGTTTCATCCCTCAAGGCCACTCCGTGTAAACGCGCATCCATTGTTCCGTAAAATGGCTTCCGCCGGACCACCACCCCCAGAGAAAAACCTTTCCTTACCTGGACCCAGCGGCACTAAACCAAAGAAGACACGACGTTCCTTAAGCTACGAGGTGAAGTATACCATCATCCAAGAGTTGGAGAAAGGAACAAGGCAGGTTGATTTGGCGCGCCAGCATGGCGTGAACGAATCTACGATCCGGACTATAAAGAAGGATTCAGCCAAGATAAAGGAGCACATGAAGATCACAAAGTCTACAGGTGCTTCTATGATCAAGTATTTTCACAACCAGGTGCTTCTCAAGACAGAAAAATTACTTGTGAGGTACTTGGTGCGTCAGGCGCGACGGAACATGGCGGTCGACACGCGCTCTGTGAAGGACTACGCACGTGAACTGTACATGGCAGTGGCACGAAAGATGGGAATTACAGAGCCCAAACCCTTTAATGCTTCCTCTGGGTGGTTACAGAGGTTTAAGATCCGGAACAAGATCACCAATATAAACATTGGTGGTGAAGAAGCGAGTGCTGATCGTGCTGCGGCTCGGGAATTTCCTCCGTTTTTACGTGAGATTATGGAGGAAGGACAGTACAGTGACGACCAGGTGTTTAAAATGGACGAATCTGGTCTTTTCTGGAGAAAACTACCTTCCAAGTCCTACATTGTGAAGAATGCCAGCAGGATTTGGGGCCGGAAAATGCAGAAGGAACGCATCACCGTCCTGTTTACCACCAATGTCTCCGGTACCTGTAAGCTCAAGTTATCGGTGATCCACACAGCCCGCAAGCCGCACGCCTACAAGAGCATGGACATGACCAAGCTAAATGTCCACTGGCTGACAGCACGTAAGGCATGGATGTTCTCTACACTGTCCCTCTCCTGGTTTGATGACTGTTTTGTTCCCGATGTAAAGAAATTCTGTGAGCAACAGAATGTCCCATTTAATATTTTGTTGCTGCTGGACAACGCACCAGGACACTCGCCCCTACTGTTAGATCGTCACCCCAACGTAAAAGTGATCTTCCTTCCTCCCAACACTACGTCTTTAATCCAGCCCATGGACCAGAAGTTGATTTGCAATGTGAAAGCTGCATTCTCAACAAAAAAATTCCAGCTCCTGAACGACTACACCAACACCAGGGAAGAGTTGCGTGACCTGAGTGACACCACCACCGATAGCAAGAGCGACGAAGATGAGGAACAACGGTTAGAACAGCAAAAAATACTCTTCAAACAATTCTGGAGAGTATTTAACATCAAGAAAGCTGTGGACATCTTGGTGGAGTCATGGGATCAGCTGTCTATTGCTACAATTCGTCACGCATGGAGACATGTGTTGCATGGAATACCAGGTGAGAGGAGGAGTCAATCTGTGACTGGTGAGGTTCAGAATGTTGCAGTAGCAGTGGACCTTGCCAGAGAAGCTGCGCAGACTGTTACAGTTCCAGGCTTCTCCGAGACCACCAACGACGACATCCTGGAGGTGATCAGAAATCCTGAAGTGACTGCCGACGAGATGTTGGAAGAAGAACACGTCAGTGAAGAGGAGGAAGAAGGTGCGGCAGTCTCCGAAGAACACAATTTAAGTCATAGTGATATTAAGGGTGCCATGGAGTGTGCAGAGAAGATGAAGTCCTTCCTTTCCCGCGACAATGACGATGACCGCTATGAAGTCTTCCATAACCGGCTGGTGCAGGCTATGGAGCCGTACATCAAGGTGTATCACGACAACATCAACGCCAGCCGTCAGCAAAGCATAACAGATTTCTTCACCCGCAACCCACCACAGCCAGCCCAAGCCAGTGATAGTGACAGTGAAGTTGACTTTGAGGGATTTGTCAGGGAAGCCCTGACAACTGTAAGTGACAGTGATGATGATTCACCTAGTAATGGTGATTCACCTGAGGGCCAGTAATCTGCCCTCTGCCTCGGAACCAGCCTCCATCCCCGTATGCCGACCCATCTCTTCTACTACCGTAAGTGTTCCACCTAACTTTTAGTTTCTCTAAGGTAACCTTCATTTTTCCTATGTTAACCTTTATCTTTCCTAACCTAACCTCTTCTATATTACTTGTTTTTTCATACCATCATAAAGTTAAGATAAAATTTTTACTGCAACATAGTTATGTGTCGTCAAAAAGTGGAGTTTGGGGATTGGCCTGGACTCCATTTCAATTAATCCCATATGTTATGTTGTTCACTTTACGCGTTCCTCACTTTCCGCGGGACCCTCCGGGTTACATTAACCGCGTAATATGAGGACCAACTGTATACTTCACTTTAACGAGTTTCACATTAACAATTCATCACAAGAACGACAGTAATAAAATGTGACGCCTCAACACATTAATGATCAGTAGTGCAAGTTAATAGTCACTCTGGGTGGCCATCTTGATGATGTCAGCGAGCAGAGTGGGTTATTTTGATCAGTGTGTGTGAACAGGAGGTGTGGTATCGACATTCAAGAGGGAGATGACGGCACTGTTGATAACAAGGTTCAAGATTTACCTGTGTGTGATCTGTTAGATGATTTACCACTAGACTTCACTGGCTTTGAGACTGAAGGATCAGTTGGTGGTGGTGCAGGGGGGCACTAACACCACTCCCCTGTCTCGGATGACAGCAAACATTCTCATTAAGGAGTTTCTAAAGGTTTAGTACTGTATTATAGGCATGTAATTTCCCAATGTTTTCTTATGTCAGGCTCATATTCTTGGCTTTGGCGCTAACACAGTATGTGTATCATTATCAGCATTTAGGGTATTTTTTCACTGCTTACTGCTACTAATATAACCACAATTACTGGTATCCATAATTAGCCATTAATAATTCAGATTATTATATGGAAATGGACCACAAATGTAGACAATACACTATCTGGTGGATTAACACCCTGTAAATAATGCCAAGTAAGGGCTACTACCAACTGCACCACTGCTGTGTGGGGTGGCCTGTTGTAAAAGTGCAGTAACCCTCTAAAATGATAGATGAACTATCAGATATATAATAAGTGAAGGGTAAGAAGCTGTGATGGGCAGTCTTATATATATTAGAGTTGGGATGAATGATGTCCTACAAAATTACATTTACTGGTAATATTGTGTACTTTATTTTTCTATTGACTTTTCAATGTTCACATCTTGTTTCATTCCAAAATTAACTTTTTGACAAGTTGTTTTAGCTAATTTCAATGATCTAAATTCTTAAATTAGGAATTCAGTATACTATACTGTATTGTGCTTCTTTGTTTTTAATTGGTCTTTCCCTTGTTCTTTCAGGGTCCAACTTGGCATGGCCGTAGTGGTGTTCACGTTCATATGACCAATACCCGAATTACAGATCCAGAAATACTGGAGACCCGTTACCCTGTCATCCTCAATAAATTCACACTAAATCCAGGAACAGGTGGCAATGGTATATTTAGGTATGTTATTCAAATACACAAGTCACTGATATTTGTCCCAACAATTTTCGGAACTTGACTGAGTTGTGCTCTCTGAGATGTTTATAAACTTCAATTAAGTCACCCCTTGCCTGCCTATAGTATAAGCTGGGCAATTGCAAGCATTTACATGCTGTATTCTGTTCTGTATTTATGTGCATTGGTGTATATAGGTACTTCAGCATATACCAGTAGGTTTAGACAAGTGGCACTATCCTGTAATACTGTACAAGATAATAGCTATTCTTACATTTTCTTGGTTGGCCTGAGGTTGCAGCCCGATCTGCCCCCTTGATTAATCCGTGCCAGTTTCTATTACATAAGCCCTTATACACTCACCATTTAATGAGTACAGTGTCAGGTACAACACTGAAAGTACTGTAAGAGGAAACATCACATTGTGCAATACAAATTTGACTGCATTCAAATCCGACACTACCCCACTTGCCTGGGCACAGTTAGAGTGCCAGAGAGAAATACCCAGTGTATGTAAATCACATTCTACTCGGCTCTTTTTATGCCAAGAATTTGTGATACAGATTTTCAGCACACATTACTTTTGTCTGAGTATTTTTTAAAAGTTTATTATTTCTCTTGTTTTGTTAATGAATTACAATTGAAATAAAAATAGTTACTACTCAAAACTTTTAACTATTTTAAACCTTTGGATGTGCTTTCCAATGGGAGAACAGTCCTTTGGTGGACTAGCATCTTGCCAAGGGGGTTGAATAACCCATTTTTTACTGAATGCTGAGAATCAGATGAGCACCTTTGTGACTGCTTTACATCATTACAGGAAATGGCTTGTTTATTTAGAAGAAAAAGTTAATAATTTAAAAAACAGTGAAGTAGGTGCCTCACTGCCCGTACAACACATACAGGTTGATCTTTCATTACTTTAACAGAGGTGGTGATGGTGTGGCGCGAGAGTTACTGTTTCGCCGTCCCTTAACTCTCTCCATCCTCACTGAAAGACGAGTCTTTACTCCTTATGGTCTTGAAGGTGAGTAGAAATAAGTGGTCATTGTTTAACTGGTCATCACACAAAACAATATACACTGGTATTATGATTTTTACCTAGGTACTGTATTTTGTACTGTATATCAGTAACCAGGGGAGTTGCCTTTGATAGCATAAACACATTGATACAATTATAGCTTTGCCCTTAAAGAAATTGGATCTTGCCATTCATGTTGTAGGAGAAAGCAAATTTAAGGATAATAGAATATGCCTTTGTGACTTAAATTTGAATAGATGTTGGAACATTAGAAGGGAAGACTTGCTTTGGGAGAGTATTCCATTATTTTCTTGTACAAGAAATCGAAAGGTAAAAGTAGGTGCCATATGCCTGAAAGCCAAATAGGAACAGTTTAGATACTGCACACTGTATTCTAAATCTTCAGTATACTGTATGAACAGTTGGCTCCACTCCTGCATTTACCACTTAGCATTGCTAATCCTCTCTCTCCCTGAGATGTGAACCCTGAACTCTGAAGTGTGAATTTGAAGCATTCGCTTGTGAATGGAAGGGAGAGGGGGTGTGTGTGTTGTGGTAGGTGTCTTTCTATGGGGGTAGATGGGGTACTGTACTTTATACAGTATAGTATTTTCTTTATTTCTAAGCCACATTACAGTACTTGGAGCAAACAATCCCCAGGCTTCTGACTTCCTCCCTAAATTTTTCACAGAGTTGAAGATTGCTAAACTGAAAATTGCAGATTGTTAAACAACAAAGGGTGTTAACATTTTTAAATCGCTAAACCAAAATATCCTAAATAAACGATTGTTATAGGAAGGATACCTGTATGGTATACATACATTTAAAATTAAAAGTCCTGTATTTAAAAAAAATGAATAAAATAGGTTAATACAGTACTTTAATAATTTATAGAAAATGTGGTGGTCTTTTACTAATAGTCAAAGAATATATACAAGTCCTCATTATAATCAAGGAAAGGTTTATTAATACTGTACTGTACAGTACAGTATACTATATATTGCACACTCCTTATCACAATGTACACCAAACCACAAAAGTTGACACAATAAATCAATGTAACTGAAACTTAATGCAGTAAATCAATGTAACCACAAAATTTAAAACAAAGTCAAGGCAATGCAATAATATTTATTCAGGATTAGTTCACATTGATAATATGTTTCTATAAACATTCAACAAGGGGAGACCATTTAATGTCTTGTCTCATTTTAGTGCGCAGACAACTTTTGAGACTCCTCAGTTGACTAAAGGAACACTTACATTCACTTGAAGTGACTGTTAATGTTGCACTGACTTGGTGCATAATAAATATGTACAAATAAAATAAAGGGGAGGTTTGCCTGAGTGTAGCTGTCAGGGATTGCTTCAGGGCCACAAGGGCACATGCCACCCAGGCTCCCATCTGGGTCAGTCCAGGCCTATTATTCTTTAACACTCTTAATGTTATTGATCCTACAAGTAAGGTTTCATTGTGTCATTATTTTTCTACAACTGCCATGCACACAGTCACTGAGCCAGTTGATTGTCCAGTTTCTCCTCATTGTAATCTCATGTAATTTGTGGAAATCTAAATTAAGTAAAATTATTTTATATATACAGTATATATAAATTTCATTTTTAGAATACAGTACTCAAATCTCTAATAAAATGGAATGTTTTGTAAAGTAGATTTTCGGTTGACAGATGCTTTACCATATATGATGCATCTACAGTCACATGGTAGCTTGGGTAGTTAGGTAAAAGGGAAGAGATCCAGGAGATTAGAAATGAAAGATATTGAAGCAAAGGAAAACTGACATTTACACTTGTTCGTAAATGTTACAAATTATTTTGACCTTCTAGTTTCATGCATTCATCTAATGTTACATTCCTCTGGTGGCACACAATCTAACAGTTTGAGGTTTTCAGCGACACTCAGAAAATATTCTTCAATCTTGCAGGTGGCGAAGATGGACAAAGGGGTAACAACCTCTTGGTTCGTAAATGTGGCCGTGTAATTCGTTTAGCCTCAAAAGCATCAGTGAACGTCGAGAAAGGAGTGAGTATCAAATTAGTAATTGTAATATAATTTATGCATTTATATATCACATTACAGGTATACCTTGTTATCCAAATGGGGTAGGTTCCTTAAAAACCATGTTTTAGGTATTTAATAAGATGTGATCTTTTAGTATACTTACCAATAATGCCATGATACTGTATATTGGGTTGTCACTCTGTGCAGTTCATGTACAGTATTGTCAGTTAACAGCCACTATAAACTGCATTGGGTTTTATTACTTTACAGTACTTGTTAATGAATTTTCAAGAAAATTTGGAATTTTTTCTAGCAAGAATTGTGACTCTTTATGTGTTATTCCTTTTCATTTTACATTATTTCCATTCACCCAAAACTCAAACGTCCCTCATAAAATTCTGGATCTGCCCCTGTACTGTACAGTTGGTACATTACCTGAATGGAGGGCTGTCAGTGCTCACCGCAGGGTGGAGGAGGGGCGGGCTGATTTGAATTCGAATTTATATGACTTCTTGATCTGACCATCTTTCAGATAAGTGAGAATCTCTTTCAGTTACAGATATCTCGGCCTACAAGGCGACGGGGTGTATAAGACGGCCCCCAAAATTTCCATTTAAAAAGTAGCTTTTGAGCCCTATTCGCTGTATAAGACCGGTACCCCAAATGTGACACTTACCATTGGGAGCTTACTGACCCAGTAGTCCTTTACCAACCATCCCATTGACCAGTGCTGTTTACACATCCTTGGTTTTTTAAAATAAAGCCAATTCACTTCAAGTAATGGCATCAAACGTTACCGGTTGATGTAGTGTAAACACTAGTGACTCACTTAAAAGTTTGTTATTTAACTTGAACTAATGTCGGTGTCGAATACAATTGTTTCATTTACTTAAAATGGATTTACCGATTTATTTGTTTATTTATATCATACTGTAATATATTAAACACACTGGAAGTATTTTCTTTAATTTATAAGCTTGCTTCAGCGAGCTACAGTATTCTAATTCAATAGTGTTTCATTAGGATTTGAGTGAAAAAGATTACTGTACATACTTACTACATACATTTATTACACAAATATATATATATATATATATATATATATCACAATATTTTATAATTGCAGTCATGTACTGAATATTCTATGTAAAAAATATAAATTTTAAATGAATTATTTCTAGTGTGGTCGACTTCCTACACAAAGACGGGCTATAAATAGCCGTCTTATCTCCCCTCTGTTCTGAGAGAGAAGGTCTTGGTAAATAACTTTTGTTTGTTTATTTTCATTGTTTGTCAAATTTATCATGTTGTATCAAAGTAATATTACTAAAAGTTTTAGGCAGCTACCAAACAGGGAGATTCTACTGCCTGGGAAGATATTGGAAGCATAATGTACAGTATTGTCTAATGGTAGACCCTACTTCCATATGGCATCACGAAAATTGTGACCAAGTCTTAGGTTGCTGATTTATCTTACTGCCTCATTTACACACAATTGCTGAGTTTCAATTGTTTCTCTTCCTTTGACAACACAACATACATACAATATAATGTTTCACCTTTGATCTTTTTTCCATTTATTTATGGTTGGTTATTTAAAATAATGCCAATTCACTTCAAGTATTGGCATCAAATTTTACCAGCTGTTGTACACTAGTGACTCACTTAAGCGTCAGTTATTTAACTGGAACTAATGTTGGTGTGAGTAAAATATTTCCATTTACTTGAAATAGATTTGCCGATTTATTTGTTTATTTATTTAGCTATAATATATTGTAATACATTAAACACACTGCAAGTATTTTCTTTAATTATATACTTGTTTCGCGAAAAAGGGAGGCTACCATTATACCTGGTAGGTGAAGTTGACCAGACATTTATGATCATTAAGGACCAAACTCCGAATCCATGACGTGACTTCTGTTAATCATTCTCATCCTAAATTTACCACTGTCGGTAGTTTCAAGAATTAACGCAGTCATTTACTGAATATTCTTTGTAAAAAAATTAATTTTAAATTAATTATTTATAGGAGATAAGTATTATGATCAGTAAATATACAGATATGCATTACTGACCACCTCCGAACACAAGGACGGCTAAAAATAGCCACAGGCGGTCACTGTCAAGGTCGCTTTCCCTTTCTCGTCACTGGCAAATGGGGGGGGGGGGTGATGATAGCAGCTGTGTTTATTACCGGGGTATATTGTTCTTTTACGGTATGTTAGACTGGTTTATAATACATTTTTATTATTTTAATATACCGGTAATCTTCATTTTAATCCAGCTTCCCAAATGTAAGTTTCAGTATAAAATAATTAGTGGTAGGACCTTGTGAGTGGTTTACCATGTTTCCATCACCACTCTTGACACGCTAAACCGCAAAATTTAAGAGGTAAGAATTTTATCTCTGGTGCTTAAGACGACCCCCTAACTTTGGGCTGATTTTCTTTTTGTTCAAATTCCGTCTTGTAGGCCGAGATATACGTAATGAAAAAGGGGTGTAAGAATAACATTTTTTAATACATTTTAGCAAATTTTTGGATACTGAACATTTGGATAATGAGAGATACCTGTACAGTGAAGAACTTTTCATGAATCCAAACCTTTTCCTGTTATTTTAGTTCACTATTTTCATGAATACATTCCTGGTAAAGTTATTTATTTATTTATTTATAATTAGGATATGTTCCGGTTATTAACTCCTGGAGGTGGAGGTTTTGGAACACCCGACAATTCCAATGCAGACTCCAAGTGTTCTAAACCACCCAAAAAGAGGCAACGACACATCGAACGAGGAAGTGTTTATGAATACACGAGGGCACAAGAGAGTGTGTAATAAGATACTGTACATGATGGAGAACCTGAGTAGTAGTACAGGAGTAGTCTGTAATTTTTGTTATGCTTTTTATTCAATTTTTAACTGACAAAGACATTTTAAGGAATAATACACTACTTTGTTAAGTACTGTATGTTATATTTGGTATGAATATCCTACACATAAACCTGTATAGGGGGTCTTCACTATATGTTGGAGATGTGTTCCAGAGAAACTCAACTTGTAGTGAACTCTTTATAATAAGGATTTTTTTTCCATAAGAATGAATGTACTGTAATTAGGGGTATATGCATTCCAACATGTACAGTAATACCCCTTGAAAGCTCAAGATGTGTTCCTGGAGAGAGTACACCCAGCAAATCAGCTTACTATGGTGACATTACAACATACTGTACAGTATATTATTTGATTTGGAAATATGTTCATAATAACGATATTTATTTCCTTTGAGTGATATTGATGGTTTGATTTGGCTACTTGTACACTTAGACAACTGACCAGTGAATAAACTAGGGCATGTGGAAATGCATTATACACTACAACAATACTGTATTTATTAAGTGCTCATAAATATGCTACAATATTACTTAGTAAGTGCTAAAGACAGATCCTGTGTTAAGCACCAACTCTCTTGAGCAGTGACAACAATGGTGCTTGAGAGATGGGGTAGTGTGGGTAACATTGTTAGGGAGAGCAGAAACTATCAGCTGTTACTGCTCTGTAAACAAGAGGCCGGGAGTATAATACAACACAATAACTTGTCTACAGTAGGGTGGAGTGTGCGAGTTTTTTTTTTGGGGGAGAGCCAGTTATGATAATGTCTTATAAATCCAGCACCAAAGTAACCTAAATAACATGAGAATTACAGTATGGTGAAACTGCATACTGTTCTTATAAGGGATTGTGATCTGAAGAGCATGGGCGGTGAATTGTCCTCTTAGTACAGCCAGCACTCCCTCCTCCGCCACTTCCTCTACCCTACTACTCACCCAGACGTATTTTTGTACAATAATTTTTTTTTTTTTTCACTCCATTTCTTGACATGCAAACCCTCCATTGTATAAGAAGTGAATAAGGTTTTCCAAACTTTAATTTTTTGGTGTTGGAACACTCGTGTAATTTAAATGTCTGCAGTGAGGTACAGTAAACAGTCGTTCGTCGAGTCGTGGTGTGCTGTCAAACCGCCTACTGTCAGATGGACCGCTGCTCTGTTAATTTTTCTTTTATATTTTTATATTACTGTACAGAATATAGTATTTTCATTATTCATAAGGGACACTAGCACATTGAGATGACATTTCTGCAAATTCTGTGGTAACTTGCTTATAACAATGGCATTGTGCGCAGTCATGTGAGAGGTGACTGATGTATTTTGGCGTGGTAGAAACTTAACACTTGTAGGGCACTTTTATTACTTATTATAGTCATTTTAAAATAATATTAGATGTTTTTAACACTTTATGCGTCATATTCAGATACATCGAGACTTAGTATAAAACAGTGGATGATGCAGACGATGTACAGTATATGAAAATTTCTTCCTATTGTTAGCAACTTATATTTGAAATGTCAGGATGTCATCTGGCTCAAAATATCTCGACCATCTATAACTATTTTTCTTTGTTTCCTATACTGTTCTCCCAACTCTACCAACTATTTAGAACTCTTTGAGTATCTCACTTCTTGCCATGAGTAGTTGCTATCCATACACCCCAACACCGAGATCCTCTACCTGGGGGATTTCAATTTACAATCAACGACAAAAGTTGTGTCGCGGTTTTGTTCAAAGCTTAAATATAACCCGTGAAACATTATGAGAGCCCCCAAGCACAAGGCAGAGCGCACCAAAAGTTTAGTCCTTCAGCATATGTTTTCACCAAATTTCACGACACTACTTTTGTCTTTCATTGTACTGTACATTACAGAGTGGGGCTTGGCACTGCAAGGGATGACCCAGGTGGAACTGTAGGCACTCTCTTTTTCCTTACTTAATGATCTGGAACAAATAATTAAACATCCTACACGCGTTCTGATCTACAAGATCAACTTACTAACATTCTTGACCTTTGTTTTTATCTCTAACCCCTCACTATTCATACTCAATTTCTGCCCCCTTAGGGTCTTCTGGTCACATTCTTATTTCTATTAAATCAAACTGGGCACGAACCCCTCCCCCCCCCTCTAAATGCCAACTATGGCACTATCGGAGGGCAAACTGGCAATCCTTGCGAGAATTTTTCTTAACTTTCCTTTGGGATGAATGTTGCTTTTCCACTCAGGATGCCTCGGTATGTGCTGACAGTATTGCTGGGGTTATACAGGGTGGTATGAGTGCATTTATCCCATCTTCTACCGAAACTTTCACTTTACAATCATGGTTTGATCGCCCCCGTTTTCTTGCATGGAGGGAGAGAGATAGGGCATATCAAGTTATGAAACTATCGCCTTCTCCTGTTACCCACTCCTCTTTCATTACTTCTAGGAATCGTTTTAAGGTAATTCTTCTTAGGGCCAAGTGAAATTTTATAAATAGAAAGACCACTGACCTGACTAACTCTTCTTCTAGTAAATCCTTCTGGTCCTTAACCAAAAACATCTGTAATAACTTCTGTACTCCTTCTTTTCCTCCTCTCTTCTGACGTGATAACTCTAAAGCCAATCTCTTTGACTCCTTATTCTCCTCTAACTCCACCTTAGACGATTCCAACTCTATCCCTCCTACTCCTGCTCCTCCTACTGAACCTATGTAGTTTCCTATAATCTCCACTCGTAGGGTTGCTGGTGTGTTATCCAGGTTGGATGTGAGTAAGGCACATGGACCGGACGGAATACCCCCTCGTATTCTGAGGGAGTGTGCTGAAGTTCTGGCCCCTGTGCTTCTCGCCTCTTTTGCTTTTGCCTCAAAACTCAAACGTTTCCTTCTTCTTGGAAGCATGCCTTGGTTCAGCCCATCCCAAAGAAGGGTGACCATTCTAATCCCTCTATCGCCCCATTGCCCTAACTTCATCCCTCTCTAAGATTTTCGAATTTACTATCTTGAACTCTCATTTTCTCCATCACTTTGAATGCCATTCTCTTTTGTTGGAACTTCAGTATTGCTTTCTCCCAATAAATTAAAACGTTAGCAGCTGATTGGGACTAACCATTAACATTTTAAATGGGTAGCTATATACTGTAGAAAGCCCCTAGGTTGTGAATGGATTGAGCTCCAAAAAAAATTTTGAACTTGTTCATTTGGAATTTGAATTCAGCTTCTCATAGTTACAGTATTATAAATGATGGTTAGGTTCCCAGGCCAAACCACAGAAACATGTTAGACCCATAATTAAGCTGAAATATTGTTCATTTGTTATGATTAATAGTAGAAAACTATAATACTAAAACAAAATTAAAGCAATAAATTTCAGTACAAAGTTCTTTAATTTACCTTTGATTATTGTCCGTATTTATTTTTGCCCTGAATTGTTTAATATGTCCATTTTCATCTCTAATGTTAATGCTTTTATTTTATGCATTAATACCACAATCACCACTCTTATTCTCGTCAACCATGATTAGGGTCCATATTTAGCTCACTTAACACTTAGCATTTAAATAAGCAAATGGGTTTCATATGCACAGGAACAATGTACAGTATTTCCAAAAGATTTTGTATTTTAAAATAAGGTGATGTTCATGGGTAGAGAACATACAGTAAAGAACTGGGCCTATCACATTACTGTGGGATCATTTCTGCTTTATACATCAAGCAGCTGCATATCTGTTATCCCAAAGCAGGCACATGCCCCCCCCCCCACTCAACTGACACCAGCCTGAACCATCTCATTTACTATATCAGATCCCAAATAGCTAAGGTAAATTACACAGGAATGGTAATGTTATACTGTACAGTACTGTACTTAGAAAAAGCCTTTGACACAGTGGACCATGGTATACGTAATATGTAAAAAATTGCATGCTCTTGGTAGTGGGTCTGTAGAATGGTTTAAATTACTGTATAGGTTAGCAGCAGGAAACAACTTGTTACAATTAATGGCGAGTCAACATCCATACCAATAGCCTGTGGAGTCCCACAAGGTTGTATCCTGGGACCTATGATTTTTTGTGATAGGTACAGTAAATTTTATTCTCATTAATGTTAATTGCAAACTTTTGTTGTCATCTGAAAACAGTTATCATCAGAACTGAAGTAATGCAAATAATGGCTCATAGACAACAAATTATCCCGACATCTTGAAAAGAATGAAGCAATATTATTGAGATCAAAACGATAAATGAATTAAGTGTATGATGTGGAAATAAACCCTCAACTGTACCTTGATGAAATACCTTGGGCTAACTCTTAACTCTTGTTTATATGGAGAACTAATTGTAAGTAGATAATACAGTAAATAAATATAATGCCAGGATAAAATTCCTCTTTAGAAATGTTAAATGCCTCTCGGCTGAGACCCATAGGAACCTTCTTAGCACTCGTGCAATGTCACTTGCACTATTCTTGCTCGTCATGGTACTCTACCTTAACAAAGAATCTAAAATCCAAGCTACAAATATTTCAAGAGATTAGAACACCTGCAGTTGCCTAGCTTATACTATAGGCAGACAAGGGGTGACCTAATAGAAGTTTTTGAACACCTCAGAGGACATTATTCAGTCGAGTGTTTATATCTGGAGCTGGGGGATTCCCACCCCACTAGAGGTCACAGCTTAACGTCGTCAAGGCCAGAGTTGACCAACACTGGAGCAGGTACAGATACATTCAGGAGCCAGTGCATACTCAATACTTGCCAACAGTGTGTAACAGAGATGTGACCGCCCAAGTGACTAATGAGCAGATCAATGGCAAAATGATAAAATTAAAAATAAAAAGAGTGTATAACAGAGACGTGACAAACCACCCAAATGGCTAACAAACCGATCATTAGCGAAAAGATAAGAATTTCAGGTGTACAGTAGAGGTTGTTTCAGTGGCCATCTCACTAGACCGTACGGTGCACAGGAAGAGAAGCGACCCACACCACTGAACCCGAACCCCTTATACTAGACTCCTATCTCCACTACTAGAATATTATTTATTTCATAAAATTAATATTTAAATTACCGTAATGTATATATTCTAATTATAGTCTAAAGTAATTAAAATTTATACTGTAACTATGCCAGAGATCCGGGGGTTCGGTAGTGAGTGTTGAAGGTTCATGAAGCGGCTGTGGTGGAGGTGGTGGCTGTGGTAGAGGTTGTGTTGTAACTCCTGTAATATTTTTCAACTATTTCACCATGAAGTCCAAGACGAGAATAGTTCAGATCTCTAACATAGCTCCTCAGGCTACCAAGGATCAAATGTCTACACTTTTTGGGTTCCTGGGCAAGATAGAAGACATCAGACTCTACCCCACTATGTGAGTGTCTTGAGTGACCGTGTCTTGAGTGTCCGTGCCTTGAGTGACCAACGTGTAAGTGCTTTGAGTGACCACTATGTACTGTGTCTTGAATGACCACCATATAAGTGCATTGAGTAACCACTATATAAGTGCATTGAGTAACCACTATATAAGTGTCTTGAGTGACCACTATATAAGTGCATTGAGTGACCACTATGTAAGTGTCTTGAGTGACCACCATATAAGTGCATTGAGTAACCACTATATAAGTGCATTGAGTAACCTCTATATAAGTGTCTTGAGTGACCACTATATAAGTGTCTTGAGTGACCACTATGTAAGTGTCTTGAGTGACCACTATGTAAGTGCATTGAGTAACCACTATGTAAGTGTCTTGAGTGACCACTATGTAAGTGCCTTGAGTAACCACTATATAAGTGTCTTGAGTGACCACTATATAAGTGTCTTGAGTGACCACTATGTAAGTGTCTTGAGTAGTTTCGGGACAATTGTCTTGCCTCTAGACCAGTGATTTTCAACCTTTTTCACCTCAGGGCACAGTGAGCCAAGCACTGTAATGGTTGAGGCTCACCATCAGTGTTTAAGGATAGATTTGGTCGGCGGATCTACACTACAGAATTAAGGAGAGAATTAAAACTGCCATTTGGGCTTTTAATGAACAACACATTTGTTTATTTATTGCATCATTGAAGAAAAAGGAGTTTAATGCCCTCCATAAAAGTATCAGTAATGTCAAACCGTATCTAGATGCTATTTTTTAAAATGCTATTTAAACTCCCGCGGCACACCTACGGATGCTTCGCGGCACATTGGTTGAAAATAGCTGCTCTAACTATCCCCTCCTACTCCTCTACAAAAAAAGAAAAAGAAAAGGTGGAAAATTGCAATTTTTGCAGCAAATTTTCCCTTTGTTTTTATGAGTAAACACATTCCATCACACAAGTACACCATTTTTGCACCGCACCTGTTGACAAGTGCAACCTTTCTATATCTAACCTAATCAAGCCTACCTAACCTAATAAATTGATTTACCAAAGGTAACCTAAAATACTGAACTATATTTCCCTCCTAGATAGGTAAGGTTTAATTCAGCGAGAATTTGGTTTCCTTTACCCCTTGTATCTTATTTATGTGCTTCCTCATCATTCACTCTGGGATTAATAGGGTTTGGATGTCCCTAGAAATTTTTTTCTCCAGTGTTAAACAAGTGAGTTACTCAGAAATTAAGTGCGAGTCCTTTTGTGTTCGAGACTTTTGGGTTGTAAAGTCCTCGGGTGGCCTATGGTCACTCTTAATTACAGGGTTCTTAAGAAATTGGATTTCATGGTCACTACTTTGCACTTTTCTTTTTCAGTCCATAGCCTTTCCTTCAGTGGTTCAGGTTGGTCAGAATTGAGAGTACGTACAGAGCTGTTGTAATAATGTGCTTGTATTTGATTACCTTTCAGTCGTGATGTTGCCATACCAGTCCAGTCTCGCATTTGTTTTCTCAAGTTTCATGACCGGGAGTCTGTCACAGTGGCTCAGCACCTCACCAACACAGTGTTTATTGATCGAGCCCTCATAATAATTCCTTTCACTTTGGGTGACATGCCAGATGAACAACGAGCTATGGAGATTCTTGGAACAGGTGGAACAATACCTGGTATAGGACAAGAAGCCAAGTGGCCTACACATGTTACTAATCAGGTTGGTTTTGTGATTTTCCTCATTATTTTTTTAACCATTGAACAGCCAAGTGTTTCATCGTCTTTTATGTTGTATGTTTGTGAGTTCATTAATCTGTTAGTGTGTGGTTGTAATCTGTTAACCCAAGACTTGTCAACACAGTTAGACTTATTATTTTTTATGGGTTAATTCTAAACTTTGTTGGCATCACCACCACACAGTGTACTGTTTGGTTCACCTGGTCAGAGTTCAAGATCACTGTTTTTAATAATTTGTTAGGAAAGGGAGAAGTAAAAGTGGGTCCCATAGGCCTGATAGCCTGTTGGAGATGGTGTAGCCACTTCTCCCTAAAGACTGTGCCTAGGGTTTACAAAGAGACAGTGCTGCTGATATTGCACTTGACTGACTTTCTTTCCCTACTGTAAAGTATTGTACTGTACATTCTGCAGTTGAGATCATTTCAGGTTTTCTCACTCATTATTTGGCTGCTTTAAAATGAAGAACAGGTTGTAATATACAGTACTTCCTTAACCCTTTGTGTATAGGGTTGCCTCTGAGCTGAATAAAATCGTTTGATGTTACCCAAATACAATATTGAAAGTTGTGTCCCCAAAGTGAAATGGGTTAAGTTCACTTCATGCAGGTGATATTTATAATGTTTATTTTGTCATGTTTCAGGTGTTATTGATTTTTAATGATTCCATTTTTCATTTCAAGATTGATGGAATCATTCTACGAACTATTGATCCTAATCTGGCAGAGAGTGATCTTCCAGATTATCCACCACTGCCAGCAACAACAGAGTCTCAAAAGATAAATGAAATCCGACGTACTGTTGTATTTGATAATCTTGACCCAAGTGTAAGTAAAGTAGGAAGAATAACTACATTACAGTATTTGCCTACCTGACTGTCTTAAAGAATCTGTCCAATATTTAAAAGTAGGGAAGAGCAGACAAAGGTTCATTTATTCACTTCAGTCAAAAATATTTCTACATATAGTATAAGTGTCAGAGATCCAACTACAAGCTACAATTACTAGATTTTACTGGGCAGTTTATCAGCCTAAGTGAAATTAAAACATAAGCATAACAGTAAAAGAAAATAGATACAAACAAGTGAAGAATACTTGTAAAGAAACAATTACTTTTGGCCATCTTTCTTTGTCTATTTAATATACTATAGTGTAATATACTGTACTGTATATTAACCTAACAACACAAATAGGCTTGCTAAAAGAGTTTATAATATACAATTAACTACAGTAATGCTTGGTTTCCGTGTGCAAAATAGAGCAAGGTTATATAATATTACAATTTAAACAGGAAGCAGCCAATGTTAGTTATAAACCAAAACTATATTTTTCTTTTTCTTAGATAACTTCTGAGCAGATAATGGAAATAGCAGCCAAGGCTGGTGAGGTTCGATACCTTCGCTTAGGAGTTGAACTTGATGGCACAAAGAATGCACTTGTTGAATATTCTGAGCAGCCTTCCATAATTCAAGCTCTCAAGATGCATCACCAAGACCATATGGGACGACCAATTAAGTGAGTACAGTACAGTACAGTATAGTACATGCAGAGTTTAAACCATCAGTTGCTTTGATAGTGAGATAAAGGATTAAGAACCAATTAATTTAATACACAACAATACATCACAAAAACCACAGTCATTGACAGGTAAAGTTAGGAGAGTACAGTACATATTTAAGTCTCATCTACAGAGCCTCACTCTAATGGGTAGTTCCCCTCTGTGAGTTAGCCATTACAGGGGACCCTCCAAGTTATCCTGTCCTATTTCTTATACCCTCTCCATTTCTCTCATCTCCCCAGGGAGGTTGGGGAACATAACTCCGTTATTTTATCTAATTCTTATGGGGAAACTGGATCCGCTTAATGTTGTTTTGTATAACGTCGCGTTTTCAGGAACGTAACCCCGACATTAAGCGAGAACTTACTGTAAGGTAAATAAGGGAGGGGGGTTAAGTTCCTGGGAAATTTTTTTGATAGAGGAGAATAAGTGTGCTAGAGTTGGCTGGAGGAAGAGTGTGGACCTTCTTTTGTCTGAGATGATGGTGACTCTTCTGAATGTTGCATGTCCAAAATTTTTATCTCAATTCGCTTATATGTTTGACACATACCATATGGAAGCCTGTGGTAAATCTTCTCCGTGGCCACAAGAAACTCTCAAGTAATCCTCAGTTGTGTTCTGGACAATGTAGAGAGCACTACGCCTATGTTAATAAGATAATGCTTACCAGAAAAGACATTAAGCCCATCCCCAGCTTCAGTCAATCAGGTACACATATTCCCCCAATAGTATCATGTAAGCATTGAGGCACACGGACCACCAGAGTTATCCCTTCTCACTCTGGCCCACTACCAAAACTCAAAGAACATCTGAACACACGACTTTTAAACCCCATCCCAACCACTATGATTTTTCTTATTATAATAAACTACAGGGTATACAGTAGGGTCAGAATATATTGCTACTTTATATTACGATTTTTTATATCCCAGCTACCAAAATTATCGACATTTTCTTATGCTGTATATAGCGGTAATTTTTTTATTTCGTGAGGGAAATCGGGCAAGAAATATTTCAAATGTACCGCCATGGCAAAAAAATGCGTTAATTGCTCACCAGAGGCGCCACCGTGGCTGCTCACTCACGCATTCACGCTCGCCCGCTCAGTCTTTCTGAGTGAGTGACGAGAAAGCAGCCGACTGCTGCAGATTATGACTTCTAAGGTGAGTGTAAATGGGTTGCTAGTGACGTGAAAAGTGAAGTGAAGAGAATGGAAAAGATTTAATACCGCAACTAATATTTTTGGCGTTCGTTTATGTAGGTGTGGGATTGTCAAGTGAGGGTGACAGTGTGGCATCTACTGCTGAGTCTGGTGTTCCCAGGATGGTGTGTCAGCTGCCGAGTCTAGTGTTCCTGAATCTGGTGTTCCTTGATATTGAAATAGCTTGTTGTTCCCGAGTCTAGTGTTCATTGGTGCTTTAGTTAGTAAGAAAATGAACTCGTTCAGTCAAGTTTAGTCACTTTTTTTGGCCTCCAGAACCTAACCCTATTTTCCCCATTGATTTCATGAAATTACATTTATTGATTTAGTATATAGCGAACATTGTTGGACCCATCTCGTGATATATCCCGACTCTACTGTACAGTATACAGTATGTTTTTTTGTTTTTGTTTTCACAACAGATTACTATTTCTTATGGGAGAAGGATTGATAATGAAAAGTTGACAAAGGGAACCCTCTGTACTTCCTGTAAAAAATTCTAAAAAGTAGGAAAAAGGCCAGTTTCTTCCCATCATTAAAATGTACCGTTCAGGTTCTTTTGAAATTAGTGGTAATGTCCTCCTTTCTGATGGCTTTGGGTTTTATTGGGTTTATAAAGTGTTGTTTATTACTTCTAGGGTTAATCACTCCAATGTGGCAATTATCAAACCACAGACCAAAAGTAATGAGGCTGCACAGCGGGAAATTGAGGAAGCGATGAGGCGGGTGAAAGAAGCACAGAACTTCATAGCATCAGCAATAGATCCTGTCATGTCATTTCTGGACTCATCAAAGGAGAAGAGATCCAGGTCAAGGTCACGGTGAGTGTTCATATAAGCTTAAGTGTTCGTGCCACTTGAGAGAGTGTGTGTTCTAGTAAGTGTAGGCGTGTGTAGTAGTGAGTAAGCATAAGTGTGCCGTTGAGAGTGTAGAGAGGTTGATGATTTGTGTACTGCACGAACAAAGACAGATAAAAAGAGCAGTTGAAATAAATTAACACTTGAAGATTTTTCAGGTGGAGGAAGATGGGCAGTAGAGATTCTGAGATGAGAAGATATGTTGGGTGAGACATTGTTTGAGTTAGGGTTTGTTCTTTAAGTTATATGGTCAAGCAGAGTTAACTTTGGTGGTTATAAAATACAAAATTGTGATAAATTGACGAAAAGCATCTTCCAGTGTAGCAGAAAAGGACGTGCAAAATAGAAAAGAATATTTGAAGGAGAATATAGATTTTGCAGTGGAGGTGGAACACAGAGTCAGGAAGATGGTATGATCTAGCTTTATTGTAAATGATGTTGGAGGACTGGGAGTAAAATATTTTAATTATTGAGGAAGTTTGTCTTTGATTTCAGAAACAATTATCTGGTGATGGTTTAAGTTGTTTCTTATTAGGTACATTTGTTTTCTTCCCTAAATTAAGGCACCTCCTTTTTAGGTTTAGAAATACAATCAAGAGCTGAATTGTAGGTTGGAGTACCATAATGTGACGTTGTTTCCCTGAGGAAGTCATTGTGCTTATACTCTTGTTTCTAATTAAATGTCACAGTTTGAAATTTGATACAGTATGCACTAGTGAGTTCAAAATCCTTGTATTTAGTTTGTTATACCAAATACTGTTTAGGAAAGGTTTGAAGGATTTTGATTTTGACTGTCTTTGTAGATGGGGATAGACTATGGTAGGAAGGGGACTTTATTCTCTCATTATTGAATGTTTTATGAATAGCCACTCCTAGACTGGAAACTGAATGTCAGCAGCATTGCCTACTCTTGATTTTTAAAGGAGCCGATCCCGATCACGACGCCGCACTAGGTCACGATCCCGACGTTCCAGGTCCCACAGAAGATCCCGTTCTCGCTCCCGTCATAGATCCCGATCAAGGTCACGGTCCAGGTATATTTGTGATGAATGAGTTGGTAATGATCTCTTCATAAATGTCTACTGTATTTCCTCTCGCTAAAAGAAATATCAGCTGCATTTTCATGCTTGAGATAATTATCACATCGTACAGACAATGCCCAAAGTTACTTGACATTCAATGTCAGACTCTTTCTCCAGTATGAACCTTCTTGCTTTGTAGGTCTGTATCATACTTTTCTATTCATAAACAATTGCTTTCAGTCCTCCTACACTTATTATGTGTTCTTTTGATGCCAGTCGTTGTACATCACAGAAAGAAAAGTTTTGCAAGAGAGAAAATAAAACTTTTGCAAGGGATTAGCAGGTTCCTTTAGTTCAGACTTGTAATATGATCTCTTGATTATTCTTGAGTTTCATTTCTTCATATCATTTGTCCTCTTGTTATCAGTTCCTGAATTGGCAACTTGCCTTATATTTAACTTATCTTCACTACAGATCCTTTAATTATCACAAATTCACTATCTCTTCCATTATTGTCACTTGTGGTACATACACCTACTCTTTATCGTCTACTCTCATCATCATGTTTGGGCAGCCATGACAAAATATAGGTTACATTATGGAGTGGATAGAAAATTAATGTATACTGTATTTGCATTTGTTACAGAGACCGTCACCGACGATCGCGTAGTCATTCTCGGAGGAAGAGATCACCTTCAAAATCACGAAAAAGGTCTAGGTCAAGGTATTGTGATTTTTGTTGCCATGAGTATGATTATGGTTGACAGCTACAAATGTTTGTATGAGAATAATCTTAAAAGTTTGAGGTAACAATGTTTGTGTGTTAAATGCAGTGATTGACAGCTGTGATGATCTTGAGTTATGATAGTGATATTTCTGTTAGCTGAAACATTTGGTGCAGAGCACTTCCGGGAATGAGAGATTTCCTGCTAATGAGATGAGTCTCTCAAAGCTGGAAAAAATCCCTCATCCCCGTAATTTTCAGAGTACGGTACAGTGAGTTCTGCTATAACGCGTGTTTTGATAACGCGAATTTGCTCTAACGCGAGTTATGAATTAGGAACGATATTTGTATAACGCGAACGCTTGTTTGCTATAACGCGATTTTTGCTTACTATTTCTCCAATTTTGTGGTAGTGGGGTATGCTATAACGAATCTAATTGGTTCTAGAACCTTGTTCCTTATAGCATTCGTTCGTTATAGGATTAATCCGTTCCAGGCCCCCAAATACAACCACTTAACACTGAAAAATATAATATAAAATTTTAAAAATTGTAAAAAAGTGCATAAATATGCATCTAAACCCCTGAAATAAAGAATATCATTAATATTTGTAATAAAAAACAATAAATTAGAAAAAAAAAATTAAATAATGTTCGTTGTAGGAGTTTCGTTCGTTATAGCATTCTCAATTTTATAGGTAAAACCGTTCGTTATAGGAATATTCGTAGTAGGATCCATTCGTTATAGCATACCCCACTGTATTAACTGTGAATATAGTAAAGAAGAATATCAACAAGAAGCGTTCTGGTGATAGAATTCCCGGTGATGATCGTAAAAGAAAGGATATAACACTTGAAGAGAAGCTCGATTTTATCAACCTCAAAATCACCCTTCTCCCCCATCAAGTAAAGTGTTACATTTACTGTATGATTTCATTATTAGATATGAATGTAACATTTATTTAGACTGTGCTATCCTTTGTGTTAGGCTAACTACTAAATTTTTTCGATTTCGAGTAATCTGCACCTAACCCTATTTTCTCCATAAGCCCTGTTATTTCTATTACGCGATTTTCTATAACACGATATTTTACAAGAACACAATTATCGCGTTATAGCAGAACTACCTGTACTGTAATTTAAAAATATTCTCGGAAGTTCCAGAAATTGCACATTACATTATCTCCTGAACCCGGAATTTTCTGGGAGCCAGAATTTTTTTTCGGAATTTACAGAAAATGCCTGGTTTTCATCTCTCAAACCCGGAATAAAAATCCCCCATCCCCAGAATTTTCCAGGTACCAGGAAAATTTTATTGGAATTTTTCGGAAAATGTGTCCTTCGGAAAATTCCAATTCCGACTATCGGAGAGTTCCGGGTTTGAGTTTGAGGAATTCCAGCTAATGGAGATACTACTGTATTCAGTAAAGTGAAAGAGGTTTTAAGAAGCAGATCCACAGGAGGTTGCACTTTTGCAGTGTAAGTCTAGAACAGAAAAAGGCTATAAGATTCTCATATGATACAGCATACAGGTAGTTCTGCTATAACGCGATAATTGTGTTTTTGTAAAATATCGTGTTATAGAAAATCGCGTAATAGAAATAACAGGGCTTATGGAGAAAATAGGGTTAGGTGCAGATTACTCGAAATCGAAAAAATTTAGTAGTTAGCCTAACACAAAGGATAGCACAGTCTAAATAAATGTTACATTCATATCTAATAATGAAATCATACAGTAAATTTAACACTTTACCTTGAAAAAATATGAATGTAACTTGATGGGGGAGAAGGGTGATTTTGAGGTTGATAACATCAAGCTTCTCTTCAAGTGTTATATCCTTTCTTTTACGATAATCACCGGGAATTCTATCATCAGAATGCTTTTTGGAGATATTCTTCTTTACCATATTCACAGTTAATACCACAAAATTGGAGAAATAGTAAGCAAAAATCACGTTATAGCAAACAAGCGATCGCGTTATACAAATATTGTTCCGAATTCATAAATCGCGTTAGAGCAAATTCGCGTTATCAAAACACGCGTTATAGCAGAACTCACTGTACTTGTTCACCCAGAAATTCCACACCCCCTAGAGTTGCACTACTTTTTAGGGTTACCCCATGAATGATTGTAGTGCAGTTATTATTCTTGGGTCTTTTCCATTTGGGGGCTAGCAGTGGATTTTAATGATAAATAATCGGTACACTATTACAGTTTTTTATGCTGATTACAAAAATAACTTAAAATTTTTGGATAAATAAAAAACAAAAAGTTACAGCATATTTAAGTTGTATTTATAGGCAGATAACTGCATAGACAAATGCATTTCAAACATATACCTAACCTAACACAACCATGAGGAAAGCATACGGTAACATTACGGCTATCAAGGGTATCTGTCTCTGTATTTATCTTCCCATAAATACAACTGAAAAATTCTGTATCTTTTTTTGTTTTTTATTTTTCCAAAAATTAAAACTTATTTTTGTAATCAGTGTAAAAAACTGTACACCCACCTCTCGTTTTACGCAGGGGTTACGTTCTTGAAAGCAACCGCTTAATTAAAAAATGCGTAAATTAAACATAATTTTCCCAAAAGAATACATTTAAATGGTATAGGTTAGAAGAACCACCATACAGGGTATGAACAGTGCTCTCACTTAAACCAATCACGCGGCAACATCCGACACACGCTCTTCTCTCTGAAGGCGGGTGATCACATTTAATTTCACGTCCATTGCAATTGTTTTTTGTACCTTTTTATCGTTAGGCACCCCAGAGGAGACAGATGGACGTTTTCCAGACATGCTCAATGGGGAAAACTGCGTTAAACACTAAAAAGGTACGTGATAAACACACAATGCAAATGAGAGCACAGAAAATGTAGTGCTGGTGTGAACTGAGAAAGTGATACGCGGGAAGCTTGCTGAACGTCGTCACAATTGTTGTATAGAATACTTCATTATCATCATTAATTTTAATAATCTTTATTATTACATTATTAAAATAATGACTATTATTACAGTATTATAATAATTATTAATAGTGATAATAATATCAAAATCGTTGATGTTGATATGACTGGGACTTTATAGTAATAACTTACAAGCACCTCACCAGGCATCAGACATGACTCCACTGCCAGGCGATCAGGCGAATATGCGCGGCAGTTTTAAACTGTCTTGAGCGTGTTATTTAAAAAATATGTGTGAGTAAATTAGCTTTTGGTATTAATTGAACAATCGCGTTATTCCAAAAGCCCTTAAATCAAATGCGCGTAAAACGCCTGAGTTACCCGTACTAGTGTACCGATCTTCATTAAAATCCGCTGCTAGCATCCAAACGGAAAAGACCCTTATTCTTTACTAGTGGGAATGATTGATTAAGTTTTGGAAAATATGGAAAGAATATTGCATGCAGTGTTTGAGTTTCAAAAAATTAATTTAAGGGTGTAGCTAGTTCCTGGTGCCTTCTAAACTTGTCATTCAAAGCTTTCCTATATTATCTCCCACTTTCTCTTAATTGTCTGCCCCTCTTGAACCACCTCATACAAAATGGAGAGGAATGAAGATTATAGAGTTATAGGGTAGATGGAAGGAATGATTTAACTTTAATGTGTTTGAATGAAGCAAGGGTTTTAGAATAATGACAGCGGCATGGCACACCTCTCAATCGTACTACAGTATACTGGCAATTGAGAGTGATTTGGTTTTGAGACTGAAATAAACAAGTAAAGGAAGTAGATTAAGCAAAGAGAGATGATTAAGGGAGTTACAAATGAGTAATGAAAGTACAGTAGTTTAGAAAGTTGTGGGTAGTATCTGAAGTGTAACAGTTAACAATATAGTACTTTAGTAATTTTGTGATATTTAAGGTATGATAAATACCCATGAGGCTAAAAATAGGGTGTACAGTATAGGACCAGGGAATGTTAATGTGGTTGTTAGTTTAATGTGTTAATTAGAATATTGTGTATTAGACTGAAAATGGCACATGGGTTTAGGGAAAAGGATTTTATCCTACTAAGATAGTTTGGTTTATTTATTTATTTTTATTATTTTTTCATAAAGTAACTTGAACGATGAATTACTGCTCATACAGGTCACATTCCCGAAGAAAATCACGATCTAAGTCCCGTTCAAAGCGATCTCGATCAAAGTCGAAGACTAAATCTAGTTCATCATCATCACGGAAAGAGAAGAGCAGCAGCAGTAGCAGCAGTAAGAGTAAAGATAAAGATAAGGACAAAGAGAAAACCAAGGATAAAGACAAAGAGAAGAAAGAGGAGAAAAAATTGGAAACCATCAAAGTGGAGGACAAGGGCATAGGCAAAGAAGAGGAGAGCAAGAAGGAAGATTTAAAACCTGAGGAAACAAAGGAAAAGGAAAAAGAAAAGGAGTCAGAGAAGAAAAAAGAGGTCAGTTTCTGCTTCCTGGGTAGTTTAAACAAATGATAAGTACTGGTAGTTATGTTCCTTGTGCCCATATAGAATAAGAAAGGCAGACACATACTCTCCCTTCTGCTGCTGTGGTTCTGCCAGTGGTTAGCTACCCATGAATTTGAGAAGGGGTCACCAAAATAAAAAAAAAATTCTCCATACAGTATGTATATATATATACTGTATATATATATTTATTGTATTGGTGTCTTAAAAAGACTATGGTAGTTCAGCTAAAACAATGTTTACAGATGAAACTAATAATGCTCTTATCCCTTTAGGTCAGTAAGTCTCGTCGTTCTCGGTCTCGTAGTCGCTCCCGTGACCGTAAGAATCACCGAACGCGGTCTCGGTCTCGTAGCAAGAAACCGTCACGATCACGTTCTCGCTCACGAAGTCGCACAAAATCAAAGAGATCACACAGGTCAACAAGATCCAGGTAAGATTGCAAGAGCTGTTCATAGAGAAAACTTTAGCAGATGATCATTTGGTGAAACAGGTTGATGATATGTAGTAAAGGTGAAGATACTGGTGACAGAGTTAGATAATTTAGACTTGACAGATTTTTGTCAGTAAAGAAGTCATTTAAGTTTATGATTCTGCAAGTTGATGCTGCCCAAAGGGTGAATGAAGATAAAGTGCTGGAGAGGCTCGTTTATTTAATGGTGATTATGTAAATGAAGATGCAACTCTAACTTTGGGATTCTTCCTGCTGCACATAATAATGAATTTTAAGCATACAGTATTAGGTAGCAAATGTTGTACGAAGACAAATTGTTCTTTCTTCTCAGTATGTACGGTACGTATATAGAAATTCAGTTGAAATGTCACTGACTTTCAGGACACATCCACTTTGTTGAGTTTACACACCCATGCCATCCATGGTACAGGGGGAGGTAAAACTCCTATTTGTGACCACTTATGATAAATTTTTAATATCGCGTGGTTTTCTAATTTATATTACCACTTTTGTCTCTTTGTCTTAATATAAGACTGGATCAGGCTTATACAGTACAGTACTTTGCTTGTAGCTACTGTATACCAAATTTGTGTCATGGCCTGTATGCAAAGAATTTCTAAGTGGTAATTATATATTCAATTTTTAAATTTATTTTTGTCTTACAGGTCACGTTCACGACGCAGATCTCGTAGCAAGTCACGATCCCACAGGGACCGCTCCAGAGACCATCACGGCCGCTCACATGAACGATCCAGACGACGGTCAAGGTCTTCTTCAAGATCAAAGTAAGTCAATGACTGGAGTGAAAGAACCTTAGTTTTAATATACTACCGGTTTATTATTTTGACTTTACTGTACTGTACAGTGTTTTTAACAGCATACTATTTACCACATTCCTCAGTTGTGTAATGTGAAAGTATTTTCTTAGTATGTGTATGGAAAAAAATATAAATTAGTGAATTGTTTTAATATTCCAAATAAATAAAGTGGTATGGCATACGTGACACATTATTTATCAGGTTAAGTTTCCACAAAATTCTTTAAACATGCTTTTATTGCTAAACACTATAATTTGTTATAGTTCAGGGCTGAGTTGAATAATTAAATCCATATACTGTTCATTACGGTAATCAAGTTTTTATTGGTAAACACACCTGTCATAGGCTTGATGTCTTAACATTGACATTGCAGTATGAAGTATACCGTATATACTCATGTATAGTTCGAGTTTTTAAGACCAAATTTTTAGGAAAAAAATTGGGGGTCGTCCTATACATGCGTAATAGTTTTGTTAGGTTGAACCCATGCATGATGGGAAGGGCGAGGAGCAACTTTTAGCTTCAGACATGAAAAATATTTACCATTTACTGCCAGTAAACAATGGAAACGTAAAATATGTACCAATTAGTAATGAAAAGTTGTGCAGTTCCTTCAGCAAATGAAGCTCACCAACTTGCAATAGGCTAAATTACCTTACAACGTGCTTTCAGTAGTCTATGTTGAAGTTCTTAGCACAGGCTAACTTATCATATCATATACGGTATCACAGTTCTCATTGATCTACCAAAAATACCGGTAATAAAAACCTTTTCGATATTTCACACTTAATATAATACCCGGTAATCTACTTCAACCTCCTATTGTTTACAATGACGCATGACGCACCACCAGCTGTTGTGTATCAGCTAGACGGTACACGTGTTTTTTGAATCGTTTTCAGTTAAAAAAACTTACATCACATGTATATTTTACCTTAACTGCGCCTGAATGAATATATTCTCGGAAATAAATAGTAGTTTTGCTGAAACGTGATGTATTTTAATGTAAAATAGGATAAAGTACATGACGAAAACAAAAGATTTTACCTAACCTTCCGATGTTCAAGAGAAGTTACTGGTTTTTTTTAATAGGTTTTGGTTAAAATATTGTTATATTACAATGGTACAGTATTCTATTCATACTGTGCTTGATATAATGCTTTCACGGAAATGTAATATTTTTGCTGAAATGGCGTACGTATTACAGTGGAAAGTGGGATAAAATCGTGATGAAAACAATGACTTTCGCTTTCTTTCGTTCAAAAGATGTTACCGTAATCGCTTTTCGAATAGTTTAGTTAAAAAACTGTTTTATTACAATAATATTCCCTCCTAATTGACTTGAATAAATACTTGAATGGAAATATACAATATTTTTGTTGAAACTACCCGCGTTTCAGTGTAAAGTGTCGTAATAATAAATGGTAAACAATTTGCCTTTGGCACTCGTGTTTCAGGCACGGCGAGCCTCAGTTTATAGCACGTAGAGCATTTTTACTGATGGTTTTGTTGTTCCATTACCCTCAAAAACGTGGGTCGAACTATAAACGAGGAATATCATAAATTAACAATTTCTTGGTCAAAAAATCAGGGTCGACCTATAAACGAGGGGGGTTATAGACGAGTATATACTGTAACTTCTTTCAATAAGAGCAAATTCTATTTGTTGCTTCTTAGTATGCAGTATCAAGAAATTACATATAAGCTATCCAGAGAACACTGTAATAACTACTGTACCCACCATTTTGCTAATACACTGCTACCATATTAGTGTAAGGACACACAAACAGTTATTAGTGTGATCTGATAATCTGTATACCAGTATATAAGATACATACTGTCTCTATGTTACTTATGCATATCCACAAATTTGAGGATAACTGAAATTTGGTAGGGGGAGTGGGTGACCTAGGGGATTGGCTGTATACCCCTAATTGATTTTAGAAAAGACCATTTTCTGAAAATGAGGAAAGTGCACACCAGAGGTAAATTAACAGTCTACATTTAAAACTTACCTCACACACCTTCGCACATAAACAATCAAACACTCACACACTCAAACATGAAAAATATACTGTACTTGTAAACATATATGCCTAATAAACTCAAAGTGTTTGTTATTGATGTTTATTTGATATTATGCCCCTGTTTCTTTATCTCTCTTATGTTCTATATGTATTGAGTAAAACAAGTGTTAAAATCTGACGGCCGTGACCACCGCGATGCCCATATCCCCCCTATTTACATTATTTCTTATGGGAGAAATTGCTCCGCTATTCGCAATTTCGATACTCACAACGGGTTTCATGCCCGTAACCTTTGTGATAAGTGAGGCAGCCCTGTATATATACACAGCTGCTCCTCGACTTACGACTGGGTTAGAGACCCAATTCCAGGTCGAAAGTCGAAATGGTCGTAAGTGTGTTGACCATGTTACCTTCCATTGTAAGAAAACATTTCATAAATTTATCATGTACAATATTTTTTTATTTATGTTACTGTTGTGTGGTAGAATTTAGCCAGTAATTGGATCTGAGGCAGTTTTCTTTGTTTTCCACAGGCCGGGGAAAGCCAAAGACAAGGAATCTAGCAAAAAGTGAGTTCTAATCATATTTATAAGAGAAAGTCCTAATGCAAACCCTGTTAGATATACACAGCTTATGATTTTTTTAGTGGAAAAACTCATTCAGGAAATCATATTACATATTTTTTTACTTCACCTTCATATGCAGTATACTGTATATATGAACGGTTAAGACCTCACAAAAAAAATATTTGTCTTTACAATATTAAAAAGTGCATGAGGTTTTTTTATTTGCATCATAAACAGTTGATAAATTTGTGTATGTGTTAACAGTTTATGGCCTTCTTTTGGGGCATTTATTAATTTAATAATAATTTTTTTTATCTCTTGGCTGTACTGACAGTTTGTCATATTGACAGTTAAGGATGTGCTAGGCAGTATGTTAAGCACTTCTTATTAAAGCTTAAGAGGCTGGGTTTATTAATTAATGCAGTGAACTTTCTTATTAAAATATTTTCTAATTAAGGAGTTACATCTGGAATGGCTACTTTTGGAGGGAATAGTTCTGGAGAAGATGGACTTTGGGGGAGACATCATTATGGAGAGAAGGTTGTTCTGGCTGGGTTACTGTCCTTAGGGGACATTGTTTTTGCAGGTGTACTGTTCTGCAGAAGACATTGATCTTAGGGTTCATTATTCTTGTAGTGACACTGCTGCAAACATTCTTGTAGAGTGGACATTGCTGTAGACTGGAAATTTTAGGAGACATTGTTCTAAAATGAACACTTCTGGAAGGGTTACCTTATTTTAGAAGGGATGTTGTTCTGGAAGGGACTTCAGGTAACACTACCCTGGAGAGGACATTGTTCAGCAGAGTTGTCTGGAAGGAACATTGTGTTGAAGGGGGACACTTCTAGAAAAGAAACCATACACAGGACAGTTATCTGGACTGGACATCCTTCTGGAGGGACCACCAGGAGTTGCAAACTTCTTGTTTTTCCCATATTGTCCTTTAATTTTATATGATCCTATAAATGTCCTTTTTAAAACAGTTATCTTTCCTTTAAAAAATAGTTGTCAAACTTTTTCACCTTTTCCCTCAAAAGCGATGGGAAGAAACATATTTTGAGTGCCACAGCATTTTATAACCCTATCTACTTGACCTTTAAGATGGTAGACTAAATGTACACTTGAATAATATAGTACTGTTAACTCTACTGCTGCTAGTATAGTAGCAGCAAGGATATTGTTGGTGCTACTGTCTGTGTGTCCTCACTATAACTCAATAAACATTGAACATATTCAACTGAAATTTGATTGGTATATGAATCTAATGACGAGGAATAATTTTATGTTTACACTGCACGATAAACCCTCGTAAGTCCAGATTTCAGATAGTCTGGACCTTTTCTGGGCAAGAAACATTTGTCCAAACCTTTTGTGTGAAATTACTGCCGCACGCGATCATTTGAAATTGCCACCAGCGAGCAACCCTTTGGCTTCTTACCTCCTATCGGACCCATGAGTGAGCAGTTTATTTCCCCACTCTTAGAATGGCCTTGAAGTTCAACACACATTCAGCCACAGAAAAATGGTAAGAGTTTATGTAAAATAATTCAAACAATGGTGATGTTAATCTTCCTGGGAAAAGCAGAAGATGAGCACCTATTGCATCATCCATATGTCACACGCACACCTGGCGTATTTCATATGTCTTAATCATTTTGAAGTCAAATTACGAATTATATATCATATTTTTCCATTATTAATATTTTATATTACAGGCAACCCCTGCGTCACGGAAACACGGGTAAGGAAATTCATCCTTACGGAATTATGACCAAAAAAATGAAAATTGGCCAAAAAATTTGCACTTACAGAATTTGGGTAATTTTTTTTAAATTTTCAAACAAAAAAATTGTGATATTCTATACTTTATAAAAAGAGAGGTTCACCGAAAAATTTATTTCATGGGGATTCTGGGTAATTGCTCCAAGATGGTTGAAGGGAGGTTCGCCTACCCACCGCCACAACAATGGCACTGCTCAGTTAAAATTCTTTCCCCAGCTTGTGTTCAGTTATGCGTCTGTTCAGGACTGTATTCGCCCTTATGTAAGTCTGGTTAATTTTTTAAGTTTTTCGAAAGAATTTCATGGAGGGAGAGAGGCTTAAATACACAGGGTGACCTTCAGTTGCCTCTGAAGATGTCTTGAATAGAGACGAAAGCTAAGGTGCTCCATTGTTTCCCTTTTCCCCGTGTGATTTTTATCAAGATTGATCTTATCCACGTTTTCATTGTGGATCTACATGAAATATATATATATATATATATATATATATATATATATATATATATATATATATATATATATATATATATATATATATATATATATATATATATATATATATATATATATATATATATATATATATATATATATATATATATATATATATATATATATATATATATATATATATATATATATATATATATATATATATATATATATATATATACACACAGTTGTACCCCACTTAACGCGGTCAATTGAACCCAGAGGGTAAGTGAAATCCGCGTTAAGTGAACAATAGAACATATGGGATTAATTCCAATAGAAACCGGCCCGACCCCCAAACTCCACTTTTTGAAGGCACATACCTATGTTGTAGTAAAAATAACATCTTAATTTTATGATGGTACATGCACACAATTAATACTTAAGAGAAATAGAGAAATACAGTCGCCAAGTTAATGTCCATTCAAATAATGGACTCAACTCCCTCCCCCTCTTCTCACACTACACTGCCGGCTCTTCCCTCTCAGAGAAATTTTTGGGGGAAAACCACTAAATTTTAATAAATAATAACTCAAACTAAAGTTAGGATAATACAATTGACATTGCTGGATTCCTTGTAAGACCAGGAATATTTTGAATATAAATGTCATATATTTTGCACAAAAGATAACATAGTTACCTAGAGAAAAATTTTTATCTAAAATTTGTATGTTTAATGCAAAATATATGATGTTTATATTCAAAATGATCACCAAATTATAAGAATTCCAGCAATGTAAATTATATTCTGACCGGGTAATTTGTATGAATTTTATGAGCTAAAACAAATATCTTCAGTTAATAAAAAAAAAATAATCTTCACGACACTATCTGTCAATCAAAGTACCCCACCTTGCCTCCCCCCCTCTTCCAACCGCGCGGTCAGTCCCAACCCTCCCCCCCACCCCCCACCAATCCTCCCTTCCAGAGTTTTTAACATTTAGTATTAAATAATACCTCAGATTAAAGTTAGGATAATATAATTGACATTGCTGGATTCCTTGTAAGACCAGGAATATTTTGAATATAAATGTCATATATTTTGCACAAAAGATAACATAGTTAATTTGAGAAAAAATTTTATCTAAAATTTGTATGTCTAATGCAAAAATATGATGTTTATATTCAAAATGATCATCAAATTATAAGAATTCCAGCAATGTAAATTATATTCAGACCGGGTAATTTGTATGAATTTTATGAGCTAAAACAAATATCTTCAGTTAATAAAAAAAAAAAATAATTCTTCACTGGGTAACAGATGGTCGGTCGGTCCCTCCCTCCCCCCACCCCCCACCAACCGTCCCAAGGAGATGTGTGGGATAACCACTAAATTTTAATAAATAATACCTCATACTAAAGTTAGGATAATATAATTGACATTGCTGGATTCCTTGTAAGACCAGGAATATTTTGAAAATAAATGTCATATATTTTGCACAAAAGATAACATAGTTACTCTGAGAAAAATTTTTATCTAAAATTTGTATGTCTAATGCAAAATATATGATGTTTATATTCAAAATGATCACCAAATTATAAGAATTCCAGCAATGTAAATTATATTCTGGCCGGGTAATTTGTATGAATTTTATGAGCTAAAACAAGCAGTCAGGCAGGGTGGCGGGTGGGGCAAATCTAAAAATAGCGTCTCGCTCGAGCCGGACACTCACCGCGTATATGTGGAAAAAATCCGTGTTAAGTGAAAGTTCAGCTCTGGCGAGGCACCGTAATATATAAACGCGTTAAATGAAACTTATATATATATATATATATATATATATATATATATATATATATATATATATATATATATATATATATATATATATATATATATATATATATATATATATATATATATATATATATATATATATATATATATATATATATATATATATATATATATATATATATATATATATATATATATATATATATATATATATATATATATATATATATACACTGGTATTTAGTCACCCCCAAAATTTTACATTTTAACCTTTTCTTTCGTTTCCTCTTTTTTTAGGAAAGAGTCACGCCGTGATCGAAGCCGTAGTCGTGATAATAAAGACAAAGATAAAGAAAAGGATAAACTGAAGGAGAAGGAGAAGAAGGATAAGAAGAAAGAAAAGAAAGAAAAAGAGGAGAAGAAGAAGGATTTAAAGGTAAGATAGGTTTATGGGGATTAGTATAAGGTGATTGGTCAGATGGATTCTAGCCTGACTTGACCACTTGACCTGCAGCCTTTATTTACATCTCGTAAAGTGATGGTAGTCATGACAACCAAGTGTATGTAAATAGGTACATGAACTCAGATTTCGTGTGTTGTCTTTAAGGGCTCGTTTACACGATCAGTTACCACTTATGGTGGTCGAGCACGCTGCGGATCAGTGGCGTAGGTGGCCACGCAACTATTAGGCTCCCACACGTAACTGCCCGGGAAGGATTGGTGGTTCGGTGTTGCTGTCTACACGATCACTGCTCGAGCACATCTTCGTTACCGTGCTCCCCGGCTGATCGTGTAAACGAGCCCTTATACTACACCCCAGGGGTTGAATGCTTGTAACCTCTTCATAATGGCGAAGAAAATTGTATTTGGCTTGGAAGGTACATGCACTAATATTGCAGCATGTATCTTTGTACAGTATTCTTATATTTACAATATTTATTTAGGTTTCCCGAGATTATGATGAAGAAGAGCAGTTGGGCTGTGATGGTGAGGATGACAAAGGAAAAAAGAAGGAAAAAGAGGAGGAAGACACGAAGGATAAAGGAGAGGCAGTTGACATGGACATTTCTGATTCACCATGATTGCACAGTTCATCTGATAAGTATATATACAGTACCTCTGTACTGTACCAGGGAGTTATAAAAATGGTGTGAATATGAACAGCTTTCTAAGGAGTCAGTTTTTAATATTGTGGGAAGTAAGTTTATGATTTTTCAGTTTTCTAATATGCTAAGAAATTAAAAGAAATTTTTTTTATATAATGAAATTAACAGTAGATGTTAGGTTGGATGAATTGATCTTAGGTACAATAAGTTGCAGATTTGTGTTAGGTATTGAAAATACTGCATATCATTGTCTTGGCTATCTGCACAAGTTACAGTTCCTTCTTTAAATGAATGGTACTACACTGCCACCTCACTTTATGTGGGGGTTTTATTCCCAGAAAACACCGTGTAGAGCAAACCTATTATCACGTGGGGAATTAGGGGATGCATCGGGTGGACCCCAAAAAGTGCCCCACCTCCCTCCCCCCACACCAAAAACTTTTCAAAAACAATGTTCAAAGACATTGTACAGCTGTAAAGTAGCTCAATTATACACATGCATCTACCAAGTTCACTTAAAATTGATGTTTTAGAGGCACTGGCATGTCATTTACATGAGTTCCCGAAAGTTTAACACTGCCATTTGTAGAGGCTGGCTGAATCATGCGTGGCCTCCCTCAAGCCTCACCATAGCAACCTGGCCAGGTTGGGACACCCCAACCCTTAGCAACGTTCCCCCTCTCGCTGGCTCACAAAGAAATGTTTATTCATTATATGTTTTTCACCTAATGATATATTTTTTATTTATTTATTTATTTATATTTTTTGCACATTCTGTATGTAGAATTGTGTGTGCGTGTAACTGAATAAAAAATATGAAAAAAGTTGTTATCTACCCGAAATTACGGCTCAAATCTTCTCGGCATTCCTCTTGATTGACTCGTTCACGGAGAAACCACTCCAACAGAGTCGTTGAAAAATGTCTCACTTAATTTCCAAGGTAAATGTGGTCCTATTCTTATTTGCTGAAGTGTCCAAAGGCAAGGGGCCACTTAGAGAATGTTTAGGTGGAGCCATGGTGATGAAAGCAAGCGAAAAAATGAAGTTTATCCAACTGAAGTTTTTGGTTGTGGCCAGACCAGTACTAGCTAAACTCTGAGCTGACATGGCATGGGGATGCTATCTCTGGACTGTAATGGACTCGAGGCCACAAAATTTTTCTGCCTGACTGTGTTCAGCCAAATTTTCCTGTGTTAGCCTGGCTCAACCTACATTTGAGCAAATCTAAGCCCATGTTAAGCAATACTGCATAGTAATAAAAAAATCGATGTTTGAGCAAATCTATGCTGAACAAACCCACATTAAGTGAGGGGGCAGTGTATGTGTATGTTGCTAAATGAAAAATTTATTAATAAGATCAGTGTTGTAAGTCTTAGGCATAGCACAGTGGTTCCTTAAATAAATTGCTACTCAGACTTAACAGTTACATTTTTTTTAAATATGAACCAAAATTATGCTCATCTAGAGGTCCAAGGAAGTGAATTCAAGTGCTTGAATTTATACAGAATAATAAGCAGGCATGTCTAATTTCATCAGTTCTGTAATAAAGTAAAACACAAAAACATAGAGTACTGTAATTATTCACTCATGTAAAAGTGGAAAATTTAACTCTATTCATCAAAGTTGGGTAGATGAGCATTGGGTGTATTGCCTCTAACAGTAAAGTCTGTTTGTATACTTCGTGTTTTGAGTATTTCTTCCCATCTTTATTTTATAACATCTGATATTATTGAGTAACTAGGAATACTTGAAAAATTTACTACTTCTGTGATTGGATGAAGGACACAACCAGATATGCAGTAACATGGTGGTGGATGAAGTGGTCAGTGATAAAGGGGAAAAGAAGTTTGTATAAGGCATAGGAGACATATGATGACAAGGAAGAGTACTTGGTAGCCAAGTGCAGGGCCAAGGCTAAGAAACATGAACTGGATGTATTTACAGAGAAGCTGAATAGTGCAAATTTTAGAGGTGAGTCTACAAAACAACAAGGCATAGAGTGTGTAGAAACAAAAATGTACAGGTGTGTGCATGCGTGCGTGCGTGATATAAACGGTTTATTAATAGAGTTGCAGCCGGTGGCTGAAAATATACAGACTTACATTAGATTTAGACATAATGATATAATATGCATTGAATACATTTACAGGGCTGTACAGTACATAAATCAGGAGTTGTTATTTTATTTTAACAATAGATGGGATGGTGCTGTTCTTATATCTATCAGTGCGGGCTCTTATGGGCTGTATTTTGTTGTAGTGGCGGACTGCGCGAGTTGGGTGGGGGGCTGCAGGTGGCAGGAGGTGGCGATGACGAGGGTGTTGCAGTAGTTCACTGCCAAACCTTTCCAGTGCTTGGTGGTGGAAGTCACTGAGGGATGGCATTTCCAGGGTGGAGAGAGCGTTGGTGTAGCCGGAGTAATCTGCGCCGAGCATGATTCTGCAGGCCCTTTTCTGTACCTTCTCTAGCTTACGTTGTTGGGTGGAGTTGAGAGAAGACAACCAGGCTGGTGACGCATATGTTAGTTTGGGGAGAATAAAGGCGTTGTAGATGGTCCTCAACTTTGGCGTGGGTGTCCCAAGTGACCTAAGTCGTCGTAGCATGTAGAGACGGTACGAGGCTGCCTTGACTGTGTTATTTACATGGGCCTTCCAGTCAAGTTTGTTGTCTATAGTTACACCCAGGAGTTTGGCAGACTGCACCAGCTGGAGAGGATGGGCACCCACTGTGACTGCTGGGGCTTGCACTGGAATGGTGGGGGTATTGATGTGCATGACTACGGTTTTGGTGTGGTTGATGGTGACCTTGTTCTCTGTAGTCCACTCCTGTAGCCTGTCCAGGGAGCCTTGTAGCGATGCGTAGTCTGGTGCGGTGTTGTCCACTAAAACCCCTACAGTGCAGTCATCCACGTACTTCCACCTGTGTGGAGTGTCCGATAGAGCGTTGTTGATGAGGATGAGGAAGCACAGTGGTCCCATCTTGGTCCCCTGGGGAACACCGCAGGTGAGGCGTTGGAATGTAGAGACCGAGCCCTGATACCTCACTGCCTGGTGACGTACACTCAAGAAATCAGTGAGCCATGAGACCAGGTTGGTGGACAGCCCTAGTGCAATAGCCTAATAAGTAACTCTACTTAGTGGTGGACTCATTCATAACAATGCTATGAGCTGGTTGTGTGTACTCCTCACCTGAGATCAACAGGTGGACAGCGAACACATTCTGGCTACCTCCTCCGAGAGGCTGGCTCACCACATCACCGTATCACACGACGCTATCCGATCTTAATGGCCTTCAACCATCTCCAATGAGGCTGGACGTCATTACGGCATACAACGACCACCCTTGGTCTATCAGGCACCTGTTATAGAGAGGAGCAGAGGCTTGAGAGTCAGAGTGTTGACACGAATGTCATAAAATACGTTTTGTAAGCTGATGACGTATGAGCACTTTACTAAAACATCAGAATTACTTTACTGGATCACTTGTATATTCAAACAAAACGACTAAGTCAAATCACTTAATATAACAAGGTGGGACATGAAGTACTGGACAAACCTGTTATACAGAGGAGCAGAGGCTTGAGAGTGAGGTCAGGAGTCAGCCTGCCTCTCCTCTCGGCCAACGCTCACAACCTCTGAGTTACCAAGTTGGAACTTCCACAGATATAACATCAAATTCCTTCACTGTACACATCAGCGTGAGGAAATTAGGCTATGAGCTTATCTTAATTCTCTAAGATCAACTTTTTAAACCAAGCAGTGACTGAGCTTTCAAAGGTAAGAATTAAACCGACGTCAAGTACTGTACAAGGAATGGCAGTGTTTTAAGGGCGGAGCTTCACAGGCAGATAATGAGATTTTTCCGTTAAGTTTCCAGTGATAAGCAAAAGACTTGTTGACATTTTGGAACACTACTTACTTTCTATAATACAAGACTGACAACAATTTCTATACTCTCATTGGATTTTCTGATGTTCATAGATAAAAAAAGATATGACTTCAGTTTTCAATTACTGTCCTATTCCTTAAGTTCCCAAGAAACATACTGATTTACTGCTGGTAGATGAGTACTCAAAACACAACGTCTTAACACGATGTACTCGACACAAAGATATATGATGCCTTCAACATGCATGTACCTGTTACCCAATACACCTAGAATGCTTTCTCTCACAGTAGGTATAACTGATTTACTGTACAATAAATTCATTCACTCTCAATTTCAAATCTCCGAGCACCATTTAAGGTATTAAGAAATATCCAAGTCTCTGAGGTACATGAGAGAAAACGGAAGACTAAGATGTACTGAAGTGGTGAGAAAATGGACGTCTCAACTGGTGGACTGGACAGTTTCACACATTTTACAGGCGGTGGAGCATAAAAAGAATAATTAAGTGTTGGACAGACTAGCCACGCTATTGTGACTACGACATCCCATCCCAGTGTAAAGCCCCGTCCACACGATCGAGCACTCGCTTAATGCCCGTTATTCGGGCAAACCAACGGAGTGCCCGTGCCCGTGGTCGAGCGAAATCACCAGATAAGGCCGTCTGCCTGGTGGTTTGACCGTTTGCTGCCAGGTATGGATGGACGACCCTGCCAGACAAACGAAGTTTACCTTGGAACCCTGGCTGCCAGTTTTTCAGTCTCACCACAAGTCACCACTGGAAAATGTTTGTTCTTCCATCCGCCACAGACCAAGGAAACATTCATTGGTCTAGAGAAGAGACCATGGTGTTGATTGAAATCTATCGTCAGCACCCTTGTCTATGGAATGTCAAAGTGGACATGTACAGGGATAGGGACAAACGCGCAGCGGCACTGAGACAGATTACAGAGGACATGAATAGAAGCGGGACTACAGTTACCACAAGCGATGTGAAGAGAAAAATTGAATCACTTCGAACTCAGCATAGACGGGAACTAAGAAAGATGCAAAAATAAAAAAAGTTTGGAGCAGGAACTGAGGACATTTATATTCCCACATTATGGTGCTTTGATGCACTGCATTTCCTCAATGATGGTGACACAATTCAACAATCTGTGTCAAACATGGATACTCACACTACAGAAGATATGTCTGAGGTACATTCTGATCATGAGGTACGTATGCAAGCGTTCTCTCTCTCTCTTTGGGATGACTGTTATCACATATCCGTACACTCACTCCTCAATACAACTAGCCAGCCTGCTGGAGGGAGGAGGGGGGTAGGGAAGGAGAGAGGAGGTGCACCGGCCTCTCCCCCCAGCGAGGATTTTAACGAGGTGGGAATCATAACAGTAACAATTATTATTTATTTTTTTTTCGAGAATGAGTCATATGTGCATTGTTCATGTAAATACCTTTTGAGAGTATAAAGAAACATTTTTCTGAACAGATTTACGAAAATCACTAAATAAAGTATGAAATATAAATGAGTGCACATTCACAATTGTCCTGAACAAATCCCATCCAGAGAGCGTAAACTGTAAAGTATACATTTCAGAGTATAAATAAAAAAAATATCAACTTGAAACAAATATAATTGTCATACATAGTAAATACTGTACATGTCATCATGTCTACAGAATTTCAGATACATCATAAGTTTCGTATAAACCACAATGCCATACTGCTGCTTCGATTTAACTGTTCTGCGACACACCATGGTGATCGTACCGCAGCAGCTACTGCCGACCACCTACTAGCTACCAGTGGCAGAGTGTGACTGCTGCCAACCAGCACCTCCGTGTGTACGACGACACACAGGCTTTGCCCGGTAAACGGGCAAAGTCCGCCAGGCACTGTTCGATCGTGTGGACAGGGCTTAACTGTCTCTGGAGGTTTGTGGGAAAATCCAACTCAAGGTGAGGTGGGTTTTCCAGCGGGTCTCATTTTCTGTAGCACGAATACTTCCATTTCTTCTTTTTTGAGTTCTTCAATCTTGTTCTCGTCCATATATTGTATTTTGGCGTGATAAATAATTCCCCACACCACATTGTCTTTGAAGTTTATTTTCACCTTAATGGGGACGTCATTGATGACTTTAACGTTGCTCAGCCTGTCTCCAGTCACCGAAGGTAACCATAAGGCCACCGCTCAGCTGGCAGACGACCTTCGTAATCCCCTTTATACATATGCTTATATCTCTATAAATTAGATATGTTGGTGCTTAAAATAATTGTTTTTTACTAATAAAAATATCAAATGTGTAATATTTTTGTACATTTGTAAAAGTATTCAAAGATAACAAAAGGAGTTTACATTACATGGCACTTAATTATACACTGTGCATTGTAAAGCAAGAGTCTACATGATCTAATTTTGCTTTGTAATTCCAACTTTTCACAGTGCTATGAAAGAGGTCACACTAAATTTCTTGTCCTGATAACATATAAACTAAAGTACAGTACCACAAAAAGATAGATCTTATTAAAATGTAGTTCCTGTTCAAGTGGTCATTAATTCTACTTAAAAATATTTATGTTACCACAGGAAGAGCTAACCACAGAAGAAAAAATCAAGAATGATGAATGATTTTTTTATTACCATAAAATCCTAATCTGAAATCTGAGATTCTACAATACTGTCCTGATATCTTTATGTTAACCAGTATAATTTAAAAAAATCCCAAACTGAAGATAAAATCTGGTCATTTAAACAATACCCTGTACTATCACCACATAACCATGACCCAGATTTCTGTCTCGGTGAATGTTTGGACTCCTGATTGGGGCTGAAAATTTGGAATTTACAAACAATTTAACAATTATAGAAAACCTTAAATCCTATTTAAAAACATAATTGTACCCTATGTTACAATTACAAGATTAGAACCTGATACATTTTCACCATCAAATCTTGACTAGAAATAACAGCCCAATAACCAGGCTAAGTTTACAATGAGACCAAGAACTGGAAACACAGATATAATGATAACCAGAAAGAAAATCTCTACAGTACTGTTCTACAAAATATGGGAAAAAAAGGCATGTGTTAACTGCAATATAAATATATTTTTTTTCCTTTGAAGAGTTTGTTGTACTGTATATGAAAGTACTGTCACAGGCTTAATATTTTTTTTTAATTGGCAAAGCTCTAAGGCAAGGCTCAAGGTTCGTATAGAAACGGTGAAATCTTTTTAGCATATAAATGGCATAGAAGCAAGCCATCTTTTTATTTATTATATCCATCAACTAATGAAAGTTTCAATTTATCTCCTGACATAACCAAGTGATTTCTTACACGAACTGATAAACTCTGTTTATAATTTCAGTGTCAAATTACATATCCACCTCATCATTTTCATTTCAGGTTTGAGTGAGCTGAAATGAGAATGATGTGGTGGATGTATAATGTGACACTGAAAGATAGGAAACCCTGGTCACAACTAAGAGAACAACTGAGTAATGAGAGTACAGTATAAGCAAGGTTTTGCATAAAGGTAGGCTAAGATGGTTTAAGCATATGGTGAGAATGGAGAACAATTGGGTCAAGAAATGTGGAGAGCCAGGGGGAGGCCAAGAATGACATGGGAGAGGTAAGATGTGACCTCAGGATTTAAGAACCTGATTAGAGGGAGAGACTGCAAGAGATCGCACAACCTGGAGAACTACCAACAGGTAATCATGGCTAACTGACATAAGCATGGGAAATGCCTGTAAAACGATGCTGAAAAAAGCAGTGATAATCCTTGAAAAAATGAAACACTGAAGTGACTAACTAAAGAATAAGTGCTACACCAGACTAAGCTACGCCCATGACACAAAAAGACAACTACTGTACCAAGTATGGATAAGTGCCTTTGCTTTTCAGTGCACACTTATCTAAACTCCTGCTTAGTCTCTGACCACTCATCGATGTATTATCTAAATCCTTCAGTCAGGTAAAAGTGAACTCCTTTGTTGAAAATTCACTAACCTGTTCTAGACAAAATAAAACTAACTATAAAACCTTTACAAATCAATTATTTCCAAGCCAACTATATAAAATCTCCATGTAATTCAAAATAATGGGGGATACTGTACCTCCTGAGGTGGAAAAAAATGGTACTGTTCCATTACCTTTACCAGATTTAACTGCTTGGTCCATAGTTATCAAATATAATGGTTCAAACACTGGGCAATGATGGAAAAACAAGTGGAAAAAAGCATGCATGGTAGACCATAGATGTACACTCCACAGCTGATCAAAGTAAACTGACCGCATCTGACACGTGTGACACATATAGTATTTGTTTACATTGAGGGAGACGGTCACATACCAGGGCAACTTGCATTTCATATACTGTATACAGTGTAAACATCTCTCATAATCCAAAATTTTACCAAATATTAAAAAAAAATTTAATACAGTATATATTTTGTAACAGCAAAACATTACCAATTTTGAGTGATTTTGAATTAGATGGGTACATAATAAATTATGTAGGTTTTTACTATATTACACTAGAATAAATTAAATTTTTTATTGATAATAAAGACATTTTGACATACTGTATTGTACTGTACTTTTTACTCTAACCAGCCATGTGAAAAAGATAAGGTGCAAGGTGATTAATGAGTGAAGTGTGATGCAGTTTTGCTTCCAGAGGCAACATGTAACATTAATTACCCCCCAAAGCTGCCTACTGTATAACGTTATTTCTTCAGAGGCGGATCCAGGAATATCAAAAGGAGGGGTCCAAAAAGTTGTGGGTGGGGGAACATGGTGAACACAGCGAGTATTCTAAAGTCAATAGTAATTACTGCATTAAAGAAAAGTATTAGAATTTTCTTTTGAAAAAAGAAAGGAGGGGGGGGGGTTCAGACCCCAGGACCCTCCCCCTGGATCTGCCCCTGTTCTTGGGAGTCGTGGTTAGGTACTGGTGGTATACAAGCCTTACTAAGAATTTAAATGACTGGTTGTAGAGGTCAAATCTTCCTGTCATAGCCTTCCATCACTGTGTTCTTGTACAGCTTTACATCATTCTTTTAGCAGTCAAGGTTAATAAGGAAAAGGATATCACTAACATCACAGAGTGACTTATTTCATGAAGCATACAATGGCCTGGCCTCATAACAAAGTGTAAGTTTTTCTATAGTTATATATCTTGATAAAATCACACGGGAAAAGGGAAACAACGGAGCACCTTAGCTTTCGTCTTTATTCAAGACATCTTCAGAGGCAACTGGATTACATGGACAGAGAGCGGCTTAAATATACAGGGTGACCTCAAAAACATGAGGTTAGGTCATAATGATGTCATCCACTAATCCACACACCAACACACACGTAGAGGAGCTTAAGAGAAGGGGGTGACGAAAGCCAAGGTGCTCCGTTGTTTCCCTTTTCCCGTGTGATTTTATCAAGATTTATCTTATCCACGTTTTCATTGTGGATCTACATGAAATAGTTATATATATATATATTTTTAATTCTCTCTATCTCTCTTTTAATTTACCCTTACATTTGGTAAAACTACTACAGTACAATACTACATGATGCATAAAATTCATCAATACTAATTCCTTCACCTGGAATTTCATAAAACAATTTAAGATTTTTACAACCTCTACATTTTGTACAATTTCAGAGGCAGATTTACATTTTTTTTTAACTATATACAGTTTGGTCAATGGTTAAAAGTTTTGTCCATAATTGCCTGAATTTCTTGCTTGTGTAGCTGTCCGACACCAACAGCTGCTACGCCCGATACATCCCGCCCAGCATACAGCAGCTGTGAAAAAGAAGAATTACATATTATGAACTATAAAAAGTTATTTCAAATATTCCCCAATCCTGAATGACCCAACCTAACCAAACACCTTTACTACAGTACCCAATCTCAATGGGCCCCAGTCCTAATGATTAAGTTAGGCTGGGGCCTATTAGGATGAAGGCTGACTTAATCTATAAAATGGTTTTAGAAAAACAACCAAAAATTAATTCTGCAGCATCACATACTATTGTTTTGTAAATGAGATAACTGTTGAACAGGAAACATGTCCTCTTAGATATCAGATACACTGACTCAAGCATTGTAATCGAGTTCATGAGAAAAACTGGTAACAATAGGCAATAACTCTTAAGCTGAGCTTTACAAATCTGTCATTTTCTCTGTTGTGCTGAAAATTTATCTTATATAATTGTTAATATACTATACATGCAAGACAAAAGGAACACAATGTAAGATGAGTACAGTATGTGTCCAGTATGTTCATTTCAGTAGGGTTAGTAAGCTTACGATACTGCTTCCTCCAACAAGTTTACTGCACTTTGTAATAATGTTCCATGACACAAATATTATACAGAATTAATAAGACTCAGTATGCATCTCTTATGTATCACTTATGGACACTTAGAAAGATAAACTTACACAAACATATTCCAGTACTGATGCACTTTTCTTCACTGTAAGCAGATAAATTTTCATACACTGTTCATTATTTCCACTAACAACATTGAGTATTTTTAAGGGTATGAAACTCCCTCAAACATTTTAACACAGTGAGACATTACATTTTAAAAATTTCAGCCATTTTGATGGTTCATGTTACATGGGGCTCTTATACTTGGTACCTCCACTGTGAGAGGTTGACAGCCATGTAACTTCCATGATGTAAACCAAAGTTTTGGCTGAGAGGGAAGAAGAAACCCATCTCAGGGCTACCCAAATGATTACAGAGCATCACCCACAGTGCTGTCACACTACAGTAAAAGCTTTAAATTGTGGTGGGAAAACATAAAACATCAACTAACATGGATAACAGTTTACAGGTTAATGTCACAAAACATAATCTTAATGTTCATCTAAACCTTCCCTCCAAAATAAAAAAATAACCCTTTTTTCCTACAACTAAGCAAATATTGTCTGAGGAAATCTTAAAATATTAAGTCTATGTGTGAGTACACAGAGAAACACTTTGTACTGATTACCAAATGTCTTTTTCAAGTGGTTATGGCATTATATGAGGGCTCAAAACCCTTAGTGAGAGTAAATGGGGAGGAAATTGAGCCCCTTTCTATTTATCATGGTGTTGGAAACAATATCATAGACTTTAGGACTGGCCTGCCCTGGGAATTGTTGTATGTTGATGACTTAGTGCTGAAAGCAGATAGTACTGAAGAGACAGTGGAGTAATTTAAGAAATAGAAGGATGGAATAGAGGCACAGGGCCCAAGAGTGAATGTGGCAAAATCAAAAGAGTTGATTAGTGGTGTGGGCGCAGGACCCATGGTGGAAAGTAGATAATGGCCATGTGATGTCTACAAGAAAGGTGTTGGCAGCAACTCAGAAATGTGGGTACATAAAAGTTACTTGCACAGTGGAGTAGATGGAAGGCTGTGGAATGTTACTGACTTTTAAGTGTCCTGTATGTGCAGGTAACTGTGTCCCCACAGCAAGGCTGAAGAAACTGATCATTGGGGATATATCCTTGGACTGCATCAATGAGTTCTGTTATCTGAGTAACATGATCAGTGCTGGTGGTCAGTTGAAAGTCAGAAATGGCTGAAGGAAGTTTAGGGAGCTGCTGACTTTATTGATGACAAGAGGACCTTCACTCCAAGTGAAAGAATGTATGCAGCTGATGTGAGAAGTGTGATTCTGTATGGCAGTGAAATATGGGCAGTTAAAGAGTATGACATAAATAGATCTGAAAAAGCAGAAATGAGAATGGTGAGTTTGTCTGTGCAATGTGAAGCTGAAAGACAGGAGCCCCTGTTTGGAACTAAGAGGGCAGCTGGGTATTGAGAGCATTGGCAAATTCCTGTGTAAAGGCAAGTTGAGTTGGTTTTGGCAAGTGGAGAGAATGAATGAGACCATTTGTGTCAAGGTGCACATGAGCTTAAATGTGGAGGGGAGGAGAGCCTGGGGTAGGCCAAGAATAACATGGTGAAAGGTTATAAGAAATGGCATTAGAATTAGGAACCTGACGAGAGAGACTGCATGGAGAACTGCCATCAGGTAACATTGTTTAACCCACACAAGCATGGAAAAGGGCTATGAAATGATGTTGATGATTGATGATAATGAAAAATTATCATGGCCATGGATACACACCACAACACTTATATACGACAATATAACGTTGATATAACACGAGATACATTCCAAGAGAGGTCGCTTTAAACCAAATTTGCACTAAATCGAAGTGTTGTTTCAATGGAATAATTTAGTTTGGTACTTGAGAGAAACACATTGTTATTTGTAGTGTTATGTTAAAACAAACATTCATAAATCAACACAGCTAAAATTATGGGATGTTAAATGGTCTGTTTACTAGCGATCAGCTGATGGGAAGATGGGGGAGAGGTGAGGTGATATGTTTGACAGTTGATGCCAAGGTCTAGTGCTTATTTATTTATAATAATAATAAATAAACGGTTTATTAATAGAGTTGCAGCTGGTGGCTGAAAATATACAGACTTACATTTGATTTAGACATAATGATATAATATGCATTGAATACATTTACAGGGCTGTATAGTACATAAATCAGGAGTTGCTTATTATTTTGATAATAGATGGGATGGTGCTGTTCTTATATCTATCGGTGCAGGCTCTTATGGGCTGAATTTTGTTGTAGTGGCGGACTGCGCAAGTGACTAAGGTTTTCTCTTATAAAATGTCCCTAAACTGACCTGGGAGAATATAATTAACATTGCTGGAATTCTTATAAGATAGTAATTAGATTGAATATAAACAGGCTGTAGTTTACATTTGACATACAAATTTTAGTTCTAATTAATTATTACAAAAGGGTAAAAATTTTATCTCTTATGCAAAATATATGATGTTTATATTAAAATTATTCACTGTCTTGCAAGGATTCCAGCAATGCAAATTATATTCTCCTAACTTTAGACTGTGATATTATATAAGATAAAAACTGTACCCGGTAAGCCTATATCCACCCAACCCTGGCTGGGAAGATTGGGGGGCGGTGACAGTGACACATTTGACAGTTGGGACCGAAGGTCTAGTGAAGTATTTATTTGTTTATTTATGTCCTTAAGATTGAGTTTTTTTTTATATAAAATGTCACAGAAGTGACCGGGGAGAATATAATTTACATTGCTGGAATTCTTGTAAGATAGTGATTAATTTGAATACAAACATGCTATAGTTTGCATTAGACATACAAATTTTAGTTCTAATTACAAATAGCTAAAATTTTATCACATACAAAATATATGATGTTTATATTCAAATTATTTGCTGTCTTTCAAGGATTCTAGCAATGCAAATTATATTCTCCTAACTTTAGTCGGTGATATTATATAAGATAAAAACTTAAAGCCTACTGCATAACCACCAAACCCTGGTTGGGAGGGGGGAGGGAGGGAGGGAGGAAAGGGAGATGACAGTGACATGTTTGGCAGTTGGAGATGAAGGTCTACTGGTAGTGAAGTATTTGTTTGTTAATTTATGTTCATAAGATTGAGTTTTTGTTTTTTGTTTATAAAATGTCATAGAAGTGACCAGGGAGAATATAATTTACATTGCTGGAATTCTTATAAGATAGTGATTAATTTGAATATAATCATGCTACAGTTTGCACTAGACAAAATTTTAGTAATCATTTAGTACATTATTTTGAGTACATGTACAGTATAGCTTTGCCCTTAGGACAGTGTAACGTGCCCAGAGAAAAATTAGGGGCGAATTTTAAATATGATGCACCAGATTGACTAATGCAAAATAGGAAAGATTCGCTTTAAATTAAAACATTGTCCTTAATTGTGGGTGTCGCTTTAAATCAATAATCTTAAATTGAATCTCTTTAAATCGACGTTCTACTGTACCATGTTTAATACACAAAACCCAAGTGTAATAGTTAGGTGAAGCACAACCAACATGATAAATAATTTTTCACTGCTACATAAATTCATAAATTACTTAACAAATATAAATATAACCAAACATACCTTCGTTGAACACAAGTTTTCAAATCGTGGATGAACAAAGGTCCAAGCTCCCATGTTACGATGCTCCTCTTGAGACCAAACTAATGCTGAAGACAGAGTTTAAGAGATTAACAAATGACAAAATATAATATTATTTAATTTTTAAATAATTCAACTTAGAATAATACAGTACACTCATAGGCAAGACACAACCTGGAAATTAGGAGATATAACAGGGCAAACTTTGATCACAGATTTCACTGGAGCACAAAGGTTGAGGTGAGGTGAATACATAATAAGAATGGAAGAATTTAGATTTGCAATAATTGATTTCTATAATGCAGTGCAGGACACAGGCCCTGAGGATGATCATGCAAAGGATGGTGGAAAAATGTGATACAAATATGTCTCAGAGGTAGAGCCTATCCCACAATTGGGTTACCTCATATCTGTCCAACAGGAAGCAGTATATCTGCTATAAAAATCACCAATCTGACCCCTCGCCAATCTTGTTTGGCATCCCCCAAGGCTCCATTCTCGGTCCAGTACTGTTTTTGTTGTACATAAACGATATAGTCCACGCCAGCTTACTCATAAAATACAACTTATTTGCAGACGATAGTAATCTCTATGCCAGCAACTCAGACCTCCATTCCATGATGAAAACTATGAACACTGAATTGACTAAAGTCAGGAACAGGGTAAAACGTAATAAAATGACCTTAAACCTTGAGAAAACCCACTACATGATCTTTCACAGAAGGAAAAACTTGACCCCAGACTTGGATCCCCTGTACCTTGGTAATACAGTCCTCAAACGCGAACAAAATACTAAATTCCTCGAAGTTATTGTTGATGAGAAACTTAACTGCAGAAACCACATACAAGCCATCCACAGTAAAGTCAATAAACAGTGCGGTATCATGTATCACACTCGATAGTCACTCACTCTCACAGCAATGAAAGAAATCTATCATGATCTTGCTTACCATCACCTGATTCACTGGTCTCTGGCTCTTCAAAAACACAATCCCTAGTTACTGCACAAAAGAGAGTTGTACGGACAATGACCTACTTAAAAAAAACAGACAACACAAACGAAAAATTTGCTAAATTAAAAATGTTAAAATTAGAAGATATTAACACCTACTGCTGTGCCCTCTTTGTTTACAAATCTATCAATCACTTGCTTGACAATAATTATTTCCAGTTCCGGAGTAATCAGAGATACAACTTAAGGCACCCAGAGCTACTAAGACCCCCCCACCCATGCGCTCCACTCAGTCCCAGACCTCCATAAAATATCATGGTATGAAGGTGTGGAACAACTTACCCCCACCCATCCAAGCAAAGACTACACTCCTTCCTTTAAATCATCTCTTAAAACATATCTATTGTCTAAGTATTGATATTGTAGTGGAGCCCTCCCCTACAAACGCCATGTGTCGCTGACTGGCCGACCCCCCGCGAATCTACCGGCGTATCCCTCGTGGTCAAGGTCAGGTAACCAGCGACGCTGAACAAAGCGGGGGCCTTCCATCAAGCCACGCCTACCGCGGTTATATAAGACCTCACCTGGCCTTCATCGCTCTCTTTCTACATACCGCCACCAGCAAGCAACATCTCTCAACGGCTCCATACACACGCTCCCTCAGCAAGCTCCTCGCCCTACAGGAACTCTGAGCAAGCTTCGCCCGACTTAGTATCTCTTTAACACTGTGCTATGCAACAATATATATACGAGAAACACTGTGATTTTCTATTTCTACCTCAATCCTGAGTGTTGAATATATTTCATGTACGTAAGTTGTGAGGCCAAATAAGAGACCCTGACAACCTGCCACGACAGTATGCTACAATATTTCTTGTAATACCTACTATATATACCTGCTCTTATTGTACCATCAAAACCGTTTTATCGGAAATTATCATGTAAATAGATAAGAAATTACCATTGCAATAAATATATTTGCCAACTAGACATAATCCTGACAGCTCTGTCCTCTTGTTCAACCTTAATACTGTACAACCCATGTTGTACTGCTTCCCCATTATATTTATGGTTTTCAATTCCACTGTAACATATGTATAATACTTATACTTGTAATATAAATGTAAAAAATAAATACAAAAAATGAAAAAATAAAAATAAATAAATAAAATAAATAAATATTGAAGTGATAACCGTGGTAACATTATGAGATGTTGTTATTACCACCATGCTATGTGTACTATTCCAGATGACACTAAATGTTACATAATACTTCCCTGAGATAAATGTACAGTATATATCAGGTGACTACAGGAGAGCTCAGGTTCTCAACTGGCTCAGCCATGTTAATATTGTTATTATTATCCACTCTGTATCTGTGTTTTCCTGGCTAAATAAACGGTTTCAATTTAATTCAATGGATAAACCTCAAAGAAGGATTGTTGTTGCTGGCAAGACATATGTTTGGAAAGGTCTAGTTTGAGCAACTGTAGACTGACATTTGGTCTGATAACCACACAAGAGAATGTAGGATTATTACATCTGATTATTGCCACACTGTTGAGATGAGAGGCAATTCCTAAACACCATTACCCAAGTCATCCCTTTTCAGTCTTTTACTACAAGGCCATGTGCCAAGTGCCAGCACTCACAACTGAAGGAAGTATTTAGTGATACGTTAGTCTACAAACGTTTGATATGATGTTCTACATGTGGAACTCATCAATTGAAACTGTCACTGTGGTTTATTTTACTATATAACCACACTCTTTGACACAACTTCAATCTTAAATCCTACCTAATTTTGGCATGTAGAATTCTCACAATTTTATGGAAGTTTGTCAATCAATTAAAATTATATTGACACAAAATATGTGAGTGTCAGGTGTATAATTCTGGGATTATTGCACTTTATACCTTGGTGCCTATTTTGAGGAACTCACCTGATATATAAGTCTACCACATACTCATGAAGAGATCCCACCACATACACTAGGGTGCTTCCTAAAGTATTCCCTAAGAGAAGTGGCTTCTCTTACGGAATACTTTAGGGGTGACAGAGATACATTAGTATGCCTATAAATGCACAAAATGGAGTCTATAGCGGGTACTGAGGCAGAACCTGCAACACATCATGTGGTATGTCCCAGCTCTGTAGTCTTAGTTAAAACAAAATTGTTGACTGGCTGGCCACAGGTGAAGCTCTCCAGTAACCCAGCTAAGGTGACCTGGTGTTGGCTTTAAGGATCCAGGAACACCCACAAACTTCCGTACAAATATAAGAAAATAACAACAAAAAGATGTTACATCATTTGAACCTTGATGTTACATACCCAGTATGTTATCACTTCAAAGATGTTATAACAACTTTTGACAATCTGGCAATTAATGGCAAGATATTTACACATGCCTTATTTTTTTCAAAACAAAAACACAATCCAGTTTTACTGCATGTTCTGCAATCATTTTAAGTGCCTTTCTTGAGGTAAACAGAGTAGAAGAAAAATAACAAGATAAATACAATACATAACTGAAGATAAAGGTCACATCAGAATCTTAAGGTCATATTGTTTGGGTATACTGTGCTGTACTGTACTCACTCTTGGCTTTCTTGTACTTGATTAATTCATCATTAATCTCTTTCGTTGGGAATGGACAAAGACTCTCAAGTCGGATAATTGCAGTGTCTGAGATACCTCGAGCTTCTCTTTCACTCACAAGAGCATAGTAGTGTTTCCCACTCACAAAAATCACTTTCCTCACACTGTCTGGACTCACACTTTTGTCCCCTGCAAAATAAAGCATAAACAGTAAAACTGGGATGATAAACTAATGGCCTTTGTATATTTAATATATCACAAATATGAAGTATTGTACTGTAGTAATTCCTCAACAATCTTCTTTAAAAACTTAATAGATTTGTTTACATTCTACTGAAGAAAACCCAACAGCTTAAAGAACACCTATTATAAAACATTCTATAAACAAACTTAAGAACAGTACAGTAGAACATCGATATAACAGAGAGGTCGCTTTAAACCAAATTGGCACTAAATCGAAGTGTTATTTCAATGGAATAATTTAGTTTGGTATTTGAGAGAAACACAAAATACTAAAAAGACTGACAGTCTACCCAGATGCACCTCAGCCCATCTCCTAGAATAAACAAAACATTGTTTTTTGTAGTGTTATGTTAAAACAAACACTCATAAATCAACACAGCTAAAATTAAGGGATGCAAAATGGTTTGTTTACTGGCTGGGAAGATGAGGGGGAGGGAGGGAGATGAGGTGATATGTTTGACAGTTGATGCCAAGGTCTAGTGCTTATTTATTTATTTGTCCTTAAGAGTGACTTTAAGTTTTTCTCTTATAAAATGTCACTGAACTGACATGGGAGAATATAATAAACATTGCTGGAATTCTTATAAGATAGTGATTAATTTGAATATAAACATGCTATAGCTCACATTAGACATACAAATTTTAGTTCTAATTTAAGAATTTTATTACAAAGAGCAAAATTTTTTATCTCTTATGCAAAATATATGACGTTTATATTCAAATTATTCGCTGTCTTGCAAGGATTCCAGCAATACAAATTATATTCTCCTAACTTTAGTCTGTGATATTATATAAGATAAAAACTTTAAGCCTAAAACACCAAACCCTGGCTGGGAAGATGGGAGGGAGGGAGGGAGGGGGAAGTGACAGTGACATGTTTGACAGTTGTGGCCGAAGGTCTAGTAAAGTTTTTATTTGTTTATTTATGTCCTTTAGCTTGAGTTTATGTTTTTTGCTTATAAAATGTCACATAAGTGACCAGGGAGAATTTAATTTACATTGCTGGAATTCTTATAAGATAGTGATTAATTTGAATATAATCATGCTATAGTTTGCACAAGACAAAAATTTTAGTAATCATTTAGTACATTATTTTGAGTACATGTACAGTACAGCTTTGCCCTTAGGACAGTGTAGCGTGCCCAGAGAAACATTAGGCGCAAAATTTTAAATATGATGCGCCAGATTGACTCGCGCAAAATAGGAAAGATTCGCTTTAAATTAAAACATTGTCCTTAATTGTGGGTGTCACTTTAAATCAATAATCTTAAATTGAATCGCTTTAAATCGATGTTCTACTGTACAGTATAGTGAATCATAAGCTCTCCTCTCCACTTCCATGCTTTCACCAAGTTTTCCATTCAGTCATTTTTTCACTATGCATTCCATTTAATGCTAAATATTTTATTGGGTCTTGCATTTCTCTTTCAGTCTTAACTAAAGCTCTTCTTGGTCACTAAATTTCCTTAAGAACTTGTCAACAAAATTACATAACTGTACATCATAAAATAAACCCTAACCACTTACTTCTCTCTATCTATTATCTTTATTCCTCTTCCAATTGTGTGTGGAGTTGATGAAGGAGTAGATACAGTACAGGTATTTCAAAGGAAGATATAAAAGGCAACTGGGTGAAACAAGTGCGAAAAGTGACGAGAGAGATGAGAGGCCAAAGACAAGTAAAAATCACCATAAAACTTTTTAAATCCACACACACAAACTTCCATTGTTTCATATCAATTTAGTGAGCATACCAAGCTATTAGGCACAGTCGTGGACAAAAGTTAGCTCCCCATGGTGAATCTGACTCACAGGAATGAGTCTCCTAACTTACAAACCCTTACTGTCATCTGGTGTGGTTGTGCTTTTTTATCTCATTTAGGGTCAATGCTGCCTCATTTTGGGAGGGAATGATCTTTTGACCCCAACTGTACAAAAAGGATTTCACTTTATAAAATTTCTGCTTTATTAAAAAATATATACTGGTAACCTGCAACTCACCAAGAACAGGGAGGAAGTGTGTTCCAGGAGCCATATCTTCTAGACTGGAAGTTGCAGCTGGCAGACGAAGAATCATCTTGGGACCAGCAATGATAAGGGGTTTGCGGTAGTTCCTCATAACCTGTTCAAAAACAAATATTTCTTAACACTATTCATGACAACAACCTGTTTCTTGGATAATTACTGCTCATTGAAGCTGGAAAACCATCATAAAATCTTAGAAAATATAGCCTCAGGCTGTTCTCTTGTTTGTTTGTGATAAGAGCAAATACATGAGGAACCTTTAAAATCCAAATTAAGGAAAACAAATACTGTACAGTAATCTCCCCATTAGCCAGAATCCCCAATCCCCTGAATTCTCCAGTAGCTGGAATTGAAATCGTGCCGGAAAAATTCCGGCAAAACTCTCTCCATTCCAGGTGTGCAAACAAGTTTCTGAGGATGAAAATCAGGCATATTTTCCAGAAAAAAATTCAGAGAAGGTTCCAATAAAATCTCTCCAAACCTCTCAGTTCTGGGCCTGGGAATAAATTTTCTGGGAGTTCCAAGAGATTACATCATGCTCCAAAGCATCCCCATGTGCCGGGTGTGAGAGTGTCCTAGCTGCTTGGATCACTTAGTTCATATTCTACTACCAATGTAAAAGGTTGTTCCCTCATTAGCTGCTGTTTTTGCATACAATTTGTGTTGTAATGTACTTCACATTACTGTACCAGCACAGTCAGCCAAGAATACAATGTTAAAGTAGCTTTAAGAACGTAAGTGATTACAGTTTATGTAAATTAATACAGCTCTGTGCAAGTGGTAAATTCCAGTCTTCGCTGTGACACACAGCTTCACTCACAAGGCACCTCGCACGCCCATGTCATATAGATTTTTAGTTTTTTAAATATATTTATTTAATCAAACTTTTAGATAAACTATTCAGGTTTATTTTAGTAAAAAAATGGTGTTTCTAACTTATTTCAAACTGCTTTTACTGACTCTGGTATCAACATTTCTTATGTTCCTCATCAAAGAATTGAGTCCCAATCATTATACAGCAAGTCCTCAATATATGCGAGTTCAGCATATGCGAATTCACTCATATGTGAAGACCCTTTTCCTCCCAGGAATTCAATTAATACAAGAAAGATTCAGCCTTATGCGAGATGACACACTCCCTGATATGGATTCCAACCCTGATGACAACTGCAGATATCACTCCAACACCATCACCCACTATGTAAAACCTCTACAATACCACCACCTCCATCATCTCGCCTACCCAAGTTGATGTATCTGCTTTTATTGTTAAGTACACTGTACTGTACACTTGCTTTATCTATTTTAAAAATAATATTGTGTTGATTTGTTTTATGGTTTATTTGTCTTGAAAATGGGTCTGGAACATTTTAATTTGAGGTTATGGAACACATCCTATTTTTTCCCAATTAACTAAATATTTGATTTATGCAATTTCGATTTATGTGAGGGTTTTCAGGATGGCATCCCCCGCAAATATCAAGGACTTACTGTACAGTATTGTCAAAATATTTTGTTTAAAGATCTTTTATCAGAAACGACTTGTAAAGAATTTATTCAGGATCATTATGGTATGAAATTCATCTCTCTAACACGAACAGAACAGACGCTATGAATAAAAGTATATACCTTTTTCGCTAGCCATAAATATTTTCGCTCATGCCAGCAGCCTAAATGGAATGGGAGAGTGTTTGTCCGTGGGAGATGAGATAATGAGATGTGTAGTTTAGACTCAGAAAACATTCCCCACACCCAGAAACATTCCGGGGATGTGGGCTCGTGTCTGTCTTTGTAAGATGCAGCTTAAACTTTGTCCAATGCCCGGAAAAATTCTAAGGATGGGATTTTTCCATGTTTGAGAGAGTCATCTCATTACCCGGAAATCTCTCCTCCCCAGAAGAGCTCTGCACCAATTATTTTGGCTAATGGGGATATCACTGATTTATTATTCTCACACAGTGTTAGTGTAGAAATAAGGTTGGCTCTTACCAAAAAATAATACTATTTTTCCTCATACTATTCCAACTCAAAAACAATAAACATTCGTTACTATGCAATTTGACATGCTGAGATTCACACTTCTGCAATTAATAAATACAGGACTATTTTTTTTTTACAAAATTATCTACTCTATATCCACTTAGCTTTCTGTGCTAAAATTCATATAATTAATCCTTTTACATTAATAACAGTTGGACAAATCACACCCTCTCACTGACCAATGTTGCAAGTACTGGCTTGTTGGCTGACAACACCCGCGAGATTGTCAAAATTTGAATTTGGTCTTTGATTAATGTAGTTACAGGAACAATAACATTGAGTTATTTATGAGTATTTGATGGGTGTGTGTGATGTGTGAAGGTGTGGCCATGCCCAAGAAGAACCAGCAGGAAGGGGTCTGGCAACTGTCAGACTCTTAATGACTCAACCTGTGTCATGAGATAGTGAGAGGATTAATTACAACATCATCTACACTAACCCTGTACAGTACACTACAGCTGCTACTGTGTTATAATAAAACCCATTGTAGGTCTATATATGAGGAGGGGGGCATGAGGGGTGAATGACTGGTCACTAACTGTCGAGAAAATTTCTAATGTGAGATAAATTACCAGCAAGTCCCTTGAATCATGTTTGAACAAAATAACTTTTTATAATAAAAATAGTCCAACACAGTACAGATGTAATGGTACACTCCATATACAAAAAGACCTATAAAGCCATACAGTATAAATTATTCATGATATCTAAAGGTGTGATTCTCTGCCAAGGTTACTGATATGTTGAGGAGTGGTGCAGTGGAAGTGTCTGGCATGTCCATGCACTGGTTAGCTGCTTGGTGTTTAATGTCTTTCATTATTTACAAGAGTTACATGCCAAAGGTGAGAGAGGGTCTAATATGGAAGACTGCCCCATTAAGGACAGTGGGGACACAGAACACGGTATGTAATGAAGCAGCATGGCCAACTGCTTTGACTTTTCCAACTGTAAAATTAGTATCCATTTACAGCTGGGATGACTAGGAGTGCTCTACAATAAAGCCAGTGACCCTTAGGACAGTAGGTGTGTGTGCTGTATCTAAATCAATAAGGTCCTTGTGTGGAGGTTTTCAAAAACATTGGATTTTGTTCTTGTGGACATTCATTATAAATTCTGTAGAGAAGACCATGCATGGGCCACAGATTCGAGAATTACAGGTTGAATATCTGCATACTGGGAGGCATTTACTGTACTGTATAAGCTACCTTTTCTAAAGGCTGCTGCTTCCCATCCTAGACACCCCTTAGTTCAACTTTATAGGAGCAGAAGTGAAGGTGGTCAAATACAGTACAGGTCACAATGACTTTTGCACCAAAGACTTAATATACACAATGCTATATCCACACTGTCCCTAATTAGTCATTAGTCCTATGAAACCCACTTTCACTAAAGTGAAAAAAGTTAACTCAGCCCAGATTCACTCAGATTAACTTGAATTCATAAATGGTGCAACAGTCACCCTGGTGTGCTGACTGTGCACTAATGGCTCAAACTAGACATTTAGCTTATCAGGACAACTACTATAAAGTGTTAATCCCCCTTATATGATGATGGTAGTATGGGGGCGGGGGGGGAATAATATTCAGTACAGGGGGTCCCCGGGTTACGAAAGGGTTCCGTTCCTGAGGACGTTCTTAAGTCAGAAATGTACATAAGTTGGAACACATGCTATGTGCATACCGTACTTACAGAACAATGTTTAAAAGCCAACTATACCATAGACTAAGAGAAAAGAAGAAATAGAATGAAAAAATACAGTGAATGAAAGTAAAAAATAAGTCATCAGGTAAATAAAACACTGTACAGTGGTCCCTCGGTTAACGAACACAATTCGCTCAAGAAGGTCGTTCGTTAACCGAAAATTTCGTTAACCAAAACCATTGTTTGAATGGGATATTGGGTAATTGGTTCCAGCTCACAGAAAAGTATATACAAAGTAAAGCCAAAAATGCATAAAATCAGAAACACTCCAAAAATTCCCCTAAATTGCCCTTAAATCACTATATATATCATACATATACACTAGAACTCTTAAATCACTACTGTAATGTGATACAGGTGATTAATTTTATCTCTTGTGCAAAATATATGACGTTTATTATATTCAAATTATTCGCTGTCTTGCAAGGATTTCAACAATGCAAATTATATTCTCCTAACTTTAGTTTGAGATATTGTATAAGCTAAACACTTTAAAGCCTAATGAAAACAAGATAACTTTTGTCTGGGAAGGCAGGGATAGGGAGGGAGGGAGGGAGCCAGCGAGAGTGGGAAGAGGGGGGGAGCGGGTGGTGAGGTGTATTTTGATTGACAGATAGTGTCTGGTGAAGTATAATTTGTTTATTTACTTGAGATTTTTGTTTTTAGCTCATAAAATTCATAGAAATTACCCGGCCAGAATATAATTTACATTGCTGGAATTCTTATAAGATAGTGATTAATTTGAATATAAACAAGCTATAATTTGCATTAGACATACAAATTTTAGATCTAATTTAAGAATTCTATTAGAGAGAGCAAAAATTTTACCTTTTGTGCAAAATATATGACGTTTATATTCAAATTATTCGCTGTCTTGCAAGGAATCCAGCAATGCAAATTATATTCTCCTAACTTTAGTCTGAGGTATTATTTATTATTAAACCAGTAAGCCTAGTGCTTTTCCCCAAACGTTTCTCGGGAAGGTGGGGGGTAGGGTAGGGTAGGGGAGGGAGGGAGGGTAGGAGGGAGGGAGGGAGGGGAGGAGGGAGGGAGGGAGGGGTGACAGTGACATGTTTGACAGTTGGCGCCTGTGGTGTCAAGTCTTTAATTGTTAATTTATGTCCTTTAGATTGAGTTTTTGTTTTTTGCTTATAAAATTTAATAGAAGTGACCGGGGTGAATTTAATTTGCATTGCTGGAATTCTTATAAGATAGTAATTAATTTGAATGTAAACATAGAAGAGATCACTGAATTGGCTGAGTACCTCCTCAGCTTATCAGCGGATGTTCAAAACAAAATGTGATTCTCGTAAGGATTTCGTTAATCGAATTTTTTTCGTTAACCGAATTGAAGATTCTTATGGAAGGTAATTCGTTAACCGAGGCATTCGTTAACCGAGGGACCACTGTACTGTAAATTTAAAGTTTAACCCCATTCGTATCGGCGTTCGTTCGTAAGTCAGATGTTCTGAAGTCAGGGACCCCCTGTATATCCAAAAAGTATCACCAAGTTTACCCTAGCTGATGCTGAAGGGCCCTGTCCAAAGATTCAAGGCCACACTGTTAAGTCACTATGTTACAAGACCCACCTGGACAAAAAGAATCTATTTTACCATCCAAAGCCATTTAGCATTACTAGAACTGCACCTGTCTTCTAAGTAAATGGAAGTACTGTGCAGGAGTTGTAGGGTTTACTATCCCCCAGTTGACATCTTCTCCATCTGGGGACGTCTCACTTGAGTCACAATTTTGCAAAAAGCGTTCTATATGACATGAAGAATGTTCTGGTCCTGCACCATCATACCCATGTGGTAGGACCATTACTAAGCCACTCTGTGTCAGCCATTTTCCTGAAAACATTGATTTTCATCAACAACAAATCCCCAATAAGATGTCATGACAGAGGTGAGTTAACATTGGGGAGCTTAATGCCAGTGAATAATACTCCTAACCCAGATGCCACAACTCATATAAGAAAAGCAGTTCCTAACATCACTTGTAACATACACAGCAGAAAGTGATAAGTTAAAAATGTAAAAAATTAAGATTATAAATGAATGAGGCTCTTTAACAAATTTAGGGATGGAAACTTTGACTTGCATAGAAAAATGGTCAATATTTTCTTGTTGTTGTAAAGGAGTGACTTATTATACATTATAAAGTGATCACTGTCGAATAATCACAAATAATTGAAGATAGTTAAATATTAGAAGCATGGACATTAATTTTCTAAGTTGATATCAAATATCAGAATAAACAATGCTATGATATCTAAAACATAAAAACAAAGAAAGAATTGATCCTGAGCTCTCATTTAGTTGCTGAGTCTTGAACTAGTTAATGCTTGAACTGCAGCTTAAGCTCAAGATTATATATTCAAATTCAACGCTAAGAGATCATATGTGAAGCTAGGCCCCACACACCTAATAATCAGTTACAGACAGTACTGTACTGTACTTATAAAGCACACTGTACTAAGCCTTCAGTGTATGAGTGGGCAATGTGGCAGGCACTGCACTCAACTGCCTTCACTTCCCCAACTGTAAATTCAGGCATCCATTCACAGCTAAGTGAAGTAGGAGTAACCCGGGCACATCCCTGTTATCCTGGTAACAAACTCTCTGATGTGGTCTTAATGTGCAGCTCACAGGAATACAGGGACAATATTATTCAAGAGTTTATAATTAACAATTAAACTGCATTTCAATCTATAACAGTGAAAATGGTAATAACAGTAATAATAACAATAAAGAAATTAATGTTATTGTTATCATTATTATTGATATTTTATAACAATAATAAAAACACCATAATTTGAAATAACGGGGGCTCCAGCCCTTATGAATTATGAGATTTTACGAAATATGAGGGACGCCTTCTCACAAGGAAATTTTTTTTTTACTTTTACGTTATCTGCCCCAATCAAAATTAAATGTTTCCAAGTACAATACCATATTTAGGTGCTTGATCCAGGGTTATCAGATATAATGGCTCATACATGGGCAATGATGAAAAGACAAGTGGGGAAAAAAGCATGCACGGAAGACTGTCGATGTACACTCTACGACTGACCAACATGAACTGAACGTGACTGACAAGCTTGACACTTATAGTGCGTCTCCCCCATGGAGACATTTGCCTCATATAATGTATATTCAAAAATGTCTCTCATAATCGGAAATGTTACCAATTACAGTATTACGAAAATTTTAATACTGTGTACTGTATATTTCATAACAATAAAACATTACGAATTATGAGTGATTTCGAATTTGGGGGTGCAAATGATGTTTTTTTTTTTACTCTATTCTTGATGTTATTGTTTTTATTATAATCATATAATTATAAATGGCATCACCTATGAGAGCACTCAGGTGAGCAGATGCACGTTAGGGGTTATTTACTTCTCACTCTCAAAGTTGTTGAGCCTATTCTCTCTCCTGTGGTGCAGGTTTTGATTTAGTGTTTGGTTCTTGTAGTAAATTTATCTAGGTTCTTCAATCAATATTGTCATTCCATACGCTTCATACAAGAGCTCATATTATTTACAGAACATTACTGAGTCCATTTACATGTCTTTATATTTCAATTGTAGATCGTGTAGGGTAAAGTTTGGATGGTCCAGAAATATATCCCCTATTCCAATGGGTTCCTCAATCATAGTTGTGCCAAGGAACACATTCCCTATCATTGGAGAATCAACTGGTGTTCAAATCATATACAGTATGTAGTACAAACTTAATCACTCTGGTCACTACAAATGAGCAACACTTACCAAGACCTACTTGACACTCATAAAGCCATACTTACTCTCTCCAGATGACAAAAAGGTATCAATAATAATTTGGGCACCATTGAAGAAGTCCCCAAATTGTGCCTCCCAAATGCAGAGTGTATTTGGACTCTCCACTGAAAATCCATATTCAAATCCCAGTACAGCTTCTTCTGAGAGGATGCTGTTGACAACCTCCAGATGATTGGTTTGTGTTTCACTCATGTGGTTCAGCGGTATATACATCTCATCACTGACTTGGTCAACGAACATGCAATGTCGCTGTGAGAACGTCCCCCGACCCACATCTTGGCCACAGAACCGAATGTTGAAACCTTTGGAGAAAATTACACTACACTGTATAAAATGTATGAGGATATGGTGAAAAAATTTTAAAAACAATTTCATAGCCATTATGCAAACATTTCTTAATATAAAAATCGACTATAAATTGTAATGAACTTGCAAGTACACTTTGGAATGATAGACCATCGTCTAAATTTACTGGAAAAAAAAATGGATTCTGCTCTGTACATCATCTCACAAAAATGCACCAGCCTACAAAATATTAAGACAGTTTGTTACATGACTGCAAATATAATGTACCTCAAAGAATACAAAGTGTAAATTTTACAATGTTGACAGTCTTCTCCAAAAGTTTATATTATAGAGTAAGTTGTCCTTGTTCATATAAAAACAATTAAAAGGTAGGCAAAAAAATGAGAGTGGTTTATATAAAGAAGCCTTCATTAACTTACAAAGAAAATGTGCAAAATATTTGATTTTTCTACGAAAAATATACAACTTCTATAAAAAATTAAGCCATCGTATAAAATGGTTTTAGCCCATAGGAAACAGACTAAAAACAAAAGAAAGAGAGATCTTGCAGAGGGATGGTGAGTGTAAGTCGTCCTTCATGGAAAAAATTATATAATGCACTTTTCACCAAAAACCATATACCTGTACAGTATTCCTGAAAAAACTGACACCTATAAAGTGAAACAGGTCTTGTCATTACAGAGTAGATAAAAGAGTAGCTCTGAAAAAGGCTGGAGCACATAAGCCTTTATTTTCCTTAAAAAAAATATATTGTATTCTGTATACAGTATACTATATATTTAATTTTATAGTTGCATGTAAAACTAAAAGGTTTGACTACATCCATTCACCAAACTGTTGGTCTAGCACCCAGGCAATGTGGAGAACATGATCAGTGTAGAACAGCGCTGATTGCCCTATCGCTACTTGTGGAAAAAACGGCACTGTTTTTGCAGGTCCTGCCATTGGAGCTACTTTTTTTTCAGGCATCTAAGCACAGCTACAATGAAGAAACATGTAGAGCAGTACAACAATAGAAAATAATACAGGAATACCTCGCTATTCACAACTCTGTTTATCTGTAATTAACATTTTAGCGCCCTTATTCGATATTTGCAAAGCATACCCCAATTATTCTTTAAGAAAAATTACAGTACTCTAAAGTAACATTTCAAACTGTGCACAGCTCTCAAATTCCACTGTAAAACTTGCTTCACACGAGCATGTTTTTTTTTCCTTTCGTCACGAGCCACACTGTTATCGCCGCTGGCTTCAGCTACAGTGCTGGCGTGTGATGCCATTAAATCTTTCGACCTGTGACCTCGCCAGATGTAGAAGTGTTTACAGACAAGTCCTGGTTCTGCTGAGTGGACTGTCTTCGACTGGTGGTGGTGCTGCCCGCCCTGCCATGAGACAGATTGCCCTCTCTAGTGGTGTTGTGGAGACCAGCCTTCTGCTCTCACTGATGAACACCGACTCACAATCCTGTCCAAGAATTTGTGCTGGGACAATTTACGCAGCACTGTTGTCTCTTGGAACACCATACTGATCTGCAGTGACCCGCACTTGTAAGTACAGTATTACCCCGCTTTACAGGTTTCACTTTCCGCGATTTCTCATTTGGTACCTTGCCAGAACCGGACTTTCACTTTCCGTGGTGCATCTACTCATATACGTGGCGAAGTATAATTATTTTTTTTTATTTAGCTCATAAAATTCATACAAATTACCCGGCCAGAATATAATTTACATTGCTGGAATTCTTACAATATGATGATCATTTTGAATATAAACATCATGGATTTTGCATTAGACATACAAATTTTAGATCTAATGTAATAATTTGGTTTACACAAAGCAAATATTTTATCGTTTGTGCAAAATATATGAAGTATACATTCAAAATATTCCCTGACCTGCAAGGAATCCAGAAATGTCAATTATATTATCCTAGCTTTAGTCTGAGGTATTATTTATTTCTAAACGTTAAAATCTAATGTTTTCACCCACACATTTCTCAGAGAGGGAAGAGCCAGCGAGCGTGGGAAGAGGAGGGGGCGTTGAGTCCATGCAAACTGTTTTCCCACTAAGTTCTTCTAAATAATTCTTAATCACTGAATCGTGGGCTTGATCCAAAAGAGACCCTCCAATTTGATGTCTATTAGGTGGAACATATCCTAATCTTAGCATTTTAATCATCTTAATGTTATTAGCCTGCTGCATTGCATATACTTTTCAATCATGTAGAATAAAAAGAGAAAACAGTTATTAATAAAAAAATTATTTTGATTTAAATCGTGATTTTTTTACTCTGATTTAAATCGATTTAAATCATGTGATTTAAATCATTTGATTTAAATCATAACAACCCTGCTGACTACACAATGAACCAATATGGCGCCTGACGCTCTTGCTATGAGCCGCGGTACAATGATATTCATGCGCCAGACGAAATAGTCCCGTATTCATCCACGTTCGTTGTAGGAGTTTTGTTCGTTATAGCATTCTCAATTTTAGAGGTAAAACCATTCGTTATAGGAATATTCGTAGTAGAATCCGTTCATTATAGCACACCCCACTGTATAGCGATAAATTTATTTATTTTGCGAGGGAAATCGGGCAGGAAATATTTCAAATGTACCGCCATGGGAAACAAATGCGTTATTTGCTCACCAGAGGTGCCACCGTGGCTGCTCACCCATGCATTCACGCTCGCCCGCCCAGTCTTGCTGAGAGAGTGACGAGAAAGCAGCCGACTCTGCTGCAGATTATGACTTCTAAGGTGAGTGTAAATGGGTTGCTAGTGACGTGAAAAGTGAAGTGAAGAGAATGGAAAGCTTAATGGAAAAGATTTAATACTGTAACTAATATTTTGGGTTTGTTCGTTAATGTAGGTGTGGGATTGTCAAGTGAGGGTGGCAGTGTGGCGTCTGGTGTTCCTGAGTCTGGTGTTCCTTGATATTGAAACAGCCTGTTGTTCCCGAGTCTAGTGTTCATTGGTGCTTTAGTTAGTAAGAAAATATACTCATTAAGTCAAGTTTAGTCACTTTTATTGGCCACCAGAACCTATTCTTTCCCCACTGATTACATGTAGTTATATATCATGATTTAGTATATAGTGAACATCATTGGACCCTATTTCGTGATATATCCCGAGCCTACTGCAGAGGATGGGGGGAACGGAAGGGGTGTGGCGTCAGGGATCTCAGCCTCCCCCTACCAGGTCAAGATGTGAGCTGTGTTATTGTTATTTTTAAACTCATATTTTTGGGAAGATATAGGCAATCTTCTTAATTTTTTTTACTCTACCAGTTCCACAACTGATTTCTGAAAGAATCAGCTCTCCTTGTTTTACTACCGAAATAATAGCACTGCTACTATCAATAGTGTTACTCCCAACACTATACCTAGGGGACCTTGATGTTTGTCACCTGGAAAAATAATATACAGTGTATAAAAAAAAAATCATCGAACATTTTCAAAATCAACAATAGACATGCAGTATAGTGGAATAGTCACACACTTTGGTTTTATCTCTCATGGACAGAAGAGATTGGTGACTCAGTAACAGTGACATAACAGAAGCATCTTCCTATGTCACTGGACATTATGATCAGTTCTTCATTTAAGGGTTGATATCCTTGACTAGGTAACTTAATTACAGCACCTGAAGCCAGCATGAAATGGAAAAAGGTGGCAGTAAAAGTTCCAACTTTATCTTACAGTAGGAGACAAATATAACTTCGCAAATGTTCTCTAACAATATGTATCTGAGCTTACCTTGATGCAACAATGAAGCCATGGCTAGTGCTTCACCAGTTGCCCAATCCATGCCACGGCCATCAGTGAGCTTCTGAAGACGCGTGTCAATGTGAGTTTTCTTGAGATGCTTGTGCATATTCTGTGGACATGAAGGGCATGCATTATACAATTATTATCATTATATAAAATGGCTATTCAGATTGATAAATTAAAATTTTACATCCTTAACATATTTACCCATACTGATTCCCTAAACAGAAAAATATTACAGCAGTATGTGCTGTTATTGAGGCCCACTCACACCTCGCGACGTACCATGGTCCCGGAATAGGCCTAGATGTCAGCTTTGGCTCACGCTCACCAGGATGATGGCAGCTAACAGATACTGTGTGTTAGGGTGTCATGAGATTGGCTGCAAGAACTAGGGTGCAACGCCTGGCACTGTCATCTCAGTTGGCTCCTTACGTAGTTTTATGCCCACGGCCCACCTTAGAGCTTATTAAAGCCACGGGTAGTGCAAATTAAATGATGAGAAAATTCCGAGGACTTTGATAATTTGTATAAACGATGCGGATATCTTAAGACCCCTTTCCTATTTGCACTTCCTTCCTGAAATGACTTTAAAGCTACTGAAGGACCCTGGGACCACAGTCCTAGGTGCAGAATGGAAAAATGGAAACTGTAACCTCAGCCAGAGAGATGTACTTAGCTTGGGAGAACAAAGAAACAAAGGAAATACAGGTACGCAGAAAGGTAGTACAGAAGCTGGTAGAAAAAATGTCAATAAAGGGTTGAAACATGAAGAAATACTTCAAACATAGTTTACCATATCACGAACTGTTGTATACATTATACAATACAGTATCGATAAACAAAGCAATATTAATATACTGAAAGGTATCTCTCCATGCATGAAATACCCAATATAACTGAGAACACTGTACAGTACATGTACTTACAAATCCCTCGGGTACATGGACAGACTTTGCCCCTAAATACTTGAGAGAAGCAGCATCTATTCCAGTATCCCAGACCTCAATGGATCCTGGTGCCTGCACAAGCCCTGACCACTGCTTCTTAAAATGAGGAGCCTGAAATCATCAACAGTATTTAACCATAATTTTTTCCAACACGGTAATGATAAATTCTTTAATCTTTAATAAACTGTCAATTACAATAGGTTTGTTTGTCAGTATACTCATCTTTCACTTTATGTGGGAAATACAGTAATATCTCCGCTAGCCGGAACAATTGGTACAGAGCACTTCCGGGTAATGAGACGACTCACTCAAAGTCAGAAAAAATCCCTCGTCCCCGGAATTTTCCGGGTAATGGAAACATTTTCTCAGAAGTTCCAAAAATTGCCCATTGCATCGTCTCTCAAACCTGGAAAAATATCCCCCATCCCGGAATTTTCCGGCTACCAGAAAGTTTTTCTCTGAGTTTTCGGAAAATGTGCCTGATTTTCACCTCTCAAGCCCCCCAAAAAAACTCCCCCATCCCTGGAATTTTCTAAAATTTTCCGGGTATCAGGAAAATTTTCTCGGAAGTTTCCGGAAAATGTGCTCCTTGAAAAATCGTTCGCAAAGCCGGAATTTTCCAGAAAATTACGGCTTTGAGAACAATATTCCGAAAAAATTTAAATTCCGGCTATCGGAGAGTTCCGGGTTAGAGGGATTCCGGCTAACGGAGATATTACTGTACATCCTTGGATAAGTATTTACAAAACAAAACCATGTAAGATAAAACCATTTCAGTTTTACTGAGTTAAGGGGTAACATTCCAGTCCCCAGTAAAATGTCTACCTTTTGACACACCACCACACTACTCTCTTATACACCTATTGTTTGTACCTAACCAATTATGTAATTTATTTTTATGTTGTTCCATACTGTATATGATTTACCCAAGAGTAGGTTGTAAATTTTGAAAGATGTATAACACCATTTATCACCATGAACCCAATTGCCTGTTTGCACACTAACAACTTCCAATGATCTTTTGTTCCATTTTAGTTATCAGTTAATTTAAAATAATAATGTATAGTATAACACAATTTAAAGGCATAACATAAAAGGTTCCCTCATTATACCAACTTTAAAAAGAATCACATTCACATATATGCAGTGTTACGCCATCTCTTAATTTACTTTAATATCCAGGTTCTAGGCGTAACCAAACAAAAAAAAGTTAAGTAAATCAAAAGGGAATAAAAATAAATAAAGTAAACCTTTAAGAATTTAATTAAATTAAATATTAACACAATAAAGAGCCTCGTAAGCTGTCACAACAAATTGATTCACTATCGAAACTTTTAAGACACAAATGATACTAAAACATCGAAACATCAAAAGAACAGCTTCAACATATAGAATAAAAATAAGCACTGGATTACGTTAACACTGCATAAACATATAAAATAACTAACACTGAAATTAAGTATCGTGAAACAACACTGACTTACTTAAATGTAACTAAGCAAGCACTGATGGACATATAAGAGACATGAATAGGTACTCACATCGATATACCACATTGGTGGCGACAGGAACAACACAGAAATAAAATAAAGTATAAGTAACAGGTGACGGGTGTCACTCAAAAGAACGTGAACTGAATGACAAGAGGACTGGACTGAACTCCGTCTGCTGGTGGGGTACTACAGTCATTTCTGCTACAACACGTGTATTGTCAACGCGAATTGGCTATAACGCGATGATGAATAGAAGAACGCGTGTTGGCTGTAACGCGATTCCACTTGAACATTTTAAGTATACTGTCGCTTGGCGAGGGGTTATGCAGTGTTTACAGTTCACGTTCGACATCACTTGTTCAATTGGTTCACGTGTTTTGTTTGTGAAGTGTTATTTGATAGGGACTCTCTAAATTTCATCCTTTTTTTTGCAAATTTAGCTGTTCCCATAAATACTGTATGAATAAAATAAATAAAAATAATGTTTCGCAGTGTGGACTAATAGCGTTTTACACCAGCGCTCTCTGTTTCCATCACATGAACAGTTGAAACACGTGGATTGTTTTGAAGCATCCTCAGTGATTTTTGCTAACTATTTCTCCAGTTTTGTGGTATTAACTGTGTTACATTTACTGTATGACTTCATTATTAGATATGAATGTAACATTTATTTAAACTGTGCTATCCTTTGTGTTAGGCTAACTACTAATTTTTTTTCGATTTCAAGTAATCTGCACCTAACCCTATTTTCTCCATAAGCCCTGTTATTTCTATTGCGCAAATTTCTACAACGAGAGGTTTTACAAGAACACAACTATCGCGTTGTAGCAGAACTTGGTATATATATAAGGTCGGCTCCCGCCAGTGCGACACGTTGGTGAAACATGGGTCGTTTAACGATGCAGATGGTCGTTAGAGAAACAAAGAATGCTTGTTACAATACTAAATGAAGAAATAAGATGGGCGTGAACAAATAATAACAGTTAAAACCTTAACAGCACAGGGTAAGGTGACTAGAATATATAATAGTAAATATAACACATCATTACAGGAATAATATGGAACAACATGGAAGCATGTTATAAAAAATAATAGAAAAATACGACATGGTCGTAACAGCAGTTAACTTATTACTGCCCAAATTTCATTTATACCAAGCAAAAGTTTGCCCAAATGCAAATGCATGTGGCTCATTGCATGTTCCCCTTACATAATGCATCATATGAGGACAACATATGTGCCTTAAGGAAACCACCAAACTGCAAGCCATTACTCATACCATTTTGAGGATCACCAGACTCTAAGTTTTGTATAAACTATATGGTAAAAATTTCAGGGTACTGTATGAACCTCCATAAAGAGACTTTTGGGAGTGAGTGTACAGTATTGTACAGTACAGTACAGTACAAGGTGCAAGTTAGACATCATTAAAAGAACAGAACAGTGTTTGCTCCCCAGGAACCAGCATAATTTATCATCAAAATTAACTAAACTTGTAGATCACTTGACTAAAGGCACATCAGCTCACCTTTGGAACATAAGAATCCGCCAATTTATATTGCTCAGCTAGGAAAGACATGTGATCGTTCACAAATTTTGTAACGTCTCCTTGAGTTAACACACCTTCTGACACCAGAGCATCAGCATATGTATCAGGCACACTCCTGTAGGTGTACAAACATATTGTTACGGTAACCAACGGGTAAAAAGTCTTTAACATTTGACTAAATATATTATACTTTTTGCCAATTCTTCTTTTTATATCTTTAAAAAGGTTTATAAACTTTAACTAAAATATGACAATCTAAACCATAACTACAGCAAGACAAACTTGTGTATAAAAAAATCTTGGTTATATCCTAAACAAATATAAATATGGAATGCACTGTTTACTGTATATATGCATGATATATCTATGTGGCTTCTATCACTAGGGAAAGGCAACAACATACCTGCGAGAATCAATGTTTGCATACATTGAAGGATTCGTAAATCGAGGGTTATCCAACTCATTGTGTCCCCAACGCCGCCAACAAACTAAGTCAATAAACACATCACGGCGGAATTTCCTCTGGTACTGAACTGCTAAACGAGCAGCTTTTACGACAGCCTGCAAAAAGAAAAAATTTCTGATTAATTTGAAGTTATATTAACCTGTCATCAACACTGGTGGCATTTCACATCGACCAGCTGATCTAGACACTTTAGGTGAAATTTTATACCACAAGTATCCCAAATTTACTTGCTGTCACTCCTCTTCCCATCTTCATTTCTTCTATATGACTAAATGACCAGTCTATGTATCTGTCTACTGTATATCTATTACCCAGTCATCTACTATCAAGCAGGGTCACAGGGTGGGATATGGAATCTAGTTCAAGCACTTCCACCTCACTCCACGACTTTCTTTAAAAACTAGCAAGTTCTTATTTTTCTACTGAAAACATTCATTTCACTTCTACCCTTTTAAACCATGTGATGATTTTTTTTCTTCTACTCTATCCCTCTGAATACTTAACACAGGCAATACAATAAAGCCTCCGATAACAACGGTTCGACCAACAACTTTTCATATTTAAGACCCTAGTTATTTTAGGGCCCAATTCAATTTACGTCCTTATTTCATTCGCATTTACGACCAAAATATAATAAAAATAAAATAAAATTATATTTTTGTATAAATAATAACTAAATCCCGATATATAATATAGAAAAAAAAATACTGTAAAAAAAATGAAGAGCGCCTTGTGCAAAGAAGCTGCCTTGCTAATGAGTGGTGAACAACAGTTGGAGCTTGGTGGGCCTTTTGTTTTCATGCATCTGGAACAGGAACAGGAGAAACACTTTCTCAGGTTTCTTACAGCATTTTTGCATCCCTATTCAACATGAGCAAGAGAGCAAGTGATGGTAGTGTTGTTTCAAAAGCTAATAGAAAGTGTATAAGCTTAGCCGAGAAACTAGATGTGTTAAAACGATATGAAAAGGGTGAGAGGTCTGTGGATATTATATGGAGCAAGCAATGAACATATTTTCTGAAGTGGATCCATTAACAGAACAAAGCAGTAAAATTTAAATAAATGCAAATGACCTCTACATAAAGATGTATAATGAGAAAAGAAAGCAGCTGTGGAAGGTTCTTTTAACAACTTTATTATCTGAAGGCCTAAACCATCAACTTCAGCTACACCATCAAATTCAGCATCACAAGCAGCTTCAACATCAACTTCAGGTTCAGTAACAGTTTCAGCAACAGCTATATGGAAAGCTATAGCTTCAGCCAGAGTTGAACCTGATGACTTTGTCATCTGAGTAAAAACTCGCACAATATTCATTGGCTGTCCTTATGTTTTAGACTTTACCACCATTGGTGAGTAGAAATTTTGTTTTACATTCGTAAATATTATTTAAAACATATATGAACAGTAAATAAGTGTTGCTTTCATATTCATATGTAGAGAAATGACGATATGTTTTCACATATATGCACTTACTGTTCATACGTTGGCGTTCCCAATCGTCTCGCTTTATTTCTTTACCATTAGTGGTTAACTACTTCTAGCGTTCCATTTATTAACATTAAATAACATTACTTAAAACATACATACAGGTATTAATTTTTGTTAAATTAAGTTCACTACAGCTACAACCAGGGTCCTATTTTCTTCAGTTTCTTATGTAGACCCATCGTCACTCACAAAAACAAAGCCGTCTTTTCTCCTCGTGTGTGTTTTAATATTCTACGTATTATTAATGAATTGCATTGTTCATTTCACATATATAAACATTAATTCAATCAAATACATATTCAGTAATTTACAATAAAGAATCTTTTGTACATATTCTTAAGATAAATGACTATGTTTCCTTGAGTGCGCACGTATACATTGGCGTTCCACTATCAGTCTCACTTTTTCTTTAATATCAGTGGTTACTTCTACAGTGGTCCCTCGGTTAACGAACGATTCGATTAACGAAATTTTGGTTCACGAATTACCTCCCATAAGGATCTTCAATTCGGTTAACGAACAAAACTTCGATTAACGAAATCCTTACGAACATCACATTTTGTTGTAAGCATCAGCTGATCAGCTGATGGGCTAGTCTGCCAATTCAGTAATCTGTTCTATGTTTATATTCATTTCCAATGGAGTAAATATCAAGAAAGTTGTGCTCTTTAATATTTTTTCATTTTTTATATTAAAATTAATAGTCATTATAACATTTATTTAACATATTTGTTATCGCCACACACAATTGTGCGCGCCGGCCACATGTTAAGTGAAGAAACTGTTTACAACTCAGAATAGCTTACTAAGCGAGATGGAGCTGGTAGCAGCTGTGTGACTGCCTGAGGGACAGTCTATCGCCTTCTACTGTAAAGGCAACATCTTGATTCTCGTCAGCCAACATCTTCCTGCAGGACAATATATTTGTTCTCGTTGGTCTAACCCTAGACCCCAAAACGTGAGTGTGATTATGAATTGTTGAATCCTCTGAGAACTCTAAATAACTTTAATAAGTGTAATTATGTACTGTATATTGATCGTGTTATTCAAACTGTGTCCTGATGTACCAGCAGTTGTTATATTCAACAGGTTATGACCGAATTATACTCATCGCGTCAATGACAAGGGTCTTATTATCCTGCACAAACCAAAATCACTCCTATGAGCGATTACAATATTGATAATATATGCAGTACAGAGAACTAGTTTTTTGTGCGCCCATCAGACGTTTGACTCGGCCACCAGGCGTCAGTTGGGCTTTGTTGACAGTGGAGTGAGCATCTATTTTGTTGGTGTCTTGAATATTTTTGTATTTTTAAATTGAAATTATTGGTCATTCTGAAATTTAGTTAACATATTGATAATATATAGCACAGTGCAGTGTTGATTTAAATAAAATAAGCTTGAATTACACGTAGTGAACTTAAAATTTTAGTGGTGAAATGACGGCATCAAGCATGGGTCCCCTGAAATGTGATTTCTCCTCCATCCCCACTTCCTTCTCTTCTCCCTTCTCCTCCACCCCCACTTCTAATTCCCATTATCATCATCAACCAGGAACCTTCTACATACACACCTCAAAGTAAGTGTACTGTACTTTACAGCATTTTTTTTTTACTTTGTATGTACTTTTCGGTGAGCTGGAACCAATTACCCAATATCCCACTGAAACAATGGATTCGGTTTACGAACGACCCTCTGGAACGAATTGTGTTCGTTAACCAAGGGACCACTGTACAGGGTACTGTACATTAAATAACATTAATTAAAACATACATATTTTTTACATTAATTTTACTACAAAAACAACCAGGGTCTTATTTTCTTCAGTTTCAGGTGGATAACTGACATAATGGGTGTAAACAGTAACAACAATGCCGTCTCTTATCCTCTTGTGTGTTTTAATATTCTACGTATTATTAATGAATTGTATTGTTCAATTCGCATATACAGGTAAAAAAATTAATTCAATCAAATACATATTCAGTAATAAACAATGATGAATCTTTTGCCCATATTCTTAAAAAGATAAATGATGTGGTATCCTTAAATGCGCACGTATACGTTGGCGTTCCCAATCCATCTCTTTTTTTTTCTTTCCCATTAGTGGTTAGCTACTTCTATTGTTCCATTTATTAACATTAAATAACATTACATATATAAACATTTTTTACATTAATTTTACTACAGCTACATCCAGGGTCTTATTTTCTTGTGTAGAACTATCATCCCGGACCCCCGTCTGTAAACATAAACAAAAACAATGGCATCCCACCTCCTCTTGTGTGACCATATTATTATTCATTTATATTGTATAAGGTGCATTTAGAAACATTATTTAAAGAATATAGTTTGCAATTTTCATTAATTGTATTGTTTTGGGGGGAAAAGAGGGTAAAAAGCCACACAAAAGATATGAAATTGTCACACTTGGGAACGCATCTCATTATTATTGCTTTATTTTAATGGTAATTAATGATTCGCGATACGATGATTCACCTTACACTGCAATATGGGAGGACACATTACAGTCGTTATTCGAGGCTTTACTGTACTCCTTCACACAAACCCCTTCTTAATAATACTGTACTGTACTGTATAAGCAAATTAACACAAATTCAGTTAATATATGCTAAACCAACCTACACATGGCTTCACCTTCAGCAGGTTTCTCTTAGTCATTTACATATGATGGATTTAGGTGGATGGTGAAGATTCTATACCTAGTCTAACCTAACATGTTTCCAAAGTACAAAAGAGCTTACAAGATACAATATACTGTACACACAAATAGGGCATACAAGATATACTGTACAAACAAAGCAAGTTTTCATAACTATAACCTTTAAAATATCATAAATATCTTGCTTCAAGCCTAAAGTCTACTTTTTTATTTATAATCAAGCAATCTCAATAGCCATTACTCTCACTCTCAATAACCCCTGAAGCTTCATAACTAACCTCTGGGTCATCTCCATTCACATGTATGACAGGCATGCTGCACATTTTGGCAATGTCTGTACAATAAGTTGATGATCGAGTCCGCTCTCCAGGAGTTGTGTAACCAACCTGTTAAATATAATGGGAATTAGTCATTAAGTATTTCTTTAATATATTTAATATACAGTACATAACAGGGTAATTAGTGTAATAATTTTATTTTAACATATATCTGTACATTGCATTTTATTTATGAAGAATTTACGCCCTTATTACTTGCCAAAAAATATTTGCAAGTTAAAAGTAAAACAGATAAAAGAAATAGTTTCTGGCTCACTTAGTATATATCATTGGTCATCTAAATATCATGTTTCGGCTCCTTGGTCCAGAAAGAAATCTACAGTATTTGGCTTCAAATCCTGATGATGATGTTTAAGGTAAATAATGTTCCATGAGGTAATTCAGTGATGTTCCTCTCATACTTCTTTTCCACTTCGTTACTTCTAGTTGAACACAACGAACCTGGTTATTGATGGATATATGCAAGGCTCCCCCAATGGTAAAATGAGGTGCTTCTGAGAGTGCTAGTGTCTCCTGCATTATACCTTGTCCTCCCAATGCAGCATCTCCATGGACCTGAAAAATGAAATAACACCACTGTTGCCACTGGTCACACATATAAAATCACTACAGCCAGAAAAGTACTTTTCAGTGGGAGGATAGTGACTGAATAAACCTCCATTTAAAATACAGCTTAACGTTGCCCCCGACAACATTGTTTCGTTATAACGTCACTACTATTTAGATACCCACGATTCCGACAACCTTGTCACCCAACACTTTGTAAGGTGTGCGCCACCCTCTCTCATCTTGGCGCACCACACTCTCTCGTGGAGCTTCACAGCATCCCCAAGCATTGTCTCCCCAGCTTCCACAGCGTACGTGCGTGCTTAAATGTTCTTGCTATAAATACTGTACTCTAACCATTCAAAATGGCTACCACGCGCCCATCAACTGTTAGTGATGTTAGTGTTGTGAAGAAACAACGCAAGACAATTAGCCTTGCTACGAAAATGGAGGTTTTAAACTGTTTTGAGAAAGGTGAACGAGCGGTGGAAATTGGTGTAGCATTAGGCCTAACCCCCACAACAGTGCGTACTATCTGGTCCAGCACAGACAAGATTAAGGTTAGTGCTGGAAGTAGTACTTCTATGAGTGCAACAAAGACAAGTCGTGCTCGAAGTTCTGTGATTGAGAAGATGGAGAGGATGTTGGCTAAGTGGATAAAGGACCAGAATCAACGCAATGCTCCTGTGAGCCTTATGGTTATCCAGCATAAGGCAAAATCCTTGTATGATGACTTAAAGGCCATAGAGGGTGAAGGATCAAAGGATGAGAACTTTACGGCCAGCCGAGGATGGTTTCAATGTTTTAAGCGTCGTTATAACTTCCACAATATTAAGATGACTGGTGAAGCTGCTAGTTCAGATACCGTTGCTGCCGAGAACATCCCGCCCGAGTTCAAGAACATTATCGAGGAAGGATGCCTGAGAGGACCGATATCTCCCAGGAAGATAAGAGAGCGCCAGGATTTAAAGCCGCAAAAGACTGATTGACGCTGCTGCTTGGCGCAAATACTGCTGGCGACTTCAAGCTAAAGCCTAGGTTAATCGCTCGCGCTCCCAACCCAAGTGCCCTGAAAGGTTACTCTAAGGATCACCTTCCTGTCATTTATAAGTAAAATAAAAAGGCATGGATAGCCAGCGCCATATTTAGCCAGTGGTTAAATGTGTATGCCGTCCCTGTACTGAAGGATTATTGTGCCAACGAGCATCTGGACTTTTAAAATTCTTCTTGTCATTGACAATGCTCCAGCGCATCCTCCCAATCTCGACGATTTACATGACAATATTCGAGTTGTAATCCTTGCCTCTCAACACGGACTAAGGCATTATCTCCGCATTCAAGGCCTATTATTTACGCTGTACCATGGACCAACTTCTCAAGGCTACTGATGGAGAAAATAAGTCTATGATCCAAGAATATTGGCAGGGACACAACATTCTTAATGCAATCGACAACATTGGCAAGGCATGGGAAGAAGTTTCATAAAGTTGCCTGAATGGTGTGTGGCGTAAATTATGGCCCGAGTGCGTGAACAACTTTACGGGATTCATGGACGTAGTCCCAACTCTGAATAGGGATATCCTCAGCTTGGTGAGACAGGCAGGCTTTCACGAGTTGGATTCTGAGGAAATTGAGCACGTCTTGTCATCCCATACAGAAGAGCTCACAAATGAAGATCTGCAACTGCTAACAGAACAAAGTGCCACTGAAGACACCGATGAAGAAGGACCTCAACGAACGATAATTACCAAGAGGATGGCAGAAGCATTCGACATGATCCAACAAGCAATGCAAATCTTCACTGACGACGACCCAAACAGAGAACGTAGCTCAAAGATTGTCCGCAACATGGAGGAAACTCTTCGGTGTTATAATGAGATCCACAAGGAAAAAAAAGAGGAGCACTAAGCAGTCAACGCTGGATTCATTTTTTCGTCATCGAGAGGGAGAAGCAACATCTTTACAACAGCCTGCAAGGGAGGAGAAGCAAACAGCAGCCAAGGAGGAACCCCAGTCAGAGTGGAAAGGGGAGCCCCCCTCCGGGTCTCAGTGACTCGCCACCTTCCTCCTCTCCGCTACCCACTACACACTCGCTCCACCTCTGCCCATCAGTGAGTACAATACAAAATGATTGTTAATTAAACATTAATTTAGTTTAAATATCTTTTTGGATGTATAATAGTATATATTTTCTCTCAAAATTCTATTGAATTTACATATATGTAATGTATTTTATGGGTAAAAGGGAGGCTGGGGAACGTAACTAGCGTATTTTATCTATTTCTTACGGGAAAAATTGATTCCATTAGCGTTGTGGTTTACAGGAATGTAACCACGACGTTAAGGACTTCCTGTACTGCATTTTGTTTTGGCACTTATCACTATTTTCTCAAGAAACCAACATGGAGGACATACTTGGTGCCTCAGTACATCAGAATACTAGATCCATTTCCATACTCCCACTGGAGACCCAAGAATTTCACCAACTCAATGACGAACCTCCTCGACCAAATTACCTGGTGACAGTATTTGTTTATGGCTAACATACGAGATGACTAATAACTTTAATGGTGTGAGAAGGACATTATACATCCTAATTCTGAGAAGCTCTGGATTACATTTAGGCTGTAGAGGGAAAGAGATCCACCACTAAGATGTACTGGGAAAAGAGGTTAAGAAATTGGAAAATGTATTTATGAGTGATGTTGCATGATGTTGTTGACAAGTAATGAAATAATCAGCAAAACACAGAAATCAAAGATGCAAGAAAAGACAGATGATGTTTAGGGTATTAATCAATAAAGTACTGGTAGATCCTGAATAAAACATATGACTTTAAAAGAATAAAAAAAGCTTTTGTGATTACAAGATTGAAATACTGTAAGAGTAAACCCTAGTACAGTACATTATCAGGTTCTGTAATAAAATACCATTCTGGGTAATGTGTCAAAAAATAAATTTGTTATACTGTATATTGTAAGTAAAGAATTTCAACCAAGTTGGGTGAAAATGAAAACGATCTTCACTGTTCAACTCTCCAAGCTAAAAGATATTTTGTCAGTTATATTCACAGTATAAATATACTGTAACAGCATTTTCTTTTATTACTCTGCCTAAAAATCATCAATCCTTTTCATCTTTCTGAGTTGCAGCATCTTCCCAATGATGGAACCTAACCTTAATGCAAGAATAATCTCCAGTTCCATAATTCCTCACCTGGATGCAAACAACTTTATCACTCTGCCGTGCTGAGGCTTCAGAAGAAAAGCAACCATCACCTAAACTTCTTTGCCGTGCACGTGTTTTTCCACAGCCCACAGGGTTCACTGCCTCTAGATGGGATGGGTTTGGTAGCATTGTGACGTGCAAAGTGTGTTCCCCCATCTCTAAGTCTACTGAATTGACTGAAAAACAAAAAACAGAAGTAGAAAAGAAAGAGCTAGATAACAATCTCACAAAATATTGTTCTAAAAAGGGTGCAACAGGTGCAGGAAATAATAATTGAAATCATAAAATACAGTGGAATAAAAGAAATTAATAATTTTAATACTGTACTGTACACTCTAATAAGAACTTCAGTAAAAATAAAACCACTAATGTCTGCAAATCTTGTAAGGTGTAAAAAGTGAATTAATGCGTACTAGACAAATGGAATGCTTCACGTCTGTTTATTTTGCTCACTAAGTTTCTCTATCAGCAAGTTTTATGCACCAATTCTTGTAATCATTTCATCAATAATCTGTCTCTTATGCTGTTCAGGGTGATTCTAAAATATGCACAGTAAATTGCAGGGTGTATTCCCAGGAAAATTCTAAGGCACATGTCAATGCGACTAAATGTCGGAATCTGCATAGTTCCCTACCTACCGGTATATCACTTGAAAAATATTGAGGTAATAATAGTGGAGTAGCAGTGAAACAACCGTAGAGTTTCGTGTAATTTTAGGCACATAAGTCTACTTCAGTACACAATGTGATACAGTTGCATTATTAAAATAAATGTATAAAATTCCCTCTATGCCTCTGTAACACATCATGAAGAGTTATGTGCATAAAATTACACTATAATCTACAGTTGTTTCACTCCAACTTCGTACACGTGAAGGAGTGTACAGAGATGTAGCATGGAGGAGTCTCGGTTAGAAGTCCAAACTCCGCATAATCCACCATGATAGGGATCTGTACTGGACTTTACATAACTATGCAAAACTGAAGTACAGTAGCTAGTTGTGACACAACATGCCATATAACCTACAGTAGTGTGTTCTCCTTTAACCTGACTGATTGGCATATGGCCAATCCGGTTAACCCTTTCCTGCAGATTGCCGCCTTAATAATTTCACTCCGGCTACTGACAGATGATTCAGCTTTGGGAAACCTCCAGGAGCCAAAGGGTTAGTGAAGTCCTGTTGGTTGTCAAAGTTCCTTTCAATGGATAGAATTCTCACTAAACCAGATACTTGTGCAGCTTTCTGGATGTTATTTATCAACCCATTAAAAATAATCCTGCAATAAAAGGAAATTAACAATAAAAGTGTTGGAAGGTAAATATAAAATTATTAAGAAAGGAAGTGTACCACAAGAAGGTATGGTAAATAAAGGAGAAAATCATGAAAGTGGTACAAAAGGTATATAAAAGAAGTTATGAAGAATGAAAGGCATGGCTGACACTTCATGCAAGGTTCACTACAGTACTTGTATCATGCATAGAATAAGAAAAAACAAGGGCAAAATTTCACCCCCATAAATTATGCTTGCAATCAACACAGCAGGAGACACAGAGACTTAGGCTGAGCAAGGATCATATGACCATTGACCAGGTCCAGCTAATCAGCCATATGTTCTTCTGGCCATGAGTGACCAGCACATGGTGTGTGAAAACTATAATAAAAAAGCAAAAAATTCCACTTGTACCACAGGTTACATATAGGCTTGTTCAGCAGTTAGCATGGCAGATCAGATTTTCTAAGAAGTAATAAAACATCCCAGAAGAAAACCAAATGGCTTTACCAAGTCCAGTTATTGGAGTTTTCCATTTAAAAGAAGTCCAAGAACTGTCGTATCACAATCAGTGTAACTACAACAGTCAAATCTCTCCACACAAAAATAAAGTACAAGAGATATTCATATGTAACTTACTTGATCATATACAGTAGTTTATCACTTACCTAAATGTGAAAGAACATCCCCTGTGAACTTGACCTCTGGGGGAAATTCTGGCAAGCCTTTCATCTTCTGGAACATGACAACTGGTGGATACTGGAGAATGCCTGTCAGGAGGTTAAGCCTGCCACGATGAGCTATGGCTATCATTGCTTGTTCCACCCCATCTATGGTACAAGAGTTGAGATGCAATTACAATGTTATTCACACTTGACAAAGGTATAGTAGTATATGGTAGTATATGTTATGTACCAACACCAACCTACTCATTCAGTATTATTCATTTTCACATGTACACACTTTTTGTATCAACACAAGTCCATGTCTAAGAGTACATGTGTGTGTGCTCCTCTTTGTGTATGGGTACTGACATATGTATAAATCTGTGCATATACAACAAAACCTCGCAAAATTCAAAATTCCAAGCAACTTCCAAATAATTTCAACTTTGAAAAAGGCAGAATGGTTCAAAATATATCAATATGTAAATATTTAAAACTTTTTAGTAATATTTGTGCTGGAAAAAGAATAGTGGAATTTTGTGACACTACAGTATATCTACCCAGTACTACATATATTACATTCAAATTGGTCGAAGGTTTACAAAGTGCAGCAGGCATATGAACAAATGAGTTAGGATTATCGGAAAAAAGCAGAGGACATATAGCATTATACTGTGGATGGTGAAAAGGTATACAGAGACATACACTGTGAATATGCAAAACCATGGATAGTGAAGTTTTATTGTAACATGTACTGGAATTTTAACAGATTGGCAAGTGAGTACTGCACCAACCACAAATTGTACAAAAATTTTGATACAGTGAAACCTCCATTTAAGGGACATTGATCAAATGTATACAGTCCGTTAGATGGGGATTTCACCGATTTGGATTACTCATGATTTAATATAACCAAAATGTTTAAATTCAATAATCCTTTACACTGTACAATATGTAAAAAATTGATAAATAATGTAGCAAATTTATGAATTAACTTTACCTACCCTGTGCAATGTTTTTAAATGCCTCAGTAAAGAAGCCAACCATACTCTCAGCTCCCTCTCCTCCATATCTCTTCACACTCTGAAATTTGGTGGCCAAGAAATTGTCGAAAGTTTGTGATCTTAACATATCTCTGGCAAGCTTGATGCGTTCTTCTGTGGTCAAAGCTTCTTTGGATGTAGTTTCAAGAGCCGTTGCAAACCACTCTCTCTCTTCCTCCGTCTTGACAATGAAAATGAGAGATAAGTCAGAAATTATATCATTGCAGGTATCTATTTGTCCTATTCTTCTTCCCCTGTTACCTGAGATTGATAAAGGCTGTAAAGTTTTACATGGAACACACACACACAAAATAATGCTTCAATACTTAATATATTTATATGTGAAAAACTCAAATACTTAAAAATATCAGTATTGAATGTGGGCAAAAAATCATATTTTAACATACAGTATTTTTATTGCTTTAAATTAACTGTTCTATCCATTTTGATGTATGTACAGTACATGTATTTCAAACACCTGGAGTGGGTTTTCTTCGTTTTTGGAATTCAGACTTCCCATAGCTTCCCGTGGGTGAACTTCCTGGTTTTGGAACTTCGCGAGGTTTTCATTAACCTAACCCTGTGATGTTTAAGGGTTTACTGTACATCGTCACCATCAACATTTTACACCCGTATTCTGTGTTTGTCTGAGTTAGCCTTGTTTACCTCATGGCACCTCTCCAAACTGCAGGGTCACTTTCAGCCTCTCTCCCAGCTGCCATCAGTCAAGGTTGAAGCAAGTGTTACAGCTGAATACCCTTCCTATCACCAACCCACTTTTACAGAGTGGGAACTGGTCATTACATGAAGAACTTCCAAGCACTCTCTTAGCTGGCAAATCAAGGTCACAACTCCCTCAGGTAATCCAAGATTTGTGTCAAAAAATTATAAATACAGTCAGTTCTGCTATAACGCGATAGTTGTGTTCTTGTAAAACATCGTGTTATAGAAATTCGCGTAATAGAAATAACAGGGCTTATGGAGAAAATAGTGCAGATGCAGATTAGGTGCAGATTACTACTCGAAATCGAAAAAAATTTAGTAGTAAGCCTAACACAAAGGATAGCATGTATGCATATTATGTATGTTGTATGTATACCATGTATGTACTCTATATATACACATTATTTCTCTAGTCAGTAGCGTGTGGTAATGCCCGTTTCATGTCACCACACGCTTAGATAAATGCGCCTGGCGACATCTGGAAGCTGCTAGTATACCACTTACCACATGTCGCCTGAGAGGTCAGAGTGAGGTCAGTTGACCCCTATAGGAGTGCAAGGACTACCTGCGCTTGTGAGCGCATTCCTGTATATTTCCGTTAATAAGAACCTACAGAACTCTACAGGTGTTTATGTTCGCTCCTGTAGTTAGAACCAAGTACCCCGAACATCTCCATAGCACAGTCTAAATAAATGTTACATTCATATCTAATAATGAAATCATACAGGAAATGTAACACTTTACCTTGAAAAAATATGAATATAACTTGATGGGGGAGAAGGGTGATTTTGAGGTTGATAACATCGAGCTTCTCTTCAAGGGTTATAGCCTTTCTTTTACGATCATCACCGGGAATGCGATCACCAGAACGCTTCTTGGAGATATTCTTCTTTACCATATTCACAGTTAATACCACAAAATTGGAGAAATAGTAAGCAAAAATCGAGTTACAGCAAACAAGCGTTCGCGTTATACAAATATCGTTCCTTTATTCATAAATGGCGTTAGAGCCAATTCGCGTTGTCAAAACACGCGTTATAGCAGAACTCACTGTACTGAATAGAGTAAGCACCACTAGGCTATGTACTGTACTGTATTGTGATTCGTGAACACTATTTTCATTGTATCAAGTTCAGCTAATTACTCTTTAATTGTCACACTTGCTCCACATGGTTAAGGTGTAAACACTGGTATATAAGGAAAGTAAAATATACTCTTACCTTAATAAAAATATCTAGAACTGCACATCCCTGACAAATTGAGCCCGACAATACTTGGCTGTAATGACCCAGGCATTGATGGCCAGCAAAACAAACAAGCGAGCCTAAAGTGCACTAAGAAGTCAGCATTAATCTGTCTGAACATACAGAGTCTAGAGGTCTTTTTCCTGCAACAAGAACTTGAGAAGTGAGATTGTTGTATTTTTGTTTGAAGCTGAGCAAGAAGTGATTGGATCAAGCACACTGTGTCATGTCTGAATTGTTAGCTCCCGCAACTGAAGATTCTCTCTTTCCCCTCTTTCAGGGTCAAAGTTGCTTGTATGGAAGAAGACTTGAAGATCACTTTCTACAACACAGCAGCTCTTAGTTACATATTCCATTAAGCCTAGAGCAGAAAATATATGACCTCATAAAAACAGGCACATAATTAGTCTCATAAATGCTATAAACTATACCACGTGATAACACTCTAACAAAGATAATAACTTACTGGCAAATATGAAAATTCAGCACCAATATGTCCACAATACTTTTGATTTAAGATGTCTTGTAGCAGCTCTAGTGTACAGGTCTCCTCACATCCAGCCACGAGACCTTTAATAGTATATGTTTTGTCTGAGGTGAGGCCATACTTCTGGGGTTCTAATTCTGGCACCAGTCTGAAAAGATGAAAATCAAGTTATGAAGCATAATTCCAACCTCTGGTACTTATGTACGGGTACTTGTAAATAAATTTCTTTGGTATATAACTGTGTTTACATTTTTTCCATTATTATACTACAATATGCTTAGTTTCAAATAATGATGTTAGTAAATGCCAGTACAGTGCATCAGTGATCAGTGTGACCACTGGGCCGTGAGTGGAGAGCATGGCGTGGTTAAGTGCATGACCTACCTGAGCTGTTTGGTGGCCACAGGTACAGTGATTCCTAAAAGAGTATTTGCGGTTTTGGCTTTTCGCGGGGGTTTCAGGAACGTAATTCCCTCGAAAAACACGGGAAGATTACTGTACTGTACAGTTATAACTGATCAGTATATTGTACAATATAGAGCAGCTTCTGTAGAACAAGTACAGTAGAGTACAGTACAGATGTATTGGTATTCTAGACTCACCTTGTATTTGGTGCCAATGGGTTAATATTAGCTTTGAGATGCCCAAACTCTCGATAAGCACTGATGAAACGGAAAACATTGCTCTCTTCTGCTCTCTGCTGAATGACAACCTCTGGTACTGTGCACACGGAGAAATAAGAAATTCTATTAGAAGAATTATTTCTATGAAAAATAAGCTCCATGACTCTTTTCAGGAAGTGAACAATATTTCCAATTGTAACTAATGCACTGTACAGTAATTTATAAAACTTAAATATTCCAATGCATAAACTAATTTATATTTCCATCAGCCACTGAGAAAAACAATCACTGAAGTATAGTACTGTACTGTAAGATGGGGAGATTTCACAGTGTTTGAAGATTTTTTTAAGCTGCAGTTTAAGTCTGAAGGCTAAAAATATATGTTAAGTAAGCTATTGGTGAATGAACTAATGGGCAATCCATATGTATCAACAGATGGTAAAATAATGTATTTTTCGATGGCTGATTCAGAGCCAAAGACCATGGCCTAGTCTTGGTATGTTTTATAAACTGCACAGAACAATCATGAATAATCTAAAACAACTATAATATAAAAGGAGGAAATATCAACACGACCATCACCACCTCGAGGTCTTATATAACATCCACTACAAGTTTAAGTAAAAATATAACTCACATGAAAAGGGGTTTGGTTCAACTGGTTTATATCCGTATACACCTCTCAGAGACTTATAACCCCTGACAGGACATAGTGTAGCACCAGGACAAGTTAGTAAGTTTGTTCTAGGGAGCCGGGGCTGGAGGGCCTGAGGCCTGACGGCACTCAACTGACGCAACAAGTAATTCATTTTCCAGTTATTTGGGGAAAACTTTCCTTTCTTCAAGATGATATCATATAAAACACACTAAATACTATAATAATACTATAGGTCAACACCACCTTGGCTGTCCACTTGCTGGGGGAGACAGCTAATGTTGAGTGAAATACAACGAACATAACTAGAATACCATTATCATTATATTATTACTTTTTCTCAAACAGATGACCAAAATCTAGCTTAAAATTAACCTGCTTTATTTTGGCTATTTATAAAGTTTTTTGGTTGAGTCATTCGGGAATATGTTCTTTTAGATTAGTTTGTAGTATTCTCATAACATTAATTATTTCTATTAAAACAAACAACTAAATCGCCTCATATCCTCTCGACTTTCTCTTATGTTTTGGGAATAAATTTGTTAAATATATTTTATCAATCAATTAATAATTCAATTATTTGAATATATATAGCCGTAAACTAGACTGTATCATAATTATTGAACGAAGTTGAATGAGTAATAACACTTTATTGGTTGGGGGGGTGTTGACACGTTTATTAATTAATAATAATAATAATAATAATAATAATAATAATAATAATAATAATAATTCACTCAAATCATCATACAGCATTAGAGTTGGTTGGGCATGTTAGACCAGCATGTGTAATGCATATGGCCTCGGATTTTTATCACCACTATCAGAGGGGTTGTAAAGCGGTGACCTGTTATTTTTGGTAGGTTCACATTTACTTTTATCCTCTTCGCCACTGATCGGCTTGTTAGCCGCTTGGGCGATCGGTCACGACTCTTTTCCTTTATATTCTTCACCAAAAGGTCGGCTCGCTAGCCGCCCGGGCGATCGGTCACGTCTCTGTCACGCACTGTTGGCAAATACTGGGCATGCACCGGCTCCTGAATGTACCTGAACCCGCTCCAGTGTTGGTCAAGTCTTCTCTTGAAAGAGCTCACACTCGGTGCCGTCACAACACTTTCTGGTAGATTGTTCCAAGAGTTTACAACCCTCACTCCGAAAAAGTTTGCCCTCACGGTTTTCCGGACTTGCGGCTTCTTCAATCTTGAGCTGTGACCCCTTGTGGGGCGAGCGTCCGCCAGCTCCAAGTAAGGACACTCAACTGAGTAGTGCCCCCTGAGATGCTTATAAACCTCAACTAGGTCCCCCCTTGCCCGTCTGTAGTATAAGCTAGGCAAGTTCAGGCGCTCCAATCTCGCAGGGTAGCTGAGATGCCGAAGTGCAGGCACCAGCTTGGTGGCCCTCCTTTGAACATTTTCAACCAACTGACAGTCCCTAGCATATCTCGGGGACCAGATGGGGTGACAGTACTCCAGATGGGGAAGCACTTCACTCCTGAAGATCGTCACGAGGGACGGACCGTCTAGATATCTGAACGACCTTCTTATAAGACCCAATAATTTATTTGCCTGATTTACCTTCTTCTCACTGTATGTATATTATGTATGCTGGATTATGTACTATGTATGTATATTATGTATGTGCTCCATTTATATTTATTCAGCCTAGCTAGCAGCGTGTGGCAATGTTATTACCATATCCCACACGCTTAATTAATGTGCCTGGCGACGTATGGAAGCTGCTAATGTATCACTTGCCATACGTCGTCTATGGTAGTTGACCAGGACCTTAGCTAGGGAGCAGTGCTATCCACCTCTGTGTACATACTCTTATCCAGTAAACCGAACCTACAAAACTATACAGGTGTTTGTGTTCTCTCCTGTATATAGAACTTATTACCCAGAACATCTAACATGGCGCAGTGCGTAGTTTTACTGGATTATTACGAGTGATTAGTGCAAGTTTGTGGAAAGCCGGCTGATGGATCCCCGCCTTGGGTCAACCCCGCGTCATCCCTCGAAGAATTTCGCAACTTTGAGCAGTGTCAGTGACAGTGATTTTCTGTGAAGTGTTTAGTGCATTGTGTGTTTCGTGCCATTCATGTGTGACCTTGTTCGAACGGATTTCCAAGGTATACGGCATGTTCTGGGCATTTGTGGGGTGTAGAGCTCAGCGCACCCTCCTCTGACCGTTTACAGAGAGCGACTGAGCTACTCCTATCTCCACCCCCCTCCCTCACAGCGCCGCCTCCACCCCCCTCCCTCACAGCTGGGGCGAGACGCTCTGCCTGCCTGGGACACACACACATACATGTACTAACACTTGCTGACCGCGCGGTTTCTTATATATATTTTATATATATAACCTACTTATCTGTGTATTTAATTAAATTTTTTGTCTGAAATCTTGTTGATACGACGGGCTGACCGGTCAACACTGATTTAAGACACAGTACACAGATAAAGTAGTTATGTCTCATGCCTTACGTAGCCGTGGACCCAGCGCCTGGATGAGTCAAGCGGATGATAGTCCCCCAGAGATGGATGACCAGGCCGGCCCAGCTCCCACAACATCGCGCAGCCCTTCACCTCAACATTCAGCGTTATCTCCAGAGATAATTGCCTTAATGAAGTTTATGAGAGATGAGAGACGCGAGGATGAAGCTCACAGACGTTTGGCGGATGAGCACAGAAGGCAAGCAGAGGCAGAACGAGACCACCAACGGAGAATGGAAGACAGTGCACGGTTTGAAGCCTTGATATCTCGCCTCACTGTTAACCAAGCCCCTGGCTCTAACACTGCCTCGGTACTGAATGGTTCAGATACCTCATCCATGCTTCCTTCACGCCCCCCAGCCCCACCTAAAGCAGCAGCTCAAACACCGCCCATCTTGGAGCCTGATGTAAATTTCCAGACTTTTCGCGAATGGCGGCGGCGGTGGGCTGATTATGCTACAATGGTGGATCTCCAGAGTTTGTCACAGCCTAAACAACTCATCCAGCTGCGTATGTGCCTGTCCTTGGAAGTTCAGCGTGTCTTAGAACATACGTTGCAGGTACCCCCAACCTCTTCGCTGTCTGTAGAGGAGGTACTGGACGTTCTACAACGGCACATCAAAGGACAGCAGAATGAAGCTCTGCGCAGGAGGGAATTGTTTAGCTGCAGACAGATGGAGGGTGAGTCTTTTGACGCTTTTATGTACGTCTTAAGAGAGCCTCGGAAGAGGTAGATATATGTTTAGGCCACCACCAGCAGTGCGAGGAGACCCAGTTGAAGCAGGTGATCCTGATGGGCGTTAAGGACGAGGAACTTGTCCGACGCCTCACCTCCCTCGACTCTTCCTCTTCTCTTCAGGATGTGTTGACGATATGTCGCTCCTATGAGGCTGCCAGGTGTGCCACCTCTGCCATCCGAGCTCCCCCTACAGCTGTACGCGCTGTTTCCCGGTACAAGAAGGACAAGAAGTCTGCTCCTACGCCTTCGCCCACCACGTCCACGCCCGGTTCATTTTGCAACAACTGTGGTAAGCAGCACGGAACACAGGTATGTCCAGCTGCTCAGTCTACCTGCAACAGTTGTGACCGTATGGGCCACTGGTCGCTCACAGTGCGGTGCCCAGCTAAGTACGTACAGTGCAATGTGTGCGGTCGTCTGGGCCACTATGACAAGTGTTGCCCTACCCACGAACCCAAGGGACAGCGTCGGCGGAAGCTTCGGCGCCCTTCTACCAGTGAGGGCCGCCCACAGTCGCCAAATCAGAGGCACGACGACCCTGGACAAAGCCCGACCCATTTTAGGAGGGTGTACTCCTCGCATCCCAGGACCAAAGTCACCCAGTACATCAGCGCCATCGTGACCTACGGCGGCGTGTCATCCCGTCTTCAGATGTTGCCCGACACCGGCGCTGATGCTACAGTCATCGGTCCCCAGCATTTGCGATGCTTGGGGCTCTCTCCAAGCGATCTAGGACCGCCTCCCGAGGACCTCTGCGTCATGGCAGATGGTTCACAGATGGCCCCAGCCCTGGGTTCACTCTATGCACATGTCACCTTTGGCAACAGGTCGTGTCAGGCCTGGATCGACGTGCATAATGGTGTCCCGACTCCCTTGCTGTCCTACAGACATTGTCAAGAGTTGGCCATCATCTCCCAGGACTTCCCAACACCGATTCTCGAGGTAAATTACGCCAACAGGGCGCACGAAGGGAGCAGCAACTACCCTGCTGCCGCCCTACCCCTACCTCTGGCCAGTGACACCTCTCCTTCGGTAGTTGTCCCTGCTGCATCACGTCCCCACGCCTTGGCTCGCCTTCACGACAGTCACCGTGGAGCTGAGGCCACCAAACGACGTGCACGACAGACTGTGTTCCGGCCTGGCATCGACCCCGACATCTCCAATGCTGTCCAGGTGTGTAAGCCCCGCCACGTATTACAACCCAGCCAGCAGCAGGTACCCTTCATGAGTGACGACAACCCCACCCGCCCCTTTGAGTCTGTGTCGGCCGACTTTTTCTGTGTGTCAGGAAAGTCCTTCCTGGTTATCGTCGACCGTCTCTCTGGTTGGCCGGTTGTCATCAAGGGCGGTAATGACACGACGTCTGCCGCCACCATCAGCAAGTTCCGCCACTACTTCCGTGACGTGGGCGTTCCTGTACGCCTGCGAACCGACGGAGGGCCTCAGTTCACAAGCCGGGACTTTGCTGTGTTCCTTGACCGATGGGGAGTCCGGCATGTGTTGTCATCGCCCCATTACCCGCAGTCCAACGGCCACGCTGAGGCTGCTGTCAAATCCCTGAAGCACCTCATCCTTAAGGTGGCCCCTTCTGGGAACATTGACTGCGAGGCCTTCGACCGGGGTCTTCTTGAACTCCGCAACACACCCAACTACACCGGACGCTCCCCTGCCCAGGTTTTGTATGGGCGCCCCCTTCGTTCTTGTGTCCCTGCTCACCCTCAATCCTTCTCCAAGGAGTGGCAGGCTAAGACAGAGGATTGTGATCGCCGAGCCGCCGAACGTGTTCAGGACGTCGTCGCCCGCTACAACGACCACGCCCGTTCTCTCCCCAGGTTGAGTGTCGGTACCCAAGTCCGTGTTCAGGACCCGACCTCCCTACGTTGGGACAAAGTAGGCGTAGTCATGGGTCTCGGCAGGTCACGGGACTACCAGGTGCGGTTACCCAGTGGTCGTGTGTGGTGGAGGAACCGCCGTTTTCTCCGCCCTGTAACACTGCCTTCTGCTGGCCCCGCCACCAGTGTTGAGTCCCATACCCTTCCCAGTGATGAAGTCCCTCGACGCTCAGAACGGATCCAGAAG